TTAGTATACTTAAATTAGTAAATCAGTTTTATAGGGCAAATTTGCATACTTAATTTTTATTTTAAATAAATTTATATTATGTTGATGGTTCATTTTCTTCTAAAATACTAGGAACTTCTGGTACGCTTTCTGATATCCAATTCAAGTATGGGATGTTTCCATTTTCTATCTGTAAAATAAATCAAATAATTTAAAACAATACACACAGACTACATATATATATATACATACACATATATAATATATGTTACCATAAAAGTAGGAATTTTGGCAAAACCTAGAATTTACTTCTGTTGTTGATATATAAAATAATTTGTTCAAACTTAGAAGTTCAAGCTTTCATAAATAAGTTTGGTAAATGTTAGTATAAACAATTAGTGTTAGTAAAAATTCAATTTTTTTCCTATAATATTTTCCTTTTACTTTATACAAGTACATTATTACATAGGTATGTTAACAAAAAATAAGTTATTTATTGATCAATATACAACTTTTATGGCCATTAGTTGAGGTTAATTACAGTAATTTAAACTTATAATATATTTTTTTTTTCTATACCCATACCATGTTTGCAAACTATCTTAGTATAGTATATTTCATTGATGGGCTAAATTTAATGTTGGTGAAATCTTTTATTATTATTTTAGTGGTTTATACATATTAATATTTGATATGTACTATTGTTTTAATTATCATGAAGTCATATTATCTGTGCCTAGCATGTGATGCTACAGGTTTAGTGAACCCAGGGCCCTGCCAGAAATCCTACTGGTAGAAAGCCCAAGTGGTTGATTCCAGTTGTATCAATAGAGAGAACGAATTCACTGTGTAGTTGGCAATACAATTCACCCTGATTATGGATCTATTTTTGAAAATGGATCCTCTAACACCCCAAATGAAATCATAGTTACATGCCTATTTTTGAGTCACATATTAACCAGTTATACCTTATTACTCTATTTTAATTGGTCAGATAGAGCAGTAACTAAGTATCCACAAATAAATAATTTTCATAATAAAAAAATACCTATTCTATATTATGATATGTAATTACATTTTTGCAGTGATATTTAATAATACTATTAAATAGTATAAATGTATAATTAAAATATATTATTATAATAATATATGAGTATAAAGCAAGGAACAAACAAATCACATGTTTAGTAGACATTTTGTTTTTTTGTATTAAATTTCAGACTTTGAACAACTCTAATTAGCAGTTGAAGTTAATCTTAAGATTTACCAATTTCATTTGAAAACTACATAAAATCATATGGAATTTACCAAACTAGTTTGTGTATCATAGGTTTTTTACTGAAATCAACAGGTAAATGTCTTAAATGTAGACATCTACTGATAGTAGTTGGCAAAACCTAGGATTAACTAGTAAATCCTAAGTTTCTCTGGTATTTTACTAGAATATAAGTATACAAATAATACAAATATTTACTAACTTTAGTAGAAATAACTTCACATACTTCATATGGGTGATGAACCCTTAAAAAAATATAAATGAAATATTAAACATATTAACATATTAACATAAACAATTCAATATAATACCTATGCAATTTTAATGTACTATATTGAATAATATCAAATTATTATTATTATTATTTTTTAAAACTTGTTTGTGTGGTAGTTACCAATTAAATAAAAGTATAAGTTCATATAAACATATCTTTATTTTTCAATTAAATTTAGGTTTAATATACAATGCACATATATGCACATTAATACTCACTTTACAAAATTAGTCAGTTCTTCTATTCTTGATGTACGAGTTTTAATCATCTAAACATAAAAACAAATGATCAATTATTGTAATTTGAAATTAATAAAAACCATTTTTTAAACAGTCAAAAAAATTTAAAAGAAATAATATGAATATGAAAAATAAAATATAATATAAAATCATTTTGTTTATCACGTTTCATGTTTGATGAAAATCATAATCATAATTAAAAATCATGTTTAGGTTCTTAGTGGAAGGACTTATTCTAGGACTTTATTTTTATTTACATATGTGTTTGTTTTTATACAGTTGGGTTTTCACTATTTTGGTCCCTATAATTAATTTATTTGAAGATGTTACCTAGAATATACTACTAGATATTAAAGTGAATTCAACAACTCATTCATTAAAATTCATTCATCTATTTAGTTTTTACTTTATTATTCTATTAATAAATTATTAACTTAATGATTAAATCTTTAAATGATAAATAAATAAATAAACAAATTAATGTGCAGCCTTATTAATTTTATTTAATACATTGTTTTTAGTTTTATTGAAAATTTTAGAAGTTAAATTAGTAACATGTGCTTAAAAAGAATGCTGGCTTTTAATCTAGAATGTATTTAAAGTCAAGAGAGGAGCAGAGACAATATGATTGACCTCTGAAATAAGATTTTTATTCAGCAAAAAGTACATTATAGTATGAAAAATTAATAATTTAGAAACAATTTTATCTAAAAGTACAACTAAAAAACCAGCATTCTTTACAACCATGAGTTACTAATTTAAATTTCAACATTTTCAATAAAGCTGAAAACAATTTATTAAATAAAGGTAATAAATTCAATGCATATAAAACATTCAAAAACTTTAAAAACAATTAACACTATGTGAATCTATTATAAATCATTTACAATTTCAAAATCAAAAAAGATATAACTTACTAAACAGTACCAATAAAAACTACACAAATAAATCTAATAAAATACTTAAGCAAAATAGTAAGGTTAAATGAAAAAATACAATTATTAACAACATAGTGAATGAATTAAAAACAAATAATTCCAGTAGATAAATTTAATCCTATTGTTATCATTTACACTAATAATATTTATAAAAAAAACTTGAGATTTTATAAATAATAATAATATTCAAAACTTAATATATGACCCAGCTATAATTTACACTAAATTAATTAATTAAATGATAACAAATTTGAAAGAAATTATACCTAAAGTCCAAAAAAAAAAAAATATTATTAAAATCTGATTACAAAATAGAGGCGCCACACTTACATACATTCAACAAATTGCATAAATAAGATAATCCTATCCATCCATTAATTGAGTTTAAAACTACTCCATCTTATAACCTTGCTAAGTATTTGGAACAGCTTATAAAATAAAATAAAACATAAATACTAATACTTCTATAGAAAAAACATATGATTTCTTTAAAAAAATTAATAAAATCAATATTAAGCCTGGTTACAAAATGATTTCTCTTGATGTACCCAATAGATATACATTCATTTTTAAACAAAAAACAGTACATTTTTTAAAAAATAAACTTCTACAATGAGATAAATTTAATACAAATAGAGTACAAGAAATTATTCAATCAGTAAATGTAATTATTAATCAGAACTATTTCCAATATAATAAATGATAAATAAATAATAAATAATAAATGATGAAGTTGGGTTAATTATGGTGGTTCTTTAAGTGCTCATAGATCTGAAATTTACATGCAATATTATGAAACCAATAATATTATTAGCAACAAAATATACAGTCCATTTATAAAAGCATATTATAGGTATATTAATTTTATTTAAAGGTTCAAATAGACAAGCAGAACATTTAGTTAACTACTTGCTCAGAATCATTTTATAGTACATCATTGCTTACAGATGTCCATTAAATTTCCTTCTATATCCTACCTTACCAACTTCCCACCAACAACTCATCCCACTTATCCTAGTAAAGCTTTTTTTTCTAATATTTGTTTAATATTATACATATCTTCCCGCTTATTTTTTTTTCGAGTGTTTCCAATATATTGAGAAAATCAAAAAATGACCTCAAGTCACAAAATTTAAATTTTAGAGTGTTGTTATACTTGTACATTTATTTAAATCTATATTCATAAATTTTATATGACAAACATACTATTATTTTAATTTAATTTATTATTTCTTAAACTGAACACACAAATGTTGGACCAATTTTATTTTATCAGATGTTCTTTAAAAAAAAAAATTAATTTGAACTTTTAATGAAATTAAATTTTAAATGTTCTTTTTTAAAAAATCTTAATGGTTCATAAAAACTTTCCTTAGGGTTAAACAAATATTTTTTTAATAACAGCCAAATCTGTTCAGTCATTTACAAGTTTTGAGCTTACCAACATTTTGAGCTATTCATTTTTATTTACATAGATTTATGTATTTTGATCTGGCTCATTCAAAACTTAAATAAATAATAAATTGCATTCAGTTCTAATTATACAGCATTTCTAACTTAATTAAATGGGCATTATTACTAAAACACAAATATATCAATAACTATCTAATAAAATAATAAAGTAAAAACAAAATTATTAAATGATTAATACTTNGACAAGCAGAACATTTAGTTAATTACTTAAACAAAATAAATAAAAACATTCAATTTACACTCGAAATACAAATAAATAATAAATTAAAATTCTTAGATATAACAGTTTCCATAATAAAAAATAAATTTGAATTTAATATTTACAAGAAACCTACATAAACTGATATATTACCACATGATTTGATTATAATCATGTGGTATCACCCTTATTCTAAAAAATATTTTTTAATTCAATATTATATAGGTTTAAATGTATTCAATTGAACATAATTATCAACAGGAGCTCAATATAATCTATAATATAGCCCATAGAAATAATTTCAATTTAAATACTATTAAAAAAATTGCATAAACGTGTTAGAGAACAAATAATACAAAACTCATAAAATAATATTATTAACTATTGTAATATGAAATATCAAAATAATATGCCTAACAAATTTGCTAAAATTCTGAAGAATAATACAATGTAAAAGACTTTTAGCTTTTAAGACTAATAATAATTTAATCAAAGTGAAATGTATAAATAGTAGAACTAAAAACTTCACCAAAAATCCCCCCTCTTTTGAAAATGCTGGTATATATAAATTTAAATGTAACTGTAATAAATCGTATATATTTAAAATAAGAACAAATTTCTGAAATAAAATTTAAAAAAACTGCCTCTAATTCAAATTTTGCTAAACATGTTTAAGAAAATAACTATAATATAAGTTTTGATATTAACACAGACTTAGGGATATTAAATACTCAAAATAATATTTACATTAATTCAATTTTTGATGAATTACATAAATACAATTAAATAAAGAAAAATAATTTTAATAATATTTTAAATGTACAAACAGATATTAAAAATAATATCTCATAAAAATAAATTTTAAATAATAAATAATAACCAAATGATTTATACTTCTTAATCTCTATATTTCTATATATATATATATATGTGTCTAATAATAACCCATTGTGTATTTTTTTCCTATGTATTCCTCCATTTTATTTTTTATATTCATTTGCGTTTTATATTTTAACTGTGATATACCTGATGATGAATATTACACTTATCATAATACTGTAGGCAACACATTAATTTATTCATTTAATTATTTATAAATGTGTGGGAGATTATCAATGTGGTTTCAAATGGGGAAAATCAACAATGGAGCAACTGTCAATTATAGGACAGGTCATTGAGAAAAGATATGAATATTTGCAGAATATGTGGTAACTGTTTATCCCAGCGGTTTTCAAACTGTGGTACACATACTACTGATGGTACAAGGTAGGTAACATAGTGGTACACAGAAGGCTAGGTAATAGCATGGTAACAGTATGGAAAATAAATTAAACAATATTTGTACAAATATTTTTTAATGGATCGAATACTAATACTACTAATACTATATTATTATTATATTGAAGTATATTACTGTCTTATACTCTTATCATTTTGAAATAAATGCAAAAACATTATGAATAGTTCAATTTTTATGATTAGTTGAGATGGTACATGGTAGTAACAGAGCCATAATAAATATAAGTGGTACAGGAAATTAAAAATTTGAGAACCTCTGGTTTATTCATTTTAGAAAAGTGTATGATAGCATTCTCAGGAACAGGTTGTACAAAATAATATTTGAGTTTGGTTTCCTCAAAAGCTAATACAACTAACAAAGCTGTGCATGGAAGACACACAATATTGGGTAAGGGTGGAAAACATAGTGTTATCAGCCTTCACAGTTGAATCAGGTTTGAAGCAAGGAGGGTACTGCTGTGCACTGAGGAAGGTGTGTTGATCAACAACATACAATTTAGGCTACTCAGATTTGTAGATAATCTGTACAATATAGGAGAGATACTGGAAGATATTGTCAATGCAGTGAGTGTTTTTGGAAACAGAGACAAGTAAGAATGGGCTATAGATAAATTCAGATAAAACAAAAATAATGGAGCTTATAAATAGTGAGGTAGGTGATTTTAAGTATTTAGGTACAACGTTAAACACATTAGGAAGAATGGTGAAGAAGATACAACAGTTACAGGAGATGTTGGAAATAGGAACGATAACTAACTTTATCAAAGGTCAGGAGATACATTGGCTTGGATGAACTACTAAGAGCAACCCTTTAATGGGTACTGGTGATGTCAATTATCCGGATTTGAACAAACTAGATAAATTATATCTGTTTATTCAAAATCTGAATTTGGATTTATCTGATATCACTAAAGGGTACTCAAGGAAAGAGACCACGAAGCAGACTAAGACAAACATGGCTGGATAAAGTAGAGGAAGACTTGGTGAAGATGGGCATTAAAGAATTGGGGTGAAGAATTGGAAAATATAGTACATGACAGGGAAAGGTGGCACATTATTGTGGTGGTGGCCAAAACTCTTAGAGAGTAGATACCCCAAGGAAAGGAGAAGATTATTTACGAATATTAACCATTTAATAATTTTGTTTTTACTTTATTATTTTATTATTGATTGAATCTTAAATTAAAATAAATTTAAAATATAAAATTATATTATTAGTTATAAATATCTATTATTTTGTTGATTTTTGAAAGTTTTAAAATCCAATCCCCAATAATTATTATTAGTATCTAAACAAATATAAATTATTTGTAAGGACTTTATAAAAATAATTATGATTATATATTAATGAATTCCAAAAATACAAAATTAAATAAAAAATGATATAAATTAATTTAATTGAAACTACCTAATAATAATAATGAAAAAAATACCAAGGAAAACAATTTACTTATATTATATGATATGAATTTTACCATTAATGATTCTGAGGCTTCTTGTATTTGTCCATTCCACTTATAAATTGATGTAATATTTGGAAGTAAGTTGACACATGCTGCTAGATCTTTTTGTATAATGTCACTATAATGGTATTACAAAAATTAAATGTTGAAATTAATAGTGAATATATTTTGTACCTACTGTTATTTTTTTTAAATTTTTCAGTTAAATCTAAAAAGAAATGTTAAGTTTAAAAACGGACCATTACTAAGGAAAGAAATATTCTGAGCAGAGTTCATTCATGAGAGCAGTTGATAGTGATGTTTTCCATATTTAGCATAATTTTTATATTATCTTTAATAATATTTATTCAATGAACCAATTCTCCTACTTTATTTATTTTTTTTGGTTTTTCAAATTGTTGACAAAACTCCCGGGAAAATCGAAAAAAATTACCTTCTTAAAGTACCTCTCCACATCAATTTCCACTCAAAAAAGGGGCTACACTTAAAAATTGGATCAAGATTTCTGGTAGAAGAGTTGCACAAAGATAAAAAATATAAAATAAAATAAACATCTTTGTAAATCATATGCTTCTTCACTCCACTCAGAATCTAAAAGGATGGACATATTTTGCATATAGGTGCAGCCACTGTTGTATGTAAGAAGTTAGTAAGATAGGGAATTTAATGTATATTTGAGTAAAGATTGCTAACGAAAAAAAATAATTCTGAGCGAAGTTCAGTTAATAGTGTTGCTTTGTCAATAAAATATATGTCATATTATGGTAAAATGATTATAACAATGTAATGTGCCATTTTAAAACAACAATGATTGTTTAAAAAAGATTAAAGTAATAAAAACTTAATAATAACAAAGAATAAATAAAAAAGGTTGCCAATGACATTATTTTTAATTCTTCCATCTTTTTTAACCCAAAGAACCAGGCTTTCCTCATTAAATCAAATATTAATTAGAATTTAAAAAAATGTCCTCTTAAAGTACCACCCACAGAAAATTTCCTTTCAGAAATGGTGCTATACTTAAAAATTCTAGTAAACTTTCTGTTAAAAAGTGTATACATAAAAAAAAAATAAAGAAAAAGAACATAAATATCTTTGTAAAATCAATAAATTCTTTGCTAAACTCAGAATCTAAAAACATTATATTAAAAATAGAACTTTAAATCTGAACTACTTTTTAAACTCGAAGTTATAAAACAATTCCTTTAGAGGATGTGATACTTGCATATTATATCTATTTAACAGGTATTTAATAGGCTAACAATTTGTTTTCAATATTTACAGTGTCAGGTTTACCTTCAAGTAAAATAAGCAAGTATCAAAAATGTCTATATTTTAAAGGTATCAAATTTGGCATATACAACACATAAAAAAAAAGAAAAAACTGTATTAACTTCATTTTATAAAAATCAGTTCTCAGATATCTTATAATAGATAATTTTATAAACTGTTTTGAAAATTAACATAAGAGACACAAATGCATATTTTAAATTATTAGAATAAAATCTTCGAGGAACATTGATAATATTGTACATACTTTAAATATGAAAATATGATAAAATAATGAAAAATAAAATATGAAAAGAAAGAAAAGAAGCTTATGGTTTTAGAAAGATGTTTATTTTTTTTTTTGTGTGCCACATTTCTACCAGAAGACTTGCTCAGATTTTTAAGTGTAGTAGTTTTTCTGAAAGTAAATCTATGTGGGGAGGTACTTAAGAGGAGTCATTTTTCGATTTTCTCATCAAATTTGAAAAACTGGGATAAAATTTGAGAAACTGGGAAAAACGTAGAAAAATTGGTACAAAATTAAACAAATATTATTTAAGAAAATATATAAAGGCTATGTAATTATTTTACTATGAAATGTTGATAAAGCATCACTATCAACTGAACTTTGCTAAGAGTTGTATTTTTATTTGCAATGGTTTGTCGTTGCTTACAGGTATACATTATATTACTTACAACAGTGGCTGCATTCATCCCCATTATACTAGGAGTCTTTTTGTTTTATGTACTACTCACAGAAATAAAGACTACAAATATTTATATTTCAATAATTTTTTTATATTTTTCGAAAATAATAAAATAAAAAGATATTTGTTTTTTTACTAAATCATATAAATTTAATTCAAATATAAATAAATTAGTAGTCCTTATCCCCATGTGTAATATATAAAAAAAAAAACAACCAGAATTTGATCATCTTTATTATCTCAGGAGATATTGCAACGGGTATATCTTCGTGGGATAGCTATTCTATTATCTAAATAATTAAAGGTGGAAAATGAGAAAAAATAAAACCAATAAATTTATAATAAAATATTGGAGGCTTAAATCCAGAAAATCAGATTCAATACATATATAAACTCGATACATGTATATGTATATATAAAATATAATACAAAACATAGTTCTCATGTTTCATAATAATTGATTTTAACATTTTTAATTGTATTGAGAGGACATAAATTATTGAGATTTATTGAAAATCATACTTAGATATCATAATATCATTTTTTTATCTATACAATTCAAAATTAAATAGTTGATTATACATTGAAGTTTCAGAACTTAACATTTTTTCATTTACAATAAAATAATCAATTATTTTTTATTAAACAATTTGTTTACAACTGTTTAAAAAAAAAAAAAACAGAAAATCACCTGTCTAATTAGAATAATATATTTTAAAATTTTAAACTATACCTACATTTATACATTTCAATTTAACGTTTTTATGGTTACTAGGTTTTAATTAATTTTTTTTCACTACAAACTTACTGAGCTAATTCTTTTGCTATCTTAATTGATGGCGCAGTTATATAAACTATGGAATGCAATCCTGATCTGTACATAATATTCAATTGAATATTATAATAGTGAAACAACAAAACAAGTGTTAGTTTTCACTAGTTCAATAGGTACCTTCGTAGTGTTTACTGTTATCTAAAACTTGTATTTATCACATTACTATATATTAATTTTTTTTTTCATAGTATTTACTTACACGTCGTGTTGATATTAAATCCAGCGAGTTTTGAACAAAAACTTTTTGAACTATATAGGTAGTAGGTATATTAAATGTATGGTGATTCTTTATTATCTATATCTGCTATATATTGTTTACTCCTATAGTCATATCCTTCTGAACCTTATCACGTTGATAAAATAATCAGCGAATAATTCTTGCAAATTCGGCCGATATGATAAGATAAGTGAATAATAGATAAGACTTTTAACATGGGTGGTTTCCATAGATAATATTGTTTCCGACTTGCCATGTTAGTTTCATAATATTGAATATTCAATTTTGTCGTCAATTTCATCTCGCTGACGTTTATGACATATTCTAGGAATATTGATCAAATTTTCGTAATTTTACAGTTCTTGAAAGAACTAATTTTTTCTAACAAGATGGGTGTTGTTTCACATTTTGTAAGTACCTCCTTATTAAAAATATTGGCTTTTAACTTTTTATACTTAATATATTTCCAATTAGTAAATACCCATCTATCTATCTTCTTTATCTTCTTCCTTAGCATACCAATCCGTTCAACATATCCATCACCAAACCTCTCCAATTTTTTCTGTTGTATACCTCGTCAAAAGTACCGTTTTCATTTATACTTTTGATGGCATGAGCTGTAATATCGACCATGGGGTTCTAGGTCTTTTTAATGGTACATTTTATGTTTATTGTGTTTACCTATACTACTTGCAGAACTTGTCAATCCCCTCTCCTAATACATCTTAACCATTCTAGATGTTTGCTAATTATGTATGATAAAATATTTGGCCTGTTATATCTTTGGTCCCAGGGAAAATATGCTTAAGTCATTTTTTTGTTTATTTTATAATTTTGTCTTTTGGAATTTTTTCAGCTTTATTTATTGGTGTGAATGGCATAAGTACATGTATTTTAGTTAATGTATGTAGTGTATTAATGTAAGTACAAGTGTATTTATTTTTAAATTTTTAAATTGCTCTTATTGAAAACTAAGTACACAAAATTAACTCAAGTTCTTATTCCCTGAGACCAAAGATATAGTTTCTGTAGTTCTTGATTTTTTAATTTTTCATACATTTTTAACTGCATTATATCTTGGTCCATATATATTTCTCAATACCTTTCATTCAAAGGTTATTAATTTTGTGCTGTCCTCATTAGTAAGTGACCCTTGTTTCGCTCCCATATGTGATTACTGGTTATAAGTAACTAAGGTATAGGAATGTCTTTGAATTTTGTGTTAATAGTTTTAACTTAAGAAGTTTCATAATGGTATAATAACACTGGTTGCTACATGCTATTCGTTCAGTAATTATTTTGTCTTTTTCACTTTTTCGAAGCTATAGTTATGTCTTTACTATCTATGTTTGGGATTCTTCTTGTTACCATTAAATATTTAGTTTTATCTTAATTTATGTGCAGACTTATGGACTTGCTTTTAAATGTATAGATGTACTTATGATTTCATCTCTTATCTTTCCTATAAATACTATGTAATCTGCATACACCAAAATTATGTGTTTTCCACATATTTTCATTTCTCAGTCATCCTTCACATCTCTAATTACTTTTTCAAGTGATAAATAAAATAGGCTAGGTGACAAGGCATTTGCTCCTTGAAGACCCGATTTTAAAAGTTTTAGACATGTTACATTCTTTTATCAAGTTCATGCATATTTCTAAGATACTTAATACCTCCAGTGCTTTCAATAACTCTCCCCAGTCAATATTATCATAGGTTTATTTTAGGTCTTTAAATATAAGGTGTAGTTCTTTATCAAATTCATACTTGCCTCAGTATAAAGGTATGGTCCAATGTTGATTTGCTTTTTCTAAGAGTAATGATGTAAATACTTAGTAACATGTGTCAAGGAGAGATATTCCTCTATACTTCTTTACTTTGGTTGGATCTCCTTTTTTTTAATACAGGATTTATTATTACTGTATTATTTCAGTCCTCCGGTATAATGTCTTTGTCTGATATGAAATCTTTAATGTTTCTTCTTTTTTCAGTGATTCAGCGACTACTCTTGCTATATATATATTTATCTATACTCTATAGAGTTTAATATTATAATTAAAAACACATATTTAGTTTATATCTCATTGAGTTAGTTTAGAACTCATCAAATCAAAAAAAAAAAAAAAAATACATGTTTAACAGAGTTGAAAATACATCAAGTTAAACTTTTACATTTAAAGATTATTATGGATGATATGGAAACAAAATAATAATCTGATTAATCTTTAACAATGTTGTTTTTTATTAGAAATATATTTTTTATTTAAAATATATCTTTTCTATTAATAAAACGAACTATAATTTTTATTTGGTATTTTTACCTAAACATATAAATTTGTTTAAATTCGTTTTAATTGGGATTCTTTTGAAATCTTCTCTAATGACCAAGTACATTTTTTTTTTACATTATATTTAATTACTGTTTCTATATACAGAGTGATTTTTTTTTTTACCGTGAACCAGCAATTATCTTGACATTTTTTTAAGTTAATTTGATTTCTGTTTTTTCTAATCATTATGGAATCTTTTAAGCTTTATTTTAAAACTATTTTAAATTTTTTATCCCTTCTCCGTATACCTTAAATAAGTACATACTTTTGATTTTCAAATAGGAACCCCCTCCTCTTTTGAACTCAGATTTGAATAGAAAATATTTTTCTAGATATGTTGAAATGCATAACATTAATATCAGATTTACCGTTTATGAATTATAACAGTTTAAAGTTTAGACCAGAGGAGTAAGGAAAGGTAATAAATTGCCTATGTGTAATCCATATTATATATATATCTGTCAGATTGATATAACTAATTTCTAGTATAATGTTCTTTACAGTGGATGAAAATGTTACATTATGTACATTAAGTACTTTTATGTGATTATACTAATAACTGACTATTATTTAATTTTTAGGTTGCATTGGGCTTGGGTGTTTATTCAGGAATTTATGTAGCACAAAATTATGAAGTAAGTTTAATATTATATTTTTTTATTTGTTTCCTGATAATAGCTAAACACATTTATTTTATTATAGGTAGCCAAGGTCGATGAGCCCAGTGTAGTTATAGACAAATTAAAAAGGTATTTGGAAGAAATATTGAAGCCTAAATCATAAATATAATATAACTATTGTGACATTAAAAATGTAATAGTTTTAAACTATCTATTTGTATTTGTAAATATAAATTAATAAAAACAATATAATTAAATACATTAGTAATTCTAACATTAGATATAAACTTATGTACAATTTACATTTTTGTCTTCTTATTTTTAGTTTTTATCTTTACATATCATAGATTATTTAGAAAACTATAGTTAACTTTTAATAGTTCGAAGCAATAAATGATTATTTGGATTTTTTTGTTTGCATAGTATAGAATTGAGAAACTAGTAAAATAATTTTTTTTGGTAAAACCTTTTTTGGTACTATTAATGTTCATTAACTTATTTAAAAAGTTTTTGAATTAAACCTGTGTTTTTGTTTTCTTAGGGAAAAGGGTATATAATATTGTACAACATGTTATACAGAATGAACCTACTTATTTTACAATATATTATATGAATACATAATATGTCAGTTAGGTAATTGTATAATCAGTGAATAAATTTACCATAATTACCCACAATAAATAAAATAAATAACATTAGAACAAATATGAGACAAAAAAGTAAAGTATAAAACTTAAATTTAAGAAATACAAAATAAATAAATAATAATAATAAAATATACATAATACTCTGTTTAGTTTAACATTATTTTATCATAAAACACATATTTTGTAAATCACTTATATAATTCTAATTCCTATTACAAATAAAAATTGTATATAAATATTTTAAGTTTGGTTTGAAAAAAGTATATACTTCTGATAAGGAATACACAACTCATAATATCAAATGTGAAATCTATGTAAAAAAGTATACTCAGTTAAACTAAATCAAGATGATAGTGGTAAAAGTCTTTAACTCTTAAATATCACTCCGTATCTATTTATTTTAAGAGTGGCTTTTCAGTTTCTTATTAGAGGATGCAAACATTTTAAAACGCCAATTTCTGCCACCAGACACCAACCCATTATTGTTTAAACAAATTTCCACCATAATTCATAAGCATTTTTTTCTTGAAATTACATATAATACTACCTATAAGTTATAATTAATACCAATATTTTATAAACAGAGTTGGGTAACATTTTATAAAATGATTATTCAGATGAAAATGTCTTAGAATAATTGTAAAAACTGATTCAAAATAAAAATTGCAAAAAAAAAAAAATGAAAAAATAATTTTCATTTATTTTATTTGGTTAAACATTGGTTAATGATATACATTAAAATACAAACATATTAAAAACAATACTTAGCCTTGTAATTTTAAGTTATACTATTGTAAATTTTATTATTTTGAATTAAATGCAAAAACAATATACAATTTTTGTATAGAGTTGAATATTATTATTTGAAAATTATTCGAATAAATTTTAATTTGAATAACTATGAAAAATTTATCCAAATAATAATTTATATGAATAAAATTGAAAAAGAAATGGATACAATCTATGTCTATACCTATATGAATAATGAAAACAAATTGGTCAGACTGGGTAATAAGCTATCATCTGGTATCTAGAATCTAGGTCTATGTTCTATAGCAGCAATAGGTATTTGTTTGAAAAATCAGGCGGGTAGAAGCCTGGATGTTCATGAATTTAAGGAAAATTAATTTTTTTACAAAAACAAAAGTCTTTAAAAGAATTTTAGACTGAAAATTGATAAATTGCATTAAAAACTACCAAGAAAACTGTAAAATATTGTAAAAAATGCAAAAAATAATAGATAACAGACAAGGTGTGGTATGTTGGTGATTTTTGGTTAGGGGGTTTGTGGGTGAGAAATTAAATAGGTGATTTGAGTTTAAAATACTTCTTACTGCCACTGTATAATAATGTAAAATTTACATAATTACAATGTATTTGGTCCATAATGTAAGAAATATCAATTTTAACTGTAGGTCCTATCTACAGTCGAATCTAGCACACACAGTAGTTTAAAAAGCTGTCCTAAGATAATGGAGACAGGTGCAACTACTGTTGTAGGTGGGAAGTTGGAAAGGTAGGATATAGACAGGGATTTAATGTATATCTGTAAGCAACGATAAACCATTGCAAACGAAAAAAACAATTCTGAGCGGAGTTCAGATAATAGTGATGATTTGTCAACAATATACTATATATGCCATATTATGGTAAAATAATTATATAATATGTAATGCATATTATCCATTTATTGGAAAAAATCTTGGCAATATCAAAAAGTGACCTTGAAGTACCTCCCCAGTTTGATTTACTTTTAGAAAAAGTACTATCATTGTAAATTAAAGCAAAATTGCTGGTAGAAAAATTGTACATTAAAAAAAAAAAGGCCACAAATTTTTACTTAATTTTTACCTACATTTCGTACATTTTCGGTTTTTCCGACATTTTATCCCGGTTTTTCGCGGATATTATGAAAACCGCTTTAAAAATCAAAAAATGACTTCCCTATAGTACCATACAGATAAAATTTCCTTTCACAAAATAAGGTACACATACACTTAATACACCAGAGCATGATTTCTGGTAGAAAAGTTTACACAGCAAATTAAGGACTATTTTACGATTAAAATAGTCCGAGCGAGTGATGGTTTGAGTCTCTAGGTACACCTAAAAGGCATTTGTTTTTTCCGTGTTTAGGTAAAGGGGAGAAAACAAATTCAAATAATATTTTTCGAAACTCGGATTTGAACTCATGATTCCTAGGATGGCAATAGGTAAGAAAAACCATTAGGTTACGACAAACATTCTTCAAAAAGACAATCCAGTGTTATTTAACTTAACATAATATAATATTCGCATAATAACAAAACTTCAAAAAGCTATAATTTCGAAACTAAGTCCGCTAAGTTCTGACCCCACCATCGTTCTTAAATCAGCAATATGTTTAAAACAAAAAATTTAAAAATTAGATTTATTTCACATAATTTTTCACTCAAATGATTTTCGTAAAAATTTGATATTATAATTCCTTTATAAAAAAAAAAAAAATACCACACTAAGCTCAATTTTTCTTTTTTGGCCATAAAGTACGACTTTTAACGAATATCCCGTTGAATTGTCAAACATTTCTGTACAATCTAACATTTTCATCTCAGATTATCTACCGAATGAAAATTACCTTCAAAACTCAAAAAATCAAAATATCTATAAATAGCTCATGAATGGCTAAATTTTACCTCGTCTAGAAATGGCAAATATAAGCTTTGAGTTAAAATTTTAAGTCTCTAAAAATATTTTAAAATAAATTTCAAGAAAATAACAAAATTGAAAATAATAAAAACATTATTTTTGTAAATATATTCTCGTTTTTCATTACGTTTTATCCTGATTTTTCACAGATATTATGAAAACTGCTAAAAAATCAAAAAATGACTTCCTAATGTACCATATAGACAATATTTTCTTTCAGAAATTGTACTGCATGTAGTTGCGTAGTAATTCTAAGTATATTTCAATTATCAGAAAAATCAGTGGTTGGTGTCAATTCTCAATCCCTCCCTTAATTTGTATTTTTAGATTCAAAACTCTAAATTTATGTAAATTGCTACAATCTTAAAAAAATACTTAATCGCATATCGTTACATATCATAACTTTAAGTAATATTACGCGTAATATAAATAAATACAATAAATACCTAATATTATGCATGTGCAATTCTTATAAAAAAAAGAAAATGTGTTTTTCTTGTTTTTCACAATAATTTTTTTGTTCATTTACCAAAAACAAACTTGTAAATCAAAAATTAGACTATATGAAACATATCCAAGGTCACTATGATTTGTAAATAAAATCAATTTTTAAAATTAGTTTTAGTGAAATTTGTCAGTAATTGGTGTTTTCAACATTTCTACTGATACTGAAATGTAATGTTTGTCGTTGGGGCTGTAGCTCAACCTTCACAAAAGTAGCATATATATCTTTATCGCATAACACGATACGTTATAGAAGAAATCGAATTCGTGAAACTGTTGTAGAAACAGACAAAGCTTTATGGCATTTCAGAATATGTATAACTGAACTTGTTTTTCGTTGATTACAGTCTTATAGATATAAATTAAATAACTTTATTTATTCTGTTTTCCTAATTATTCACCTACAACAGTGGCCAGCTCCGTTCCAGTATAATCAATTATTTTTTGTGTTTGTAAACCACTTTTCTACCAGAAATATTGCTCCAATCAAAAAATTACAAAATATCTTTTTTGTTACATTTTAAATCTTGTTGAACTAATGAGGTCTATTTTTGATTTTCTCTGTAGTTTTCTAAATAATTGGCAAAATTTAGGCATAATGATTATGTATTTTTAGATGACTTTATTAAATCAATAAAACAATATTGACAGTTGTTAATAGATTCAATTATTTTATAAATAAAGAAAAAACAAACAACCGTATTTTAAATAATAATTATATGTTCAAATGACATTTGGCTTGAATTGCAGTGTTATTATTATAAATATGGAATAATTAAATCTTAAATTGGCGTTATTAGCGTTATCAACAAACTGATTTTGTTTTAATTTGAAAAACCTTCATAGTTTACAAAGAATTTACGTTAATATTAAATTTCTACCAATTTATTCATGCTTTTGCATTATTATTTAGTATAAATTATAATAAATTCTGTTAATTTTTAACTACAAGACATGTTGTTATAGTTATTCTTCATCTTCTCTTTCGTCTTCAAATCAACAATTTGAAATCGGCCATCTTCTGGTGCTGGTTTTTGTAACTTCTTCATTTAAAATTTTGAAATATAAAATATTCGTACACACAATATTAAAGGAGTGTGTAAGTTTAATTCTTTCTTTATTACTTCATTTTAATCTGTTAACTATGTAATTATTGTTATTCCTTACATATCATTTTTTAAATACAATATAATACGTTAAGTACTTAATATTCTTTGTTTTCAATAATTATATAGGTATAAATAAATTATAAATTAAGTTAAAATTTTGAAGTATATAATAATAAAATGACTAGGAATTATTAAGTGTTCTGTGTGCGCCATATAATATTTTATTATTGTAATTTAAATAAGAATGTAACTTATAATTTAAACTAGATACTATTTATTACCATTCTGGAATAGCTTCATCAGCTGAGTGTTAATTAAAATCATTATTAATTAATTCAATCATTTTGTTTCGATATACCTAAATAACTAATATTAAAACAAATAATAATTACTATGGAATTTGCTGTCCTGGATATAATTCATTGTATTCTTGAATCCATAAATTCTTGTGCAATGGTACATATCCTGAATTTGTTATAATAGAAAAATTATTTATCTACCTACTTATTTATATTAGTCGATATTAATTTTTTTTTTTTAAGGATAAATATACATGACTCAGAAACCGGTAAATTGTAAAGCAATAAAATTAAAGGAGTAACGGTGCTAATGCTATTATAAAAGTAGAAGTGAAGTGAGCTTATGAACTAATGAAAAAGCAGACTTGGCGACAATGCAATTATCACTACCAATAGATTGACTTTTTTCAGAGGTGGTTTGTGACTTGGCCTTTTTTCACAGTTAGGTTTCTGTTGAGGAATATGTTTGCTTAACTATATTATATGTATTAGAAATTAAAAATTACCGTTTAAAAATATTCTTATTATGTATGTTGAATAATGTTCGCCTATGATTGTTTTTCCTGAATAATTAATAAAATTAGGTCTATTAACTATTTTTTTTTTTTTTTGCATATAGCGAATGTTTTGTTCTATAACGTAAGGCTTATAAAAAAATATGATATAGTTATTATGTGTTTAAATTAATATACCTTCTCTTAATTCATCAAATTTTTCTTTAGTAATGGGATCTTAAAATTACATATATATTTTAATATTTAATAAATCGATAAAATATTGCATACATTTATAAATTAAGTAACTGTGTATTATGTATACTGATCCTACCTTCCCAACTTCCAACATATAACAGAGGCTGCATCTGTCCTAAGTATTAGCTATTTTGTTTTTTATTCTTCTTTCTTCGCATTCGTCAGTACATCACAATAACAATACTCAATAATATTTAATCATAATAAATTATTATCATTTAGAATAACTGAAGTCTGAAAACGCAGCCTATTTAAATATAATTACAACAAACGAGTCCATAGAAACGAAATAAAATTGTATTATTGATACTTATAAAGATGAAGATTTTATAAATCATAGGTTCGAATGAGTTATCCTAAATCCTTATGCATTATTATCTTATGCATCAAGACTTCAAGAGGTGCTCCTAAAAATATTGTAAAATTGGGGGAGAAATGGCCCCTTTGCACCCTTTGACATTTATTAATTTTTCGCTTTGGGTAGTACCAACTTTCAATTCACAAGTAAATACATTATATCGTTTTTTGAACATTTTGAAGTTTCCAAATAAACTTAAATATGGTTAGTAGTTATTATAGTTTAGGTTATATATAACTTACCATAAATATCTGTGAACATTGGCAGTAAGCTTTCTCCTATTTTTTTACATTACATATAATTTATTAATAAGTGAGCTTTAGTTGCGAGGAAAAAAATGTCGGGATTAATGGATCACAAAAATTTAAAAATTTAATACCTATGTTGATAATATGTAAGTACTTAAATAATAATGTATACTTACCTGGTTACCTGATTACTCGTTTGAACAAATTATTTGTTGTTAAAGACTGACAGACTTATAAGTCATACCATTGTGGTATTAATTATTTTATACAGCGGTTTGTCTGGGTATGAACAAGGTTTTAATTAGAGAAAAGAAAACATGGGTTGGGTTGCATTGAAATTATGTACCACTCAAATTATATTTTAGATTCTGAGTGGAGATAGAAGCTTATGGTTTTACGAAGATGTTTTTTTTTTTATCAATTTTTCTATCAGACGATTTGCTTGGATTTCTACGTGTAGCACCTTTTTTGAAAGGAAATCGGCGTGGAAAGGTACTTTAAGGAGGTTATTTTTCGATTTTCTCAAGAGTTTTCGTATCAAATGTAAAAAACCGACAAAAAAAAACGAGAAAATATAAGAAATGTATGTATAGTTAAAATGTATTACGGCCTTCTTATTTTCTGTGCACAACTTTTCTACTATCAATTTTGATCCAAATTTTAATGATAGTAATGTTTCTTAAAGGAAATTGCACTAAGGAGGTACTTTAGAGAAGTAATTTTTCAATTTGCCAGAGTTTTTTCAGCACATGTGAAAAACTGGGATAAAATTTGAGAAACTGGGAAAAACGTAGAAAAATTGGGAAAATTGGTACAAAATTAAACAAATATTATGCATCACTATCAACTGAACTTTGCGAAGAGTTGTCTTTTTATTTGCAATGGTTTGTCGTTGNATAATTTTTTTATATTTTTCGAAAATAATAAAATAAAAAGATATTTGTTTTTTTACTAAATCATATAAATTTAATTCAAATATAAATAAATTAGTAGTCCTTATCCCCATGTGTAATATATAAAAAAAAAAACAACCAGAATTTGATCATCTTTATTATCTCAGGAGATATTGCAACGGGTATATCTTCGTGGGATAGCTATTCTATTATCTAAATAATTAAAGGTGGAAAATGAGAAAAAATAAAACCAATAAATTTATAATAAAATATTGGAGGCTTAAATCCAGAAAATATTTGCACCAGCAATGATTCTAAAAGGAAATTTCACTAGGACGGTATTTTAAAGAGGTAATTTTTTGATTTTCCCAAGAGTTTTCCCATTAAATGTGAAAAACTGAGATAAAACATGAGAAAACCTAGAAAAACGTAGGAAAATTCGAAAAATCAGTATAACATTAAACAAATTTTATTAAAGAAAATATATAAAGCTTATTTTTTTTTTTTTACTATATAATGACATATATATGTACATTGTTGACAAAGCATCACTATTAACTCCAAATCGATCAGAATCGTTTTTAGTAAGCAGTGGTTTATCGTTGCTTACAGATAAAATCTATTTCTTCTCTATATACTATCTTTTTAACTTCCCACCTACATCAGTAGCTGCACCAGTTTCCATTATCTTACTTTTCTTTTTAATCGTACATTTAATATCGCCTTATTTGTACAATTCTTTGTCGGTGATCGTTAATAACAGTCCGACCGATAATGTTGGTAAAACAATTGCGATTATCAAATATAAATTCTATTATTATCATTTTCAGAAAAAATTGCTGTATAATAATCATAAAATTGACTAAAGAAATAATTTAAACTAAACTTTGATTTAGTATTCTAATGTAGGGGAACACATTTACTTACCCAGAGCATCTGTACAAAAAATAATGTAAAATTAAATTCACTGAGTAGATATGTATTAAGACACAATAAGACCTATTTAATAAAGTTATTTATTGAACGATAATGTGTTTGAAATACATTTAAACAGAGTATAGGTTAATTTTTATTAATTTTGTATTATTTAACTAACGTGTATTATTTAAATTCACTTATTTTAGATTTTGAGCTAAGCGAGGAATGTAATTGTTTTACATTGATGTTAATTTTTTTCTTTTTACAATTGGTCTACAAGCAATTTTGTTCCAATTTATAATGATAGCACTTTTTCTGAAAAGTTATCTAAACGTAGTGGTAATTGGTACTTAAGGGAGGTAATTTTTTTAATTTCTTAGGAATTTTCAAAATAAATGGAAAAAATGGGAAACAGGAAAACAGGGACAATATTAAACAAATATTATTAAAGAAAATATATATGTAATGCAAATGTAATTATTTTACCATAATATAACATATAATATGTATAATATATATAATATTGTATTGACAAAACAACCGAATTCCGCTCAGAATCGTTTTTCGTTAGCACTGGCAATTATTAGTGCGTACAGATATATATTAAATTTCCCCTAAATCATCTAAACTTCTCATCTACAGCAGTGGCCCACCTATATGTAAAGTATTTTAAATTTATCTTTTTTTTCTATGTAAAGAGTTTTTGTCATAGAAGTTTTAATATAACTAGGCATTTTAAAAGAAAGGTACCAAATAATAAGACATTAGAATTATAATTTATAGAAGAGGCTTAATCTAGAGATGGCCACTTTTGAATAGTATATATTATCAACAGTTTTCGATAATTTGAATGAAGGATCTGTTGATCCTTAATCAACAGTATGATTGTTTGTAATGAAGTCTTTGTACAGTTCATCTTCCAGTCTTTCAGGATTTTATTCAAGTATTTTTTCCCAAATCTGTACAATTATATTCAGAAAGACTGTTTTATTAGTTTTTGTTTCGATTTAATTTCCCCTCTCCCATATTTTTATATTAAAAATTATATGAAAAAAACACGATTTGCAAATTCCACAAAATATCACCAGTTGTTGACTACAAAAAAACTAATTTATCAAAAAAATGGAAATATTATAAACTGTAATTACTAATTAATACAGTCTAAGTCTAATACATACTAAGTAATACAGTCTTGTGTATTTTACAAGAATGTATAAAACATTAAGGGCGTATTTTATATTATAAACACTTTTACCAGTTCCAAAATTAGTGCTGAATGTTTTGGTGTTAATATTAATAAAGTAGGTTTTGATGAAGGCAAACAATTTTGGATGAACAATTTTGATACCGTAAGAAAGTAAATCAAAAAGGCAACAATAAAGGTATCTTATGATTTTTAATTAAATTATATTTTTGGTAGAAAACGTCATCGGTGTTTTTGAAATCCTGAAATTGTATGTTTTCCTATGTTTTTTCTCACCTAAGTGCTTTTATTTAAAAAATAATGTCGAAAATCAAAATGATATCTTTAAAGTGCAAACTAAACAACTTGAGCTTTCAGAAAAGTTGTTACACAAAAAAATCAGAGCAAGTTTATTAAGAATAATCATGTCCACAGATTAGAAAAAAAGTAAGAAAAAAATAAATATCTTGGTAAAACCAATAACTCCCTCGCTACGCTCGGAATCTAAAATAAAATAAATAAATGAATCAATGAGTCGCCTGGAGTATTGTGATTAGTATATTATACGACCGGTTTTGAGTTAAGAATTCATCATCAGGTAAATTACAGTCAAAATGTAAAACGTGATTGAATATAAAAAGTTAAATGAAAGAATACCACAGATATATAGATATAGATATAGATTTTTTGTGAAGTTTTTATTTCTATTGTTTATATGCTTGATTAAATTATTATTAGCCTTAAAAGCGATTTTTACATTATTTGTATTATTCAGAATTTTAGCGAATTTGTTAGACATATAATTTTGATATTTTATACTACAATAGTTAACAACATAATTTGGTGATTTTCTGAAAATACTGGTATATATAAACTTAAATGTAACTGTAATAAATTTTATACAGTTAAGATAAATAGAAAGTTTAAAATAAGATCTAAAGAATGCATTTAATAAAATAAAATTAAAAAATACTGCCCCTAATTCAAATTTTGCTAAACATGTTTTAGAAAATAACCATACTATAAGTTTTGATATTAATACAGACATTGAAATATTAAATACCCAAAATAACATTTACATTAATTCAGTTATAGAAGAATTATATATAAAATGAAATAAAGAAAAATAATTTTAATAATATTTTAAATATATAAACCGATTTTAAAAATAATATCTTCTATCAATACATTTAAGATGGTAAATAATAACCAAATAATATTTATATTTCGTAACATATCTATGTCTAATAATAACAAATTTTAAATAATCTCTCCTATTAAAAAAATTATTTCATTGTAAAACGACCAATTTGTATAACTTTTTTCTATGTATTCCTTCATTTGTTTTTTTATATTCATTTGCGTTTTACATTTTGACTGTGATATAACTGATGATGAATTTTTTATTCGAAACCGGTTGTATACCACACTTATCATAATACTCCAGGCGACTCATTGATTCATTTATTTATTTTATTTATATATTTATTTACTATATTTATTTACTTTATATAATGCATATTATGTCATTATTTTACTATAATATAACATATATATTGTTGACAAAGAAACACTATCAACCGTACTCCGCTTAGATTCGTTTTTTCGTTAGCAATGGTTTATTGTTGCGTACAGGTGTACATTCAATTTTCCCTTTACTACTTTTCCAACATCTCACTTATAACAGTGGCTGCACTTATCCCCATTTTCTTATTTCCTAGGACAGATTTTTTTGAATGAAAACATAGTTTCATTTGTGTTAACAATATCTTAATTTTCGCCTTGTAATACTTTATTTGCAATATTTTTCAAAAAACTAATTTTTTTTTTTATCGAAAACACTTTATTGGTTAGACAATATCTCAAATGTTTTACGCAGTTGTTAACTAAGAAATGAGACATTTTTGTATGGCGGTACTTTATTGGAGACATTTTTAGAAAATTTCAACAGTTCATCTCGTTCACCTACTTTTGTTTTTTCTTTGAAAACAAATTTTCAACTAGGAGACTTTGCTCGGACAAAAATCTTTATAGAAACTTTCTTTTACCATTTTGACTTATTGTTGTAAACGATAATTTCATACATGGGGCTGAGTAGGGCTATAATGGCCAGTAAGAGATTTTTAAATTAATTTGTAATACATAAAGAAAGATATATAGATTTTAATAAATATTAATCTTGAAGATTTTTATAAAATTTTTACTAATTAAACATGATAGTTGAACTTTATTTTTTAATATATTTATAATTTTTAGTTTTAATTCTTGTACATAACAAAATATTTATTCTTAGAAATATAAAAACCTTTCCCTAAGTAGGTAGTTATCTTTATTTTCATGATCAACATGAATTACTTTTTAATTTAAATATTTAAATATATTAATATGTATATTGTATATTAAATAGAATTTACATATTATAATTTATACTATGTAACTTACATTTTTTTATTTGTATGAAATATTATATTGTTACTTAATAATATGTTGATGATAATGTAATATAAAACCAACAAGTAAAGGGCTCCTTTCCTTGGAAGACAATATTTTTTAAAACCCCCTCCTATGTTTGACAAAAAATGTGGGGCAATAATATCCATGAGTAGGTATGCATATGTGTTTATATTAACATTTTTGTAAGGGCTATAGCTCCACCCTCCACTCCTAACGAAAAATCAAACGCCTATGACTATGACGAACATAGAGATAGTACAGTATTGACAAACATAGTATAGATTTTACACGGCCAAAGAACTTAACATAGGTAAATATAAATAAGATTCAAATATAAACTATTCTTAGAAATTCTTTGTTATTCGTTCTATAGAGACTACTATCGAATAGTAAAAATTATTGGAATAATTTTCAATCAGTTCGAATAATTCAAATATGATCAACTATTGAATAGGGGTCTATTTCTCCAGCTCCCCTTTTTGGAATTTCGAAAAGAAACCCGTGTTAATCATTTGTACCTTGTTGTAGTAAAATCAGGTACAAACGAGGTACAAACCATTGGTACTGGTTTCATTTTGAAATTCTAAAAAGGAGGGAGCCAGGGAATAGCTTGATATTAAATATTCACTTGAACTTATCACTACTTATAACTACTTACTTATGTATAATTTTCTTCGAAATGAATAACTCACAAACGAATCTTTAGCATCTGGTAAACCTGAAAAAAAATTTAAAAAAATAATTTTAAATATTACTAAATAATCGGTAAATATTTTAGAATAATTAAAACACTTTCTTACCACTGTACTCTATACATCATATTAAAAATATTTTTATGTTAATATGAATATCTGTATTTATAATATATTTTGAAATTAAAAAAGTTATAATTAGGGCACTAAAAAGCGGTAATTTTGGTGAAAGGTAATTCGGGGAATGGATATTTCGACGAAGCATTATTTATTTAGAGTAAAATAATTGAAAAAAAGTTGGAAATGTAGGATACATAAAGTTACTTTATTTTTGTTTGTGCGTAACGATAAATCATTGCTAACGAAAAACGATTCGGAGCGAATTTCGGTAAGATATATTTTGAAATGTGTTTTCAAAATAAAAGGTGTACTAACTAGATTAAAAGTAGCACACGTTGAAATTGGCAATGAAGTACAATAATAACTGAAATAGAAAACCACAGAAAAAAAAAAAAGGTGAAAATTATTCAAATTAGGTAAAAAAATGTCTAAAAGGTATTTAAGGTACCAAAAAATTTATCATACAACATTTATTTTTAATTTTTGTTAGTGTTACTTGATATATGAATTTATTTATTTGTTAATTAGTATAGACTCTCGTGTATATATTTAGACATGCACATATTAATATATTTTATAAAGTAGGTATACCTGATATGTGCAGTAATTATTTTATCAGACTGATTATTTTAATTTATAATTACATAGGTAATAGGTAATAGGTATGAGAAAAATACATTATGGTGGAAAATCGGTATTTTGAACAACAGTTTTATTTTTGATAATAATGAAAATAATATTCATATAATATATTATAGACTTACGAAATATTGTGAGTTGAAATACAGGTTTTTCCATAGTTGTTTTGGCTTAAATCATAAAAATCATTTATTTTACAATGTATAAGTATCATATGCAATTTATGTGCTGAAACTTCCCTAAGCTATTTTAACATTCCTAGTCAGAGGAGCTTTTATTAAATTAAGACCATTTCAGTTTTTTTTTCAATTTCAGTGGGTATACATAGATCTAGGGGGTGGGGGTAGCAAGAGGTACCCATTCACGCTATAACCATGGGTTATATGGAGTATTGAGGGAAATATAATTGAGGTGAGGGAAAGGAAGGTCACGTGTATTAAAAGTTTGGCAAAAGAGATCGAAGAAGTAGAGTAAGAGTAGTATGTTAAAAAACAAGGAAACTTGGTGGTGGAGAGAGTTCTGAGAGCTAGTAAAAAAAAATTTAAGCTTTGGCAGCAAAACAAGAAGAAAGATGATTGAGTTGAGTATAAAATATTTTTTTCCGCCACAAAACTACAGTTATAACAGTGAAATACAAAAATCAATTTAGACTTTTACTAGGGATGAATAATTAATTGGCAAAAAGCTTACAATAATAAAAATAGAACCATATATATTTATGAACTTCTATCTCTTTTAAATTATAGTAGTAATCAGCAAGTATTTGTATTCATATTGATCATTATATTATTTCATTAACAATTATTTAGATAATCTCATATTTTTGTTTTTGTCGATAAAGGGGAGTTTATTTCGTTTCGTGTGTTACACGTTCCTTTTTGAATGCACGAAATATTTTGTTATCCGTCATTCTACCAACATAATCACTTTCTATCACCAATATTATCTATATTAAATTTACAAAAGTATCATTTGCTTAATATACTGATTAACCCGTATAAATTTAAAAAAAATCAGTCCATTAGTTAGGCTACATATAGATTGGACCATTTTCCGTAAAATTAAAAAGGTTAAATAGAAGTTGACTGTCTTGTGTAATAATACTGTAGTTGACGCACAAGCTCTTTATCATTTACTAAGCTCTGCGCCACTGGATATTATAATTATAAAATTCGAAACTAGCCAACAAAATCATACTTACCTTTACATTCCTCGATTTTGGCGGTTTTCTCGGTACTAGAAAATTCTATCTCTAAATAACAGAAAAAAAAATAAAATCTGTTATTGAGGACGTGTGCAACTATTGTAGTGGGTGGACATTTAGGAAGGTAAGATACATAAAGTTATTTAATTTATATCTGTAAGCAAGGATAAACCATTATTTTTTGTCATATTCTTCTTCAGCTTTTATGGGCCATTTAGGCCCACTGCTCCATACAGCCTCATCTAGTACTTTATACCATTTGCCAATTTCTCCAATTTATTAACTTCATGTATCTAGAGGTTCTGGTTGGGTTCATTTATCCACCTATTCTTCTCTCTGTCCTGTAGCCTGTTCCATTTTGATTTCTAGTTAAGTGAATCATTCATTATATCACTTGATCTCCATACTTATCCTCTTTCTTCCTTTAAGTGTTTGTAGGATGTATTCTTCTACCAAGAGTTCTTTAACTTTATAATTTGATCTTATTTCTGATTCTTATTAGACAGATGAATACATCTGTCTGATCATTTTTTTACGGTCTGGAAATAAATTTGTGGAATTTTTTTTAGAATTGCCAGCTTTCTTTCGTCTTCTTTTGACGTTAATCATGTTTCACATGTGTATAAAATTACCAAAACCTTACCAAGACTTTGTATGATTGCATTTTCTATTCCTTTGAAAATAACTTGGACTTGAATGTTTTTTATAACACAAAATTGTATTTGTTTCTAGCTTTTATTCTTATATATTATAAGTATTTACTCATAGTAATTATTCTTGCTGTTTATGTCAACTCCAATAGATTTAAGACATTTTACTTTTTCAAAATAATAATTTGCTATAAGTTAATTGCTATAACCTAAACTTCACTTTGATTCATCTAATGATCATCTAATTGATTTCCTCTTAACTACCATATGTTTAGCTTACCTAGACCGGAACAAGATTTCTGGTAGAAAAGTTATTTGCAGGTAAAAAAAAATAAACATCATTGTAAAACTAACATATTCCTCTCTTCGCTCAGAAAAAAAATGAGTAATTTTTGAAAAAATACAATAAGTACATTATACTCTACTCTTTTTCTTTGACCGCTAAATGCAACTCACGAATATAATGAGCATTCTGTTAAAGTTGTATGCATTTTTGTTTTTAGTACAATTATATCCTCATAGCCAACCAGAGAAACCATGTAAACAAAATTACAAAATGTAATAAAATACCTATAAATTACTTAAAAATCGCCAAAATGTTTTAAACATTTACCACGTATAAATTAGGCATAGATAAGTTTTTTGTCATAATTTGAAATCTCTACGAAAATGTTTAACTGAATCATAACAAAAATTTAGTTAAGCTTCATAATAATAAATAAGTACATATCATAGTAAACCCAATACACATATAATCATCGATACACTAAGAATCTGAAAACAGTAATTCGTTAACTGGAAGTAATATATTATATTATTATATTAAGAACATTGCTATTAATTATTTAATTATTATATATTATACATAATATTTATAGGAAAATGTACTTACTCGTGTAGTCTGAACTCGTAGGTAAGTATATAAAGTAATAATAATTATGAAATTAATGATATTAAAAATAAATCTAATTGGTCAAACATGTTTTGATTATAATCAACTAAAATATGATACGAAGGTAAGTATAGATATTTTTTTCAAAGTTTATCTATAGTCAACATGCCAGGCATTATCGCATCAAATATGTGCTTATCTATACCCAAAAATCTAAACATATTTCATTATTGCCTATTATATTATTTTTTTCTTCTATTATTATGATAGCAACTTTTTAATATTTATAGATAATACTAATCTAAATGCCTACACAAAATTAATATTATATAAGTTCTAGTTGGTAACATTTAACGGAGTATTAAACGAAAATCTACAACAAAAAATCATAGAATTTATCAGAAACATTCTCCAAAATATTCAATCCATTAAGAGCTCCATTTTAAATTTAATAAGTAATAATCTGTTTAATCACAATAAAAATGACAGAAACTAATTTAAATGATATTAAACTAGTAAATTGGAATGCCAAAGGCGTACAATTTATACAATCGTCACTAATGGAATTTATATCAAGCCACAAGATCGACATAGCCTGTTTAATAATACCCACCTAATAAACCATGAAACTTTTAATGTCAATGGTTTCAATAATTATAAAAAAGATAAATACGTCATACACTCATTAGGAGGGGTAGCCATTTTAATTTTAAAAAACATTAAATCGTTTATTCTTAATTTGATCAACCTCGAAGCCATCTCAGTAACAATCAAAACATGATAGACATGAAATAAAAATTATCTCGGTTAAAATCCACTAAACAAAGAAATCAAAAGAGAAGATATATCAGAACTATTCGTAAATCACTCAAAAATACTTTTAGGAGACTTTAACTCAAAAAAACCAACTATGGGGATGCCGGAAAACGAACCCAAGTAGAACTAAACTGGTACAAATATCATCCAAACTTAAGATATTAATATTTCCAATATCTGAATCAATTATCTACAAACCTGGTAGAATACCAAACATACTGGATATTGCATTATTATCAAATCAGCCTACTAATCTTCACCTCAAGTCCTTAATAGACTCGACTCTGATTATATACCAGTCATCATCTCTCTAAATGATCTAATAATTATAAATCAGCGCATCTAAAAACTAATAAACACTCCAATAAACTGGAAAATATTTAGAGACAAATTAAATGAAAACTTAAATTGCAAAAAACAATACCAAAATCGAGAAGTCATAAACGCTATACGCCGAATACAATACAAAATTCAATCAACCAAGCGTTTATCAAAAATAGCGAAATCATTAGTTTCCCTCAGAAACCATTTCTATCTTATTTCAAAACTTAATTAGGCAAAAATACGAAGTGAGAAAAATCTGGCAGAATACCAGAAACCTAGTTGTTAAAAGAAGATTAAATCCCAACTCATTAGAAGAGTGAAATGGAATTAGACAACCTCAGATATGTTCATATCGTAAATATCTAAAAAAACCCTAATGACTTAAGTAACTAAAAGACTATTAGAACAGCATGGCATAATCTCCCCTATGAAAAACGGGAAATAAATTCCAAAAAGTCGAAGCTTTCGCTAACTATGTTACTTCCTGTTTCACCTTCATAGAAGAAGACAATGAGTACAACGAACAACACATTGAACATGCTGATAAAACATCTGATGATAATATCTACGAACTAAATGATAGAATTACCCTACATCTCCTAAGGAAATACAAAAAATAGTAATTAATCTAGTAAATAAAAAAAGTCCTAGCCATGATCTTATTACTAATAAAATCTTAAAAATCCTTACACTTAAAGCGCTGTCCTTTCTAGCTAGCCTATTTAACTTGGTCATGCTTATTGGCATTTTCCTATCATCTTGGAAATATGGTATCATAATCCCCATACATAAGCTGGGAACACCGGCCCCCTCTCTCACAAGTTATAGACTCATCGGTCTACTTCCATCTCTGTTAAAACAAGATACTTCTCAATAGTTTAAATCCATGTGGAAACCACATATTATTCTAAAACACCAATTTGGAAAAAGCATCACTTCACTTTTCATCAAATCCAAGAAATTTCAGAATTAACTGTAAATGGTTTTGAAAAGAAACAGTATACATCAGCCGTTTTCCTGGACATAATTTAAGTCATAACAATGTATAACATCACGAAATAGAACTGAAATTGAATTTACTAAGTCCCCCCCCAAATACTTACCAAAACCATCATCTCCTTTATATCAAATCGAACTTTTTAAGTCAAAATAGTTAGAAACTTCTTCCAACCTTATACAATACAAGCCGAGGTTCTCTAGGCCTAATCCTTTTCAACATCTACTGTCACGATATACCTATTCCACTAAACCCGCAACTGGCGATGATCGCGGACGATAAAACTATAATAGCTTACCCCCTCTGGACTATTTTTAAGTGCTCATTTGCTGAAGGAATTTTTCCTTCAATGTTAAAGTTAAGCTCCGTTATACCTGTACACAAGCCTGGTGATTTTTCTAACGTATCCAACTATCGTTCGATTGCCAGACAATTACATATTTCGAAAATATTTGAATCACTGGTCTTGCATTATATTCAACCATCGATCAACAGAATTCTTATGGAGGAACAGCATAGCTTTCATCTTGGTTGTTCCACCATTACCTGCAATTTAGTCTTTAACAATTTTGTATACCAATATTTTAATTTGAAGTCACAGGTTGACGTCATTTATACTAATTTCAATGAGGCATTTGATTCAGTTGCTCACAATGCCCTTGTTAAGATTCTCAATATTTCTGGTATTAGTGAACCACTCCTTTACTAGTTTTCATCTTACCTCTTAAACTGTTACTAATGGTTCAATTTGCTTGGAGTAAAATCGAATATTTATCTTGTAATGTCCAGCGTTCCTCAAGAAGGACACCTCCGCTCCTGTTCTTCTTGTTTATCAATAGTATCTTAAATGTTCTTTCCCACAGCCATATTTTATGTTTTGCCATCGATATAAAACTATATTCTCGTATTTCTTCTTTGGATGATTGAATCTTGTTACAGAATGATTTTGATCGATTCACTGAGTGGTTCAATTTATTAGGGTTTTCCCTCTATATTTCTAAGTGCAAAACCATGAATTTTGCCAGGATTCAGTCCCCTTTTATATACTGGTACCATCTCGAACCTACTATTCTTTCATGCTCTAATGACAGTGTTATAGATCTATGGTTTATTCTAAGTAGTATTTTTGATCCAAGTCCCCACATCGAACAGATTTGTTGTAAGGCTTTTAAAACTCTGGGGTTTGTCTTAAGATTATGTAGAGATGGTTAGGCTTATCCTTTAAGGGGCTATATTGTGCACTTGTATGCCCTATTCTGAAGTATGGTTCCGTTATTTGGGATCCTCGTGATATCAATAACTCTTTGAAGCTAGAAAGGGTTTAACGAAAATTCTTGAGGTACGCAAGCTTGAATATCCCTTGTGAACATAAATATGAATCTGTTGATTTGCAATTTAGTTTGGTTTCTTTGGGTGAACGTAGACGTATCTCTGGTATTAAGTTGTTTGGTGGATTGTTACGAGTAATATTAACTCTTCTGAATTACTTTCATTAATTTAATCTCAACGTTTGTCCCGATCTGTTGCTTCTTTTTATCCTTTGCTCCTTCCATCAACAATCTTAAAAATAAAACCATCGGACGTATGGTGACGAATTCTAATGTTGACCCTTCGTTTCTTATGAATCTTTTTATATAATACCTGTCTAGTTAAGTAGTAATAAGTAGTAAGTAGTAAGTATTAGGCTTTAAGTAATAAATTGTAACAATTAATATGTATATATTTATAATGTATGTATATATTATGTTCAAAAGGGTTTATCCCGTATATTTAATAAAAATAAAAAAAAATTAAATTAAAATAATGACCCAAGCAACTCTTTGGAACCTTAATCCAAAATTTCCGAAATTCTCTTAACACGGTAACCACCTGGTTAAAACATGGAAACTGAACTTGAACCTATACAAAAGTGTAGTCAAAATATTTACTAAACGATCCCCACATATTATAATAGATAACCAAGTAATAGAATGGAATAATAAAGATAACTTCGTCAGGTACCTCGGTGTGTTCTTGACGAAAAACTGACTTGGAAATTAATTTAAACAAAAACCTCACCAATAAACTTGAACATACTTTATACATTAGTTAATTATAAATCAACCCTCCAAATAAATTCGTATATCTTACTCTCAACCTCAATAATCCGATCATTAATTAAATATGCTTGCCAGGTTTGAGCTGCAGCTTCTTCAACCAAAATTAAAACATAAATAATGAATCATTCTATAGATAAGTGCAAATGATTCAACCTGTCCTTAAGTTAAAAATAAATTGTATCTTTCTCAAACACATTTCTGTAATTTATTTTTATTATTTTTTTTTTTTTTTGCAATTTATTTAATAGTGTTTATAAAAGGGCTCATAATGATTAATAATATTGTAATAAATAAATACATAGATAAACAATTAGTTTTATAATATGAGTTGACAACAGTTTGATGTATTAATTAATAATTACCGTAAAACATTTTCTGAATTAAATTCAGTTGATTCTGATATTCTCCTTCTGAAATTATTTTAATATGTATTTATTTATTTTCAGAACTTTATTTTGTGAATGCATGATTGACTTTTTAAATTAAATTAAAATAAAATGCATAAACTAATAACGTATTTTAAAAAAGTCGTTGGTTACCTATCTTTGTCTTATAATATACTTGTATTATGATATTAATAATTTAAACAAATTAATTGTTTGTAAGTTGTATCACGCTCAGAATATTATAACACAATCAGATACGGGATCAAATTTAAAAAGTATTGTGATAGAAATAAATTTAAATTGAACATAAAATTTCTCGCTAAAACAAATTTAATATATAATATTAAAGACGCTATTGCACCTACCTATAATTCTTGCTAATATTTGTAAAGTTTCAAATTTAATCCATAGATCTGCAAAAATAACAATATTAATGTTTTGCCCACAAAAAATTAATGAGAAAAGAAGAGCTTATACTGGGAGCAGATCTTGTTTAGTCTCAAATTAGAATAAGACGGACTTTTCCTCTTCGTGGTAAAAGGCGATTAACAGAAATACCGAAAAACTACCAGTAAAAGGAGACAAATATACGAAGCCATCGGTTCATAAAGCCGATGAACAGAGTCAGGTAGGGTAAACTCTTGTAATCTGGGAAACGATTTGAAAGGGTGGAAAAACCAACTAGTTCATTCAACGGCTAGATAATAGGAAAGACAAGAGGGATACCACTACATTAATGATACTAAAACCCTATCCCTATAACTATAATATCTTTATCTAGAAACATCTCGATTTTACTCATTGTGGGTTTTGGCGCCCAAGATCCACCAGGGCTATAGAATCCCACCCATAGAATCCCAGGTCATCATCGGACGATATTTTTTCCTTTTTAATTTTTTTACAATGGTACTTTATTTTTTTTTATCTGTAGACCACTTTTATCCTAAAAAACTGGCTCCGATATACGAGGGCTAATCAAAAAGTATTGAGACTGATAATATTACTCGGAAACCGAGCGTTGAAGAGCAAAACGATTTGTAAACCTAGCTTCTATGACTTATACTGAGCACATCTATTCGTATAAAATCTCTATAAACTTCTTCGTTTTGATTTGANATTGACATTTAATGGCAAAAACCATGAAATGTTGCATCCCTCTGAAACTGGAAAAAAATGCAGACAAATTTTCTAAAATCTCCAAATCTGTCAAGTTACTCTTCTTTTGGGTTTATTATAAAATCGCCAAACTCGAAAAATTTATTTTACAAAAATATCAGTGAAATCAAACCGAAGAATTTTATAGAGAAGCAATAAAAACAAATGTACTCAGAAAAAGTCATAGAAGCAAGTGATACCAATCCTACTGCTCTTCGATGCTCCTTTTCCGAATGATACTACCAGTCTTGATAATTTTTGATTAGCCCTCGTATAAGTGTAACACCTTTTCTGAAAGTAAATTTTATCTACTTGGTAAATACATAGATTATTTTTTGATTTTCGAAACAGTATTTGGAATAAAAACGACTCACCGGGTAAAAATACGTTTTTTTTTTGCGATTTCGTTATTTTAAATAAGTACCTACCTCGTTTTCTAGCACAAATCAGTTATTGAAAAATGACAAGAGGCCATATTTTTGTTATTTTTTTTTAATTAGTATATTGATATCAAATTTAAACGAAAATCGCAAAAAAATGTACGGCACTTCAAATTATGTATTAACGAGCTGCGCTTGGAATCATCTTTAGTCAGCAATGGTTTATCGTTGCTTACAGATATAAATAAAATAACCTTAAGTACCCTACTTTTCCATCTTCCCGCCTATAACAATGGCTGCAATCGTCCCCAGTATCAGCTCTTTTTTATATGTTGAAATCGGACGTTGTGGCAACCAGAGGTGGATTTGACGAGGGTGCAACGTAGGGATTGCTCCTCTTTGGAATTTTCTTTCCAAGCTCCATTGGTAGCTTAATAGTATATATCAGACAAATTACAAATATATGGAGGCCTGCTATTAATTTGACGTAAGGTTAGGAAATTAGTTTTCAATAAATACAATATCCGTGTATCCAATTGATTTTTTTCATATTATCTTATAATTTTAAATCATATTAGTAATATACTCTATCATATCTAAATGACATATTTATCACGATAAAGAAAGAATTGGTAATTGTGTATATTGGTAAAATTGGTAACCATCTTATTATTAAATATTATCAATATTATGTTATTAGCCATCACAATAATTCTTTGGCGACGACCGCTATATTGTGATAACACTATAACGCGATAGCGTTAATGAGTATGATCAATGGTGTATGAAGTCTCATAAGTCTGTGAGTTAGACTGTGTCATATTTAATAATGCAAAAATCAACCATTTCTAATGAACTAGTCGCTCATACATTTTTATCATTTTTAAAGCTGATTTTTCTGAATTTTTTGATATCAAAAAGTCAATCAGGCCAAAAGTGTCGCTTATGCCCTATGAAGGCTCGATATTATTATAGCTAACTAATAATTATATACTTTAATGCTTTAAATAAATGCTATAAGTATATTTATTTTTTACTTAAAATTTTATTAGATTCAAAACATGGATGAGATCATACATGGGGCAAAATAAATCGACTGGATTGGCATTACATAATGTACACAGGGATAGAAATGTATTTGTTGAAAAAACATAGATAGATTTGCGATTGAAAAAAAAAAATAATATTAAAGTTGTCATTATAAATTTTATTTATTATATTATATATTATAGTGTTCAAATAGGTATGTTACTGTTACATAAGTATACGTAATATTTTTTTATTATACCTACTTAAATATATATTTGATTGTTTTCATTTGAATGACATTTTTAATTTATAATTACAGCAAATTATTATGTAGACGTAATTGATTTAGTATCATTCAGTTATCATGAGTTAGTATGCTAATAATTATATACGAATAAAATAATGAAATTATGTGATAATGGAAATTTACACCCCCTTCTCCCTGTCATTCATGGTTTAAGATTCCTTGAATTATACTTATGTTATGATATCAATTCGCCTCCCCCCTTAAATTTTCTTTAGATCCACCTCTGCCTACAACATATACCTGACTAACATAAATACATATAAAAATATGAAAATATCAATAATCTATGAATCGTCTAAAACTAGCATGAATATTTTAAAACGTTTAAAAGGCCAATGTAAGTATTTTTTTGAAAACTACAGTTACCTATAATTATTTTTAACCAAGTAACAATAAAAAACCGAAATACAGTACACTTCGCCATATTTTCTAAGTTTTTTCCTGGTTTTTCGTAATACGAGTAGTTATCAAAACTACACGGAAAATCATCAAATGACTTTTTAACTCATAAACTAGGAAAAAAGTTTTTTAAGGAAATGTTATTCTTGATTTCTGGTAGAAAATATCATACAAATTTTAAATAATGAAATTGTTGTGCTGTAATTTAAAAAATCGTATTTTTCGTCTTTTTTGGGTTTTTCCAATTATTTTGAAAACTACCAAATATCAAAAAACTATTTTCTTTTTAAATAACTATGTATTAAGAGGAAAAAAATTGATCGTTTATCATTTTTTGATTTAAGCAAAATGTCTGGTAAAATCATAGTAGTTTGTAGTTTATACAAATTAAAAATTATGAAATCAATAACTCCGCGGTGCTCCGTGCCATTTTACTTATAATTTTCTTTCGGGTTTTTATCAATAATTTTGAAAACTCTTCAGAAAATCAAAAAATTATTTCTTTAATGGACCTATTAAACAAAATTTTCTTTTAGAAAAAGTGCTATACTTGATATTTCGAAGTAAGATTTTTGGTAGAAAATTTGTTTACAGAAAGAAAAAAAAACACTTTCAAGGAAAGCCAATAGATCCTTCGCTACGCTCCGAATCTAAAATTAAAACTATTGTTAACTTGGAAAAACTAATGGATGTAAAAAAATGGATTTATTATTATTATAACTTTTAATACTTACTTGTTTTAACAAATGTAGTTTTAGATTCATTATCTGTTGCGTCTAAAAATTATTTAACTTTATTAGCTGACATTAATAGTGTCTCACGAAGATATACCCACTGTAATATCCCTAGATATTCAAGTTCTGATTTTTTATATTATTCACAGAGATAAGAACTACAGATATTTATATTTGAATAAATTTATATTTTATTTAAAAATCAATAAATAACTTACTATTTTATAATTTTCGGAAAATTTTAAGATAGTCATTTTATATAGTTTATAAAACCTTCTGAACATATTGAGGTTTCAACTGTATATTTTAATTAAATTCATGATTTTTTTGAAGTTCAGAAATAAAAGTGTACAGTCAATGTTAACTATAATGATATTAATAATATAGTAGATAATAATAAAAAAAAAAACCAAAAACACAGAATTTAGTTATCTTTATCTCAGGAGATATTGCAATGGGTACAACTTCGTGAGACATTCTGTATATTTCAACAATATAATTTGGTAAAGTCAAATGCGTATTGTTAAAATATTTTTTAATTTTAACGTCTTTACCAGTGACCTACCTCTAAACGTTTTGTGTGATGAGCCATGCAAGCGCCTACTGTGACGATAAGAACGATGTGACAAAGATCCCGCCCAAGCTGCCCAAAAATTCCAAAACCACCTAACTGTGCTAAACACCTGGTTTCATGACTGGAAAATTCAAGTCAATCCATCAAAATCCTCTCAAATTACATTCACACTTCGATCCTTAGAATGTCCCGCAACCTATATCGGCAATGCTCAAATTCCATCTTCCATGCAAACTAATTATTTAGGTTTAATTCTTGATAAACGTCTTACATGGGGCCCCCACTTAAAAATCAAGCGTAAAGCTCTCAATTCAAGACTCCACCTTCTTAGACCCTTACTCCGCTCAAAGCTCACATTAAAAACCAAAAGAACAATACATGGCATACATGGCTCTCCTAAGACCCATGTGGTACTATGGCATACAACTTTGGGGATCAGCCAAACCCTCTAATACTCGAACAATCCAGGCATTCCAGTCTATTTGTNTCCCAACCTTAAACAGCTTTGCCATAATCACCTACAAAAAAACGCACAAAACATTCAGTACTCACTCTAATCCTATAATCACCCAACCCCAACTTTCATCCAACAAATTCCAGGTAATCCAACCAGGCACCTGAAAAGGAACTGGTGTAGGGACCTACTCTCTTCTTAAATCGCTTTTCACAGGGTGCCGCCACTGGGCGACTTCCCCCTCATGCCAATCATCTCCACATCACATTTACTTATTGTATTACGTGTAAATACAGATTGTGTATATATATTGTTAGTTCAATAAAAAAAAAAAAAAAAAATTTTAATTCGATAGTTAAATATCTATAGTTTTCTTTATTTGTTATACAAAAAAAGGGATACGGCTGAAACTTCTATATGGTATCTATAGTAATGGTGTTCTTTTACAGACTAATTTTTCCACACTCTAGAAGCAATCAACTATTTATATAGTATAACAATGTCTGGTAGGTCTAAAAATCTACATCTAAAATAATTGTATCGATAAACATCAAATATATCACAAGTGCTAAAGAAGGACTTATATCTTTAATCTGCAAATCAACTTCATATACAATTTTATGCGTCTAAGAGACCAGACCCTTAACGCTCAAAGTATTTGTGGAATGGAGATAATAAGACACCATAGAAAGTATGAAAAACGTATGAAATGTATTTAAATTAAATATTTATATTTATAATAAATTAAAACATAATAATATATAGTTTTAAAATCGTAAATAATACGGCCTTTTAAAATATGTATAATCGAAATTCGCTCAAAATCGTTTTCTGTTAGCAAAGATTAATTGTCTCGTACAAATACTTTAAATTTCCCTTTATTATTATAATTTTTTTTTACTACAAAACATGACTTATAATGAATCTCCTGGCCCGCGATATCCTATGTTCAGTGAAAATACGTATACACCTCTCACGTCTTAATTCCAGGAGTAATTTTATGAAATACATGAAAGTTATTTCATCAACACACCTTAAAGTAAAAAGGTACCTAAGTACCTTTAGATGGGTGCCAAACGAATCGCTCATATTGGGTCATAAAGAAATATAGTTTGTTTATATTATATTACTGTTGTATGCGCCTGACACGCATAGCAAAATAATTTTTAGTTTACAAACATGAGGTAAGTGCAGTGGCGCACAGACGTTACTAAAGTTACCAAGTTACTAAAGCTCCCAAGGATGATGGGTGTAGATAATTGGTGTATTTTTGATGTTACAAGGATGCTCAAAAAGTATAAACCATTTTTTTTTTTTAAAAAGTGGGTGATAGTGATACAGAATCACCCTAAAAGGTGTGAAATAAAATTTCATAGTAACACCCATATACCTATAAGTACTAAAATTTGAATTATTACTGAACTTAAATTAAAATTTACTCCAATCTTCATTTGTGTTTATTAGTGTATAACACTTACATGCATACCTATTATTTCAGGAGGGATGTAACGGTTACAACCATCTATATCTATAGGCATGGTGGACAGTAGACACTTTTGTTAAAATGCTCGCAAAATTGTATTGTGTGCCATCGATTACATCTTTGTGTACCATCATATATAGTTATTATTTTATTAAAACTTTCACATTTTTTTATATTTGATCGGTAATCAATATTGTATTCTTATATACAGATAAAGATTACAATTTTTAAATAACTCACCAGCATGCAGACTTATTTTCTTTACATATTTTTCCATACTTTCTTCGAATTCGCCTAAATAAAATATATAAATATTTATTTATTTATATGAATTTCAACACCACAAGAGTACAGCGTATAGTATACAAATTTGAATAATTATACAGTTTAGATATTATTAAAAAGAGAAAATGTACAATAACAAAATAATTAGTTAAAATCCAAAAATAATTAAATACATTAATACATTATTTGCAAAATATGATAGAGAGTTAATAAATATATCAGCATTAGGCATATTATTTATAATACGAAAAGTACGATCTAGAGGGTATGCGTAGCTGTAATCAGAACTATGGAAATTGCATCTGTATGTTATTATGTTAAGTACTGTCTAGACGCTAGAGATGAAAGATGGAACAGTAATGGAAGTAGAAATAAAATATCAAAGAAATCGATTGAACCATTAAGTAGGTAGCTTAAATACAAAATAAATTATATGTACGTCGTTTGTCCGATAAAGTTTATACATTTAATTTAATATACAACGATATTCGGAAAAATTTAAAATTGAGGGAACTGAAAACGACATGTTTCTATTTTTGTCTTAAACATGCGAGATACAGGGATTTAGAAGTGTTTTAATTCCAACGTACTGATTGATCTAGTGAAGATTTAAATTTGTCGTGAAGTTTATTTGAGATCGACTTTTCCAATTTTTAAATTTATCTCTTTCAATTCTAAAAAATCCATAGAAAAAGCAACGTTAGCTTAATGTAGTAAATTTTTAGATTCGGGGCATAATAAGAATATATTGGTATTACAATGGTGTTTATTATTTTTTTTTTTTACATTTCTTAAAATATTTTACTATTCAAATAAAGTGTTTTATAATAATATATAAAACAAATTTTGTATAAACAACTTTTTACTTTTTGGATATTGGTATTAAATTAGTTTATTTAAAAATGAATGCCTCGAAGTATTTATGAATGTTTTTCAAAAGTGTCTGTACTCGTGTTTAAATACGTATTCTATATACATACAAAAATAATATCTGTATTTGAACTTGCAAAATAGGCGTGTGCAGACTTCTGAGTCAGGTATGGCTAAATTCAATCTGACAACCCACCCCTCCCCCCTGTCGTTTTCACACAAGACAAAAATTATAGCTATTTTCACTACAAACTTCGAAGTGAACCCCCCTTTTGTTGGTGACTGGAAAATGTAAACAATCATTTTTCATTATTTGACACACACAATTCATCAATATTGATTAAAAATTTTAATCAAATATAATCTTACAAATTATTTAAAAACGTTTAAAACATAATATATAGTATTAACAGTTGTAAATTAACATTAATATTTATTTACATTATACAATTTTCATTATGTAATTTGTATATATATATTATAAACAATGATTATGCTGTCAAATAAAAAGAGGACGGATATAATTTGCACGTGGGTGCAGCTACTGTTGTAGGTGGAAAATTGAGAAGGTAGTATACAGACGGGAATTTAATGTATATTTGTAAACAACAAAAAACCATTTCTAATGAAAAGATGATTCTGAACAGAGTTCAGTAGATGGTGTTGCTTTGTCATTAATAAAATATAGGGTTATATCATACTATGGTAAAATGATTACAACAATGTTGAGTTTCCATGATAACAATGATTGTTTAAAAAATATTAAAATAATAAAAACTTAACAATAACAAAAATAAATAAAAATGGTTGCCAATGACAACCTTATTTTTAATTTTTCAATCTTTTTTAACCTAAAACCCGAAATTATCTAATTATCTCGAATATTAATGAGAATTTCAAAAAATGACCTCTGTAAAGTAACACCCAGAGAAAATTTCCCTTCAAAAAAGATTCTATACTTAATAATCAGAGTATGCTTTCTGGTAGAAAAAGTGTTCACATTAAAAAAAAAAAATAGGTAGTTGGCTTGGGGGCTATAACCCTCACGTTTTAAGTGTAATATAGTGTCAACTACCGTTACGTGTGTAGCCACCTTTATTTGGTGGTATTACGTCAGGTGCCTTTATACAGTGTAGTCAGATTTATAAAATTAATTATCTTTAAATCAACATATGAAAATGTCATTTATCGCCAATATTATTAACGCATAGAAACGCCAACAAATTTTTTTTAAACCATTTATATCATTATTTATTATGAATATAAAATAACCGTGGTTAAAAATATTAATAATATTTGTCTTCTATGTTTAATTTGTTAGTTAGCAGCACGGACTGGATATATTAAAACGTAAGTATTGAATGATATTGAATGATTTTATGGTTTAAGTTAAAATTTTGAAGATTAATTCAAAAATTTTCGACTGCACTATGTTGTATTAGCTTTCAAATATAAACCAGGATATCTTAATTTAATTACAACACAATAAACTTGGATAACTTAAATCATAAAATCATTCAATTCTATGTTCAATAATAATAAATAATTACTGGCATATATAATTTTTATGCAAGATATTTTAGAACAATTTTCTCTAAGATTATCTTTTTCTACCGTACAGTTTCCATATTTTGGATGTTTCAATATGGAATATGCTGTTAATAATTTTTACACTTGTAGGAACCTTATAAACTTTTATGCATTAACCATGGTAATCTGTGTTAAACATATAATCATAAATTGTAATTAGAGCGTATCACTAGAGTGGGACCCACGGCTGGAGTTTACATCACGGTCTTATTTGCACTATTTGCACCTGAATAGGTCTCTTCGAAGGGGACATTAAGAGCATCACTTCCGACGCTGACATGCCAGACCTAATAACCTAAGACCGTGATTAAAACATTTAAAACTATACTAAATCTAAATAGGTATCATGTGTGTGTATGTCTTAAAATGGGCCAAACGTAAGGATGTAAACTTAGAGGAAAAATGTTGTAATAAATTAAACTTCAACTTTAGTATACAAATAATTAATATTTCCACTCCTATATTAATACAATTTTCACAAATTAAAATATGTCCAACTGATTTTAATAACAAAAATACACTAGTATAATAAATAAAACTCAAATAAATAATATAAGTCCAATAAATAGACTGACGCGAAATTGCTCGCATTCGATCGTGGTGGACTCGTCTGATTAGAGTTTAATCATTAGACGATGTTTCGGGTGGTGTTATATATGCTTATGCCGTTACCCCCTCAACCCGTAATTCATAGTCATTGCTATATATATTTTTTTGCTATCGCCAGATTTTTGTGATGGCGAAAACTAAAAATTACATATGCGTAATATATTATATTATGTTACAACCTAGGCCCACCCATAACATTATTTTTATTTGCATTAAATTTAGAATACGGCTGGTGTAGGTCCGTGCGCCGAAACTATATTTCGGTGCTATATATATTTATAGACCTACTGCATCGGGTAGGCGGATTTCACGTGTAATGACTATCACAGGATACGGTTCGCACGTGTCCCTTGCAGGAGACGTGTGTGGGCACGTTACAGTGTACAATTAGACAATGTCAACACGATGTAGCTTAATCGTGGTGGCGTCAACCATACTCTAAGGCATACGTAAAATAATATTGTTTAAATAACATACCTGTGCACATTAATAATTTTGTTTTATCTGCTTCGGAAAGATTGGAACCTATTTGTGAAAAAAAATTAAAAAATAGATTTTTTTTGTATATTTTAAACAAATCTCATACAATCGATTGATAAACCCTTAAAACTAGACTTTCCACTGGCGAAATGACTCAAGAGCGATCGAGAATCGGCACACATCGAGATGACATAAAGACTATCCCGACCGTATGCAATTTCCACTACCACCGTATGAGACCACCTCATCGGCAACTGATTTTTCCTTCCTAGCACATCACCGGCAACGGCCACATGCTCCATTAGCAACTGCCTATACCTCTCAATCGTTACCGGCAACGGCCAAGCGCCTCGCTAACAACTGATTACTTTTTCTCCCCTCATCACTATCTAGGTCACCCCGACATTCTTCCTACGCTGGTTTAAATAGTATATTGTATTTCCCGCGAGCATTAGTGTACACAAGATTTTTTTCGGGAGGTTTTCTGTTTATAATAATTTTCTGGAGAGGGAATAGCAAATATAAGTACAGTACTATCACTATTATTACGGAATAAATGATTTTTGATGAAATTAAATTGTATTTTATTTTGTGATATAATATATTATGTTGTTGACTATAAAACTTGATTTAAAAAATGTAGTTAGGAAAACATTTCGGAAGAGGTTTTGACTTCTTAACCCCTCCCCCACCTCCAAGAATAATTAATATTATATCGTGCTTCCGTAATTAGTTAAGTTTATAAACCGCGTTTCGTGTCCGATCTCTTAATGATTGATTATAATATTAAATTGTAATAAATATATAATTATTAAATCTTGTATATTCGAATTGTATTCGTGCAAAATAAAAGGCAACATTTTAAATACCTATAAACCCACGAGTTTATATATTTTACGTTAAAAAAGGCTACCCAGCCGGAATGTTTCAACGGCTTGCATGGTTTATTTATGGCAATAGCGACTGTTTTTAAATGTTAAATTCGGCCACAGAGATAACAAACTGAAATAATATTATATGCAATAGATAGCCAAATACTTTTGTGATAATTTTGTTTGGACCTAATAAATTCAACTATTTAAGTTTTGTATCGAAGTATATAACATATAAGTATAACCTTTGATTAGAAACAATGGTATAATTTATAATTTTACAAACACAAGTATATATAATAACCAACTAATTCAATGGTTAGTACAACATGTATACTGAGAAAAATCAAATAATATATTTTTAACCTAAATAGTCGTGGAGTGACCGTAATTAAACTGTTCTTATAGCAATTGAAGTTATATATTATGGTTACATGCACAGCTAAAACTAGTTTGACTCAATTCGAATTAGTTAACTTAATTTTAATTAGGTTTGATCAAAATGGTTTTGTTAATTCACATTTGAAATACGCAATGGAAATAACTACGACAGTACAAAATGCACGTAAACGGATCACACTACAGTAACCTAGAGGGCCTGTATAATAAGAGAATGGCCAACGGTTTTCATTAGGATTTTATGTGTGTCGCCATTTACAGTCCACATTGAAGTTATATGAAAATCAAATAAATTGTTATTAAATCTTAACATAATAATTGATTATAATTTAATATTGTGTTTACAGTTATCAATGCAATGCTGAAATGATGCATACTGTTTTAATATTTTAAATCTTAATATAATTAATTCCAGGTTGTTGTGTTAAGAACTGTAGTAGTAGATTTGAGTTTAATGCATTAGTTTTATTTTTTCATAAACGTTTTAAGATCAGCATATTTTTTCTCATAGAACCTCGCTCTGAATTATTGTACGTTAGGAATGGTTTATTGTTGCTTACAGATATAAATTAAATAACTTTATGTATTCTACCATCTTAACTTCCTATCTTTAATAGTGACTGCATCCGTCCTCAGTATCGGCTCTTTTTTTACAGATTTATTTGATATATTTGATATAGGTATTATACAGATATACATAATAAATATTTAAATTCGCCTCCCCCCTTTAACAACCTTCAGATTCGCCCTATTCTCATCCCTAGTATGAAATAGAAGTAGCGAATGTTCATAAACGTATTGACTTTACGTGAACATTCACTTAATACAATTTAAAATTAAATAAAATACATGTTACGAGAAATGTTGAGTTTAAAGACGATTGTATAAGATAATTTAGGAATATTTTTCGTAGTGCAACACTGATGAACGGTCCATATCAAAAGGTCAATCAGACGGCATTAGCGAGTTGGTCACTCTCTTCGTATATAGGCTATCTACAGCAACTGAATCAGGGTTGCGGTAGGTACTTGGGACGACAGGTATATTAATAAACGTTATCAGTTATTGAAGAATTAAAGTTGTAATAATATTCGTTTTTTTATTTCTTTATGACATTATAAATTCGAATGAAGGTAAATCAATTTAAACTGTTCATTTAAACGTTGCAACATAAATTGGTTTAATGACAGTGTATTATACTAATACGGTTTAAGACGTGCATGTATACTTGTACCCTAATTCAAATTTATCCAATACGAATAAATTAATTTCGATTTAATGGATGCATATAAACTAGGGCTTATGATATCCTACGGGTATTTAAAATATACAGGTACTCGGATAGACGTGTATTTAAGTACACGTGTATTAAATCGTGTATTTATAACTACGGGTGTATTTACTATTACACGTGTATTTAAGTAGAAATAAATGAAATAATAATACATTTATTTCATTTGCTATAATTTATTTCTACTAAGAAATTATTTATTTATATATTTATTAATGAGTATTGACAATTTAATAATTTGCGATTTTGACATTGACCGTTGCAAGGCCACGTCCAGTGACGTAGAATAATAATATTCAGACTCAATGACATAATTTTAATTCAAATAAAATTTTATGTCCAGCATATACAGTAAATGTTACATTGGATAAAAGGTTTTTTTTTACACAAGATAATAAGATAATAATATTATAATGCAAACGGCTTATTTATTCATGATAATAATAATCTATATTGTGGAAATCAACTCATTTACAAAAATAATATTTATGTGGGACTACGTGATCATTAGGTTGACATTTAAAATTACTCCATAATATGAAGCCAACAAATTCTCAGTTAACAAGGTACGTTTACTTGTTTTAATTTTTGTTACGATGTACTATATACGCGATATCATAGTTTGTTGGTCATACTTAGTTTTGAAATAATATTTTGCAAATTGATTTTTTAACGGTTATATGAAAATATTTGTTGATTAATTGGTAATTTAATAAAATGACCTCCCAAAAGTACCAACTCGTACCAAAATGCAACAATAAAGGTCTCTTGCAACTTTTCGATTAGAGGTCGGAGTTAGGAGATATCTTGTACACAGAATACAAAAAAAATAAACATCATGTAAAACCAATATATTCCACGCTACGCTTTAAATATAAAAATATATTTAGTGGTACCTATATCTTATTTTTATAAGCGTTAAAAAAAATCAAATTTTCACCTTAAATCACGTGTATTATTAAATACATGGATCAATGGACGTGTTTCATAATTACACGTGTACCCGTGTATTTAAGTACACGTGAAATCGTAAGCCCTAATATAAATATAGTCACCGAGAGTGGTCCAAAACTGGTCGCAGTCACTTTAGCTAAACCGGGACGCAACTAGAATGTATTAGAATGCAACCAGTAAATATTTTTGGGCCAGCCATTTTCGTAAGTATTTATTACATTATTTAAAACTAATTATTCTAATTCCTTATTATAGGGTTTTGTAATATTTTTAAATGAAAAAATATCCAAGTATAATAGATTACTATACTTAATACGATATGTCGACATACATAATTTACTATTTATTGTATCTTCAATTGTATGGTAATCTAAAATAAACATAAAACAATAATATAAGTAGTACATAAGTACTTAAAATTATTTTAATGTAGTTAACGTTTATAGCTAGTCTATGACTGATATAAATCTATAACAAAAAAAAAAAATATTATTAAACCTACAATTAATATGAACATCATAAATAGAAAATAGCGTAATAGGTACATGGGGAAAAAAAATAAAAACCTTAAAAATAGGTACGTTAAATGTATATCCTGATTAGTATCTTATGTATCCTACTAAATATAATAAATTAAGGCTCGAAAGTTATAGGAGTTGCATATATTTTTGTATGCACTGAATTTATAGCAGACCAAGCTAGAAATACTTGATGGAGAGTTTAAAAATTGGACATTTAAAATACACATTTTACATACGAGGTGTGGCTATTAAATAACGAGACTGGCCACGAAAAAGTGTTTTATTATAAAAATTATTCTACATTCAAATGCTNTTTACATACGAGGTGTGGCTATTAAATAACGAGACTGGTTACGAAAAAGTGTTTTATTATAAAAATTATTCTACATTCAAATGCTCCTCTTCAATATACTCCCCTCCCCTCGCCACACACCTTTCCGTACGTTTTTTCATTGATCGAAGCAGTGCTGGAAGTCTTCTTTGGTGAGGGTCTTTAGGAGCTCTGCCGTTTTTTGCTTTACCGCTTCCATCGACTCAAATCGGGTCCCGTTCAAAGCAGATTTTATCTTTGAAAACAAAAAAAAGTCGCACGGTGCCAAATCTGGCAAGTACGGCGCGTGTTCGAGCACTGGAGTGCGCTTACCAGCCAAATACTGCTTCACAGATAGCGCGTTATGGGCAGATGCGTTGTCCTGGTGCAAAATCCACGAGTTGTTCTTCCACAACTCGGGCCGTTTCTTACGAACTCTTTCTCGCAGTGTTGCCAAAACTGATAAATAGTAAATCTGGTTGACAGTCTGACCCTCTGGAACCCATTCAGTCATCACGATACCGTTAATGTCAAAAAAAACGATCAACATTGCCTTAAATTTTGATTTGGACATCCTTGCTTTTTTGATTCTGGGCGATTCAGGTGTCTTCCAATGCATCGATTGTCGCTTTGTTTCAACATCGTATTGAAAAATCCATGTTTCGTCGCAAGTTATAATGTTTTTCATCAGTCCGGGATCTTCTTTTAACTTTTCAAGGAAATCTGAGCAGACCTGTTGACGCNCTTTTGTCATATGTAATTCCTCATGTAAAATTTTTCTAACCGTTTCTTTATCGGCGTTTACAGCCTCGGCAATCATCCGGATGCTCATTCGGCGATCTGCACGCACAATTTGGTTGATTTTGGTCACTGTTTCCGGAGTTGAAACAGTGACAGGGCGACCTGGGCGCTGGTCATCTTCAGTGCTCTCTCGGCCCTCACTGAAGCGCTTATACCACTCAAAAACACGTGCACGAGATAGAGAATTGCCTCCATAGGCCTCTTGCAACAATTTATAGCACTCGGTCGGGGTTTTTTTCAATTTAACGAGAAATTTGAGATTGATACGTTGCTCCTGTTTTTCGGCACGAGAAAAAAACACGTTCGTTTCAAACAACTACTGCACAAATACTATAATAGTAACGAAAACGTGTTTTGGTACGTGCATAGATAAGATATCTAGATACCCAAAGCATTACTCGTTTTTTTCACTACCCATCTAGGGCGCCTTCTAGGCGAGCAGTCTCGTTATTTAATAGTCATACCTCGTATTTCGTTAATTTTAGAAAAAAGTGCATAATTCGTCGATTTTCATTGATATTCGCATATTTGTATGGATATTTAATATTTTCTAAAGAATTGATTTTTTCCTTTCTTTACCAATTTATTTTAAACAGTATCAAATTTAAAACTCAATATTATTTAACGTAGTCTTTTTTTGTTATTTCTCACTGTCTCAATCCATTATTATTAATTTAACGATAATGGTGCTATTCGTAATTAATTTTTCTTTGTTTTGTGCATATTAATAATGGCATTATATTATTATTATTATTCTTATTAATATTATTATTATTATTACTATATTATTATTATTGTTTATTTCTTCGAAAATATAATGGGCCCCACTGAAAAGGTTAGTGATATGATATTGAATAATAAACTGAATAATTGTTTGTGTATTTATTACATTTTTTGCATATTTAACATTTCTTCATGCATATTTTACCACTTTTTCGTGCATATTTGCATACATATTTTGCCTCTTTTAGCTCCTAAAACTTCCGAGTACTAGTTATAATAATAATGTGATATATTATATTACATACCAAATTCACTTTGTATAACTTCATATTTTACTGAAAAAAAAATATATAGTTAATATTCTATTCATAATTAACACAATCAGTAATCAGTTGCATAATTGCATTACCAAGTGGCGTAGCGAAGTGAAATATTTAATTGGACTTTTTTTTACCTGCTATTTACCACCCCTTTACTCCTACGTACCCATTAACCATATGTATTGTACAATATGCACACAACTTTATTTTAAATACGGTAATTGCATTATTAATTACTATTAACTGCTACTAATTACAATTAGTAATTAATAGTAAGTTTATATTAAAATATCTGGGCAATAAAAAAAAAAAAAAATAATTATCATAAATATCTTTGTAAACTTTATATTTTAGTTTCTAACTAAAATAACTAGTAAGTACACAACAATAATAACAATTTTAAATTAAAATTATACATAAATAATAGTTATATAAAATTGTTTATATTTATTGCAATCGATAAAAAATATTATGCAAACATATCATTTTTTTTTTAACGAAGCTGATGTGTTTGTTAAAGTGCCAATTATTTCTTTAATATTAATTTTACCAGAAAGATCTTTTTCACAAGAAAAAAGCAATACATTTTTTAATCTTTCTTGTCCAATAGTTCAACGTAAACGGATCTTAACAAGTTTAACTTTTGAAAAGGACCGTTAACTAGAAACTGAAGTATCTGGTATTAAGCATAATAAATTGTAAGCGATATTTAAGTTAGAAAATGATGAGGTTAACTTAAAATTAGTTCAAATATTTGAGAAGAAGGTACTATTTTTTCAAAATTATTATGTAATTTATCTTCGTCGTTTATTTTGCTAAACATTTCGGAATCATCATTCATCATTTTTTAACTCACTAAACAATATACTTCCATCGTGTAAAATTTCAGGAAATAAAAACTCTATTGTAATTTCATAAGACTCAAATAAAAATGTCTATATTTTATTCTATTGAATGTTTATCTATTTTAGGAATCCACAATTTTAAGGGAGTCAGAGGTATCTTTAGGCACTATATTTTCATTGCTTACTTTTAAGAATCTCTCGTATGATAAAAATCTAAATCTTTAAGAATTTCTCTAGCATCTTTAAACCGTGTTGTTAAAGAAACTCTAATTTGATCAATACAAAAAAAAAATAAACATTTGTTCTAAAGTAATTGACTGGACTATATGTAATTTCATCAGAAGTATTCTCGTCATTCATTCTTTTCCGTTTCCTTTATCTAATTACAGGAAATTTGACTTCATCGAGTTCATTTTTAACTCAAAACTCTTTTGATTCTTGTAAAATAGTGTCAGCTGAAACTTGTGTTTACAATTTTCATAATCTTTCTCCTGCATATCAACAATTGTTAATGTTATAATGTAATCATTTGACGGAGTTTGTAAGTATGTCGATAGTGAAGTAGTAACATCAAACGTTTTGGTCATTAAAAACATATCATTAACAAAAGTTCTACAGCTTGTAATTTACTAAAAACCGTTATTTCTTTATCATTAACAAAACTTAAAAAAATAACGATTTTTAGTAAATTACAAGCTGTAGAACTACACAATCGATAAACTGATTTTGAAAATCGTTGAGAGTTGAAATAATATTTTTGAACTTTGAAAAAATTACATATAGTGAACGATAATATGATGTCTAGTGGGTGGTGGAAATTGTTTTCATTCTTAAAGGTATTTGATCAGAATAAAACCTTTTTTGCAAATAGTTTCCTCAATTCAACGATATAACATTTTCGTCATGTCCATAAAATGGAATACTTTGCAAGATAAATTATTATTTCAATTATAATTTTTACTGTATCTTTATTTCTGTCTAATTTTATATTTTAAGTTAGTCTACTATCATTTATATCTACTTAATTATTCTTGAAATACATGAAATGTCCTATGACAGAATTAAATGCATAAATATATACATTATTATAAAATAAATGACTTACTAATATTCTTATCTGGTATAGCTATTAAGTAAGGGTCTGTAATTTTAAATTTATTTACATATTTGTTTATTAATTATTATTATTATTACATCGATAATTTATTATTGTTATACAAATTAATGAAATAAATATAAAAATAAATGAAATAACGTTGGCTAGAACAATTGAACTTTAATAGTATTATTTTATTCTAAAGTATTATGATTATCAATTAATTGGGATTTATTTTAACAGACAAACTTACTTAAATTGTCTCTTAATATCTCTGTAAAAAATAATTTTATAAGATCTGTATAAAATATTTTAAGCTTAATTTAGGTATATTGGTACATACAATTTTTAAAACTTATAGATTATAATTAGATTATACATAATTTGGTGTATCTGAATTGCACACTATTATATATATATATATATATTTTATATTTTTTGTACCACATTTATTTGGTCATAAATTCACCTACTTTTTAACTATTATTGAATTTAAATTAAATTAAAGTAACATTTACCTTCCGACTTTTTTTATGTAGTTGGAACTAATAGTAGAAACTTGAACTGGTGCGGTTAAAAATATTTCAGTTTTCAAGTTTACACTAAATTTATAAATGTTTTAATTTTATGACTACTATAATGCCATATCAAAATATTATTTTACTGTTTTCATTTTATGTATAATATCGTCTATATTGTCATCCCCAACGCTATATGTGCTTATTGATTACATATTGTAAATAAAAGTTAATGAATAAAAGTTGACAAATGTGTATCTAAATAAAATCTATGCATTTTTATGAATAAACACAAATAAATATTTTTAAACTGTATTTTGATTGACTTTATTTTTCGGTTTTTGAAAAATCTAAAATAAAAATATTAAGTTGGTATGAGTAAAACTATAAATGGCATGCAATTCAGATAGACATTTGTAAGAGGTGGTATTCAATTTGAATGCAGCCATATAATTAAGTCAAGTGATTATTTATTTATTGTTATAAATAGGATGCGGGTTTGCATATATTGACATAAACATCATAAAAATAACAATATTAAATTTTAATAATCTATCCTACCTAAAAACTGGTTATCACGTATTATACCTGGAAAAAATTATATGATACTTGTTTAAATATTTTATTAAGTAAAAAATATAGGGTTTATAATATCGGGAAATTATTATTATTTTTTTTGCTGAAAAGTTATTTCAAATATTCATTTTAATATTTATAAAAACCGCTTATCCAATTGGGGTTAGCACGTCATCATTTTAGACTTTCTTGATTTTTAATTTTTGAATAATAAGTTAAAATAACGTGCATATTCCTGGTCTTACTATTTTTACTTTTAGATTCTGAGTGGGACGAGGAAGTTTATTAATATTATTTTTTTTTATCTGTTCACAACTTTTCTACCAGAATACTTGCTCGGATTTCTACGTGTAGCACCTTTTCTGAAAGATAATTTTATTAGGGAGGTACTTTAAATAAGTAAATTTTTCGATTTTCTTAGGAGTTTGCCCAGATAATGTGAAAAATCAGAATAATACATGGGAAACGCGGGAAAAAATCACTATCTAGACCCGTACAAATGTATACTGATACAAACGAGCGCTCATGTAATAATCGATGGAATTTAAGGTTAAAAAAGACAGACACACTTCGTACGTGAGTGGGTCACTGTTATAGGTGAGAAGTTGGGAAGGTAGAGGAGAAATTTAATGTATGTTTGTACGCAACGATTAAAGATTGCTAACAAAAAAGATTTTTTGTGGAATTAATAGTGCTTCTTTTTCTACAAATGTTTTCTTTATGTCATTTATGGTAATATAAATATGCATTATATATTTTCTTTAATAATATTTATTTAATATTTTACCTATTTTCCCGGTTTTTTCCATTTTTACCAACTACTGGAAAAATCAAAAAATGACCTCCTTAAAGTGCAGAGTCAGATTTCCTTTCAGGAAACGTGATATCATTGTAAATCTGAACAAAAATTGTTGGTAGAGTTGTCCAAAAAAAAAAAAATTATAAACATCAATGTAAAACCAATACATACCTCACTTCACTCAGAATTTAAAAGGTGATGGAAAATACATATATCAGCTGTGAATTTTAAAACCTATTCGAAATGTCCAAATGCGACCTCGTATTTTAAATGTATGAACGGTCACGAAAAACTTTCACTAAATTATTAGTATTAATTTGTTCCTTCTATTACGAAGCAAAACGCCGCATGAACCTAAAAATCTTTTTTTTATTTTTTTTGCACTTTCTACGGTGCAGCAATATGTTCCGTGCAAATTCGGCCTCTTTATTTTTAATAATACAACTAATAATTTATTTTCTCGTGTTTTAGATACTGAGTAGAGAAAAAGAAACTAAATGAACTTATGGTTTTACACTGATGTTTATATTTTGTATTTTTTTTTTTCTGTTAACAACTTTTCTACCAGAAATCTTATTTCTATTTTTAAGTGTAGTACCTTTTCTAAAAGGAAATCGCACTAGGAATGTGCTTTATGGATGCAATTTTTTGATTTTAAATGGAAAAAACGTAGGAAAAACCGGAAAATTTGTACAATATAAAAGGAAATATATAATGCCTATTAAATTATATTTCCATAATATGACATATATATTGTTGACATAGCAACACTATCAACTGTATTTCACTCAGAATTATTTTTTCGTTAGCAATGGTTTATCGTTATGTACGTACTAATATACATTAAATTTCTCCTTTACTACCTTTTCAACTTTTCGTCTACAACAGTGGCCCACCCACGTGCGAAGTATTTCCGTCTTTTTAAACTGGTTTTATTAAATTGTACTTTTCATAACGGTATAAGGTAAATTATTTGCAAGTTTCAGTCCTGAAACATCCGTTCAATAAACACGCCATACTATTATTTAATAAACATTTCAGTCTATAACAATTCAATGATCAATCGGCGAAGTTTTAGTAAACATTTTAGTTAAGTCATTTTCCAAAATGCATCATTTTTTTTGTGGACTATGCGCTTATTCCTGAGTTTATTTAAAATAAGGAAAAAGAAATAAGGAAGAGAAAAACAGAATTAACAGAAGAAATAACTGAATTAAAACATGAAATAAAGTGTTTTAAAAAAAAATATTGAAAATATTCTCCATTAAAGTTTTTATCCATTGTGCACAGTAAAAAATCGTATAAAGACGTCTCGTTTAGTTGCAAAAACGAATCTGTCTTTTTCTTCTATCGTTTGGTCGACGAACATAACAGATCTCTTTGCCGTTCCAGTTTTCAACAGTTTCCCTTCTTCATCTTGTTTTACGAACCATCAAGTTTCTGTGATCTGCAACTTTATGTGGGGCTCTATTGCACTGCAGAATGTGGTCGTCAATCTATATCTGTTCGCACTTACAAAATTGATCTTCCTGAATACCCCATCTCACTAAATTATCGTTTGTTCTAGCAACACCTACTCTTAATCTGTTTAGCGTGCTTCACAGTACATATAGAGATCGTAATCTGTGGGGAGGTTTTCATTTTTGGGGAAATCCGTAATAAGAAGTTCTCCTTGCCATAGTCCGATTCGCTCTTCCTGAGGTGAAATACTTAGTGGTTCACAGTTGTATAGAAAACTTCTAGAGCGCAAGCGTTTTGGTGGTGGTATCTGTCCATGCATGAGATGACGTACTAGAAACATAGAGCTAGCGCAGACGTACGGAGTATCTTTGCGTCAGCTTCCCATTTACTAACAATAAACTTCCGTATGATGTTATTCCTGACTTATATCTTACCTTGGGTTTTTACACAATGCATTTTGTACGTAAGGCTTCGATTCAAGAAGACCCCTAGATATTTAGGGTTGTTACTGTGTTATAATATTTAGTTATTCCAGTTGATATGCAGGTTTTATTTTGCTTCTCGGTTCTTAGAGTGAAATGTACATATTTGTGTTTTCGATGGGTTTTGTTTTAGTCGGTTCCTTTGATGGTATATTGTGAGATCTTTTAGGGTCTTCTCCGGTCTTTCTTTAATTTCCTTAAACTTGCACCGTTAATTCTAAGTAATTTGCGTACATAAAGTGTCGTGTCGTTGTGCCTATTGGGTGGTCGTTTATTTAAATAATGAACAACATTAGTGCCGTACACTCCTTTAAGGAAGGCCGCTTTTTTGTTTTCACCAATCACTCTTCTTACCATTTAGTGTCACGTAATGAACTTGTAATCGAATTAAACATCGAATCACCAGTTACTGGTAATGGAAACTTTGTGATTTTACCCTAATGTATGAAGTCTATGTAAGTCCAATCGGAGAAGAAGTGGATGACTATAAATGCAACTATGTTATTATTAACTGTGTTGAAATTAGTGAAAATGGTTTTACTAAAATAATATACTTATCTGTAACTACTAAAAATAGTAGTAGTAGGATAATTCTAAATGTAATGTGTATCTGTACCATTTTTATCAATATATAATATTACTTAATTGCATATTTATGCTGTTTTTTATTTTGTGTGATCTGGTGATTTAATGTGCTAAGTAGGATTTAAAAAACTTGATATTATAGGTTTATTCAATAGCCACTTATACCATTTGAAAGAGGGGAGGGTTAATAATCAAAAAAGGTACAAAATTAAAAAAGAGAGTCCAAATCATAGAGGTAAAATGTTTAGGCATCATGGGGCGTTTTTCCACGTGTTAGGAGAATCAAATTAATAATACTATAATGAATTAATGTACATGGTAAAAATGATTTATGACAAGCCGAGTTGATCGAAATAATACCATACTAGAAGTAAAATAAATATATCATATGTGTTATCAACTGTTTTACGAAATTCAATTGGGCAATACTATTAAAATTAAAAACGTCGAAATAAGTCACTGATGCGATATCTAGAATATTAATAAATTGTTCTCCCGTGTTGTTACAAGTTGATAAAGGAAAATAATTCTATAATACAACATTCGACACATTCGAACAAATATTCAATGTATTACTGAGAGGCGTATCGCCGAGCGCTTCAACCGTACAATGAAAGAAAATATGTATAAGGAGTTCACTGCAAGGGGGATTCATAACTGCTAGATATTATCGGTAATGATTCAAGAGTTTTGTGATCTGAAACATAGAATAATTGGAATGACACCTATCCGCCTATATAGGCGGACAATAATACCGCAATAGTCACATTAAATCACGATAATATACATGTTAGGAAAAACAAATTCGGCATAGGTGACAGTGTACATATTAGAATACAGAAAAACGTATTTACGAAAGGCTATTTACCCAATTTGTGAACAGAGATATTCACTATTGTAAAAATTAATAAAACATTTTTACGACGTTTATTCAGAAAACTATACACGGAATGCAGTCATTGACTATTTTTCTAGTGAGGAATTAAATAAAACAAAGTTTCCAAATAACTATTTTGTTGGAAAAGTGATTCGTACCAAAGGACAAAAAGTTTTTGTAAAATGACTAGGATTCAATAACATTCACAAAACTAATCTTAGGGGTTTAGAGGTACTAGAGGATCTTTAGCATCCCCAAGTTTAAAATTAGCACTCATAAAAGTACCCAATACGTTGTCTTATAGCATAAACTAAATATTTTATCCGTGTATTTCATAAATAAGCAGAACAAAATACAAATTACTTACGAAGACAGTTAAAAATGTTTTGATACATATTTTTATAAATAATTGTAAATAAAATGTGTGGTTATTTATTATAAATATCGTGTAAAGTGTATTGTGGGTGCATTGTCTCTGTGGGTGTACGATGTGTCTACAATTTTAGCAACCCCAAGGTTGGTGGTCTAGTTGTGCCTAAGATGTTGGGTGTTAAATTAAGTATTATTGACGATGGATACTATAAAATAGGAACAAAAATGGAATTTGTTCATTACTATATGCAAGAAATCAAATATTTCAGTGTAAGGATCAATTTATTACTAGCAAAGATGTACCAAATACCGAAATATCATTGAGAACAGCGAGTATTAAAAATTTATTAACTGGGGGACAAGGGTTTGTTTTTTGCTCTTGCAAAATGAAGTGTACTATAAGAAGATGCAAATATGAAAAACAACATATTATTTGTAGTTCAAAATGCCATAGTTCAAATATGTGTAGCAAAAACTAAACGAATATGTAATATTTAATTTTAATATATTTTTTTTGTAATTTTAAATAATTTTTATCAATGTACCTAATATGAACAATATTTAAAATTAATATTTTTTTGTTGTAGTTTTGAATAATTTTTGTTAATATAATATGTAAAATATGTTTTTAATCAAATATATCGATAGACATTACAGATTTTCCTGAATGAGGTTGGTCACAACTACAGGTTTTTCCGAGCAAAAGCCGAAATTTGATGTTTTGCGCAAGTATCGTGGACACTTCGCGTTTTGCCAGGGCATTTTTGAGATTTGCCAAATTTCGGGTTTTGCCTGTAACATATATGTATAATTATGTAAAAAATGGAAATTTTTAATTTAAATGAAATTAAATTAATAAATAAATGTATACATAATATTTTGTTACATTATCAATAATGTGTTATTGATGATATCATTTTAATTTAATTAAACATTTCCATTTATTTTACATAATTAAATGTGAGTAGATTCTATTTCATTATCTCTTTTTACGTCTAATAACTCTATATTTATGTATAATGTATATCGTATAAATATTTAATAATACCACTTACAAGGCATCTGTCCACAACTCAACCAATGGCAACGATCTATTATCATTTAGGTCAGTAGGCTACTGGGCCAGTCTAGCCCTAATTTGATTCATTTTATTATAATTACTATTTTTTTTCAATTTCAAACATTTATTAATAATTTTCAATTAATTATCATTGATTTCTGGTTATTTATAATAGGAATCTACTTACAATATAAATATTATGCAACTTACCTAAACATAATACCAGTTTGTCTATTGATTCTCTAAATATTACCATTTGTTTATTAATATCTAAACAAAATTACAATGTATAGAATAAACTGTAAAGTCGAGGATTTAATTTTCTCAGAATTTTATTAATGTCATTGTATACAGGGTGATTCACTAAGTTTTCTCACCCCATTTTTTTGGTTAATTTTTCGCCACAGTACCATTTAAACCGCAGTACTCAAGAGCAATTCGGTGTAGTGCAGTCCGAAGAAAGAAGCCAGAGCAATTTGTGGACAGCTGTAGTCCAGTGCTACAAAGAAACCTGTAGCATACCGATGATAGCACGTAGGCCACTGTCGGTATTGTGAGAGGTATTTTTTGGTAACATACGTTACTAGCCCATACTTAGTGTTATTGAAAAAGTCTACATATACCCGTGTAATGTTCACGTCACTGTGTATTTGTGTATTGTTATTATTATTTTTGTTTTGTTGTATTTTTATTGTATACCCTCATTGAGTATAGTATTTGGTTAAAAAAATCTCAAAAATTGTAAGGATAAAATTTGTTAAAAAAAAATAAACGTAATAAATAACCATCAACAAATAAAAAACCCGGTGTTTTTTTTTCAACGTAACAAACTAAAAAAAATAAATACTAGTTTTTAAAACTTAAATCTAAATATAAACAAAAATAAAACCGAAATTGAGATCGGAAATAAATTAACACTGATTTTACAAAATCAAAATTTAAATAAGAAAATATAAAAAATGATTTTTAAAACCAAAACTGAAACCGGAAAAAATTATAACCGATATTTAAACCATAATGATGATTGAAAAACAGTGTTAAACGTTATTTAATCAAAATCGAAGCTGAAATATGTGAAAGCCGAAAAAATCAAAAGCCATAAACCAAAATTAAAACCAAATTCAATTTCAAGTTTTGCAGGTAAATTAATCTCACAGTGTTCGTTTTTGGAGTAGTAATAATTTTCACCTTGAAAAATAATATAAATTTTAATTTATTTAAAATGATGCGTGTTCATTTTTGATTATTTATGTATAATTATACAACGTATTTTCTTATGTATAATACTATAGGTATGTATATACCTATACACAAATTATGGATTAAATATATTTTTTTTTTGGTATAGTATTATACCTAAATTAATAAAAATGACATACACCATTTATAAATTAATAATTAAAGATTTTATTTTTTTTTTAATAATACTTTTAAAACAAATTAAAATATTCTGTAATTAACTTTAAACCAGTGGTGTAGCCAGGGGTACGCAATAGGTGGGTCATGGTGTGGATTTTTTTTGCTCTCTTTATCAGGAAGACTGCACCACCGTTTAAAATCAACCACGAAGGATGAATTATTTCGACTATTCTACCTATCTAGGTAAATTATATTTTAATAATGAAAGAATTGATTTATGTATTTCTTTTGTCAATTATGTACACAATTTAAACAAATTATTTCCTTCTAGATTCTATGGTTGTATGGCTAATAAAAGTTTAAATTATTTTCTAATTATTTCATACTACTATAGGTATATTACCTAGAATTCTAGACCTATAATCATAAGCTCAAAGAGCCCAAATATTTTCATTTTTTTTTTGGGGGGGGTTCGGGAGTGTGCTCCCACCCCTCACAAAGTTTCATTTTTATTGAAATTGATTATTTATACTTAGTATTTACTGGTCAAAGATTTGATTTGAAAGAGGGCTTGGTTGAGTTTTTCGGAACACAAGCCCCCCCTATGTGAACCAATGTTCATGGTCACCCAAGTTAAAATTGAGGGGAGGGGCTAAATAAAAATATAAGCTTAAAATATATGCCAAATAAAGTTTTAATACTATTATTTATTTCAGTGGATAAATGTTCTGTTTCATAGACACCAATAGGAGGATTGGTGCCCATGACTAGAAAATTTAAAACCTATCTGATTTCACAAATGTTTAGCATGCTAAGTTAAAGATCAAATCATACCAATTTTGTAATAACTTAAGTACCTGATAGATGATAATACCATAGTGTGCGTTTATGAACATATCAAAACTTTGTGACGAAAAAACGTTTTATCTCGAAATTAGTATTATTACGATGTATGGTATACTGTAATATAATGTTTTTAAAATCATAAATTACTTACAAAATTCTATTCGTTGTGTTTTATAAATAGAATAATTGAATTCTTTTTCAGGCATTCCTAAAGTATAATTAATTATTTTGATAATTACGCATTTCAATTATTATGTAGATATTAATTAAATAATTAACTTCTTTTGATAATATACATTTAAATGTATTCAAAATGTATTATCTATTATTAATAAATTATCTAAGTCGTACCAGCTCAACATATTTAAAAAACATGTCTACAGTTTATTAATTGTTTAATATATTAGCTACTATCGGACATAATTAAAGTAAAAAATAATAAGTAATAGAGTTTAGAAACAATGAGATCTTTTAGAATTTAAACGGTCTTTTTATATTTTTTGATGATTCAGCCTTCAGTGCTTGACGATTGTACAACAACAAGTGGTGTGAAAAATCGAAAAATCAGTGTTTGCTAAAGTTGGATAATCCGAGTCTTCGGAATCCGTAATTGTAATTAAAATAGGAGTTAAAGATTTCTGGTGTGTTTATTTAATTCAAAACTAATCATAATTATAAATTTATTTAAAATTAATATAATATATAATACATGATAATAATTTATGATAACCACATAAAGTAAAATTATCAAATATACATAAAATATGGATGAAAGAAAGTCAGTAGGTTAGGTAGACTAATTAAGCAACGTAATAAATGCAAAAATGCAGTGTTAGGTTAGGTTAGGTAAGCTTAGTTCGGTATATAGTTTGGCAGTTTGGTAAAAGAAGCAATCGCTTCAATCCCATCGACCTGGTCAGGAAGTGTGCCCTAAAACTGAGGTGGTGTCATCTTGGTGAAGAGGTTATCGTACGCTGGTATCATGAAGCACGTCATCGCTGATGTTAAATGGACTGAAATTAATGTTATGATAGGAGCAGTCTGTAGAATCAGAGCTGGTGCTATTCTATTTGAAGTAGATGGGAAGTACGAAGCTGAAAAGCTCAATAATAGCTTTCAGGTCTCGGTACAGGAGATGGTGGAGATAAAAAGGCTATCAATCATAACTCAGGTCATGATTATTAACATCCCAGATTGGTTATATGAGGTAAAAATGGGTAAATATATTAGTACGGCTGACTTTGCCATAGCGGTCGTAGTCGTAAGTCGCATTATTCAGCGCCAACATGGAAGCTGCACTCAGTCCTGCAGAACAAGGATTAGACAAAGTCAAATGGGAATCATGTTGCGTCAAACTTCTTGAACCTAAAACTCTGCTATTTTTTAACTACCAGGAGCAGGGTTACTAGAGAACGACATGCAAGGCTCCTGTTAATGATTCCGTTAATGGAGTCTAGGTTTACTCCTGCTATGCCTCCCCTAACTGCACGCAGGCGCAGTATCAGGATTCTATCAGCAAATTGCATAGCAGCATTATTTCACTGAACCTCAACACTCAAGTACTGGTAACTGGCAATTTTAATGCCAGGTCGGCAGCCTGGAGGAAGTGGGTTACAAACATCAGAGGAAATGCGCTCAGTGACCTATATGCGTCACTTGGCTTAGTTGGCGCTTAGAGTGCCGGATCCATAGTGAACATCACTGCGGCCTCCAAGTCGCTTAAATGACGGGTTTCTAACTGGGAAATCCTTGACGCAGTCTTTAACAATAGCAATCATCATTATATAAGGTTCAATCTCGGAACCGGGCCTCCTACCGATCCCTGGTATGCGAAGGATGCCATGCCCTGAAGGTGAAAACGTGGGCTGCAAAGGTGTAGTAACCAGGTAATGGACCGTCATACTCATTACCGATATCGGGGCACTGTACTGCAGGAGTCACGGGGAGCTGGATTTCCACAACTGCTATCCGTCCATGGATGTTTCGGCAAATACTTAAACAGAATTGGCAAAGAGTCCATGAGTGTCTGGAACCATTTTAGCGCCGGTGTGAATAGCGCGGATCATACGATCTTCCATTATCCCACTTAGAAGGACATGCGAACAATTCTATGATGGTTGACCAGCTGTCTCGTGAATGCCAGTAATCTGGTTGACACAATATTAACCAGCGCGAGGACCTGAAATGCCTGGATGTATAAAAAAGTAATAATGAAGTAACAAGGATAGCCGCGACTATGAACGTCGGATTGCGGGGGTCCCTCCAAGCACATATAACGCTGCCCGAAACATTATATAATGAGACGAGTCCACCACGATCAAATGCGAGCAATTTCGCGTCACTCTATTTATTGTAATTTGGACTTGTATTTATTTGTGAATTAATTTAGACTTAGAATATTTTGTAAAGATTTTTATTATTAGACATGTAATATTTTTGTGTGGAAAGTATTAATTATTTTTATAACTTAAGTTGGAGTTTAATTTATTTCAACGTTTTTCCTCTAGGTCTACATTCTTACGTTGGGACCGTTACAATTGTCAGGATATTTTATATTGTATACATGTTTTTTATTTATTAACTTCTGGTTATCTTTTTCATCTCTTCGATTGCTTCTTTTATGAACAGGTTAAACAAATAGGGAATAATAAGGGATAACCTTATCTCACATCATTTGTTATCATAGGTTCATTTACAATTATGTTCATGTCTATTAGTGTTGTTTAATCTGTATATAATTATCTAAATTATAGAATATGTTAACATATTATTGTAGGTAAGTATATACGACTTAAATAAAAATTACTCACGTAAATATGCGAAATCTTATAAATCATATAAAAATAAACAATATATTTTCATGATTAGGTATGCGAGTACATATAATATATTTATATCTAAATCTAAAATATTAAATACCTTTGCATAGTTATTAGATTATACATTTTTACAATTTACAACCTTGTTATGGCGTGAGGTTAGCATAGTGAGTGTACAGTATGCAAGTAGGAATATAGGCAAAAATACAAAAGTAATAGTAGTGGTATCACTGAAGTATGATTGAATTCTCCTAAGAACATCACTCCAGAGAAGAACGGTCATCCAAAACCACAAAATATCGCAGATCATATAGGTCGTCCTCAAGATGTAAGATTGCTCATTGTAATGAAATAATTTATTATATTAATTATTGTTCAATATTGTCAACATTTATAAATATTTCGACCTATATCCATAGTACAATAATTAATAAATATCACACACCGAGGCCGAGTCCCCAAAACCTCGTTAATATAAACAAAATTCTTGTGTCACTAGCATACACCGGATGGACGTCCACCCAAAGGAGACTTTACAGTATCAATCACATTTTTGATAGCTTTTACATATTTATAGATATAATTCGTGTTTTATTTAACTATATTAGATACATTTTTAAATACATTATATTATAATGTAGGTAAGAGAGAAAGACTCGATATACTTTATGAATTTAAATCGTCAAAAAATAATTTATTAGTTTTTATTATAGATTGTAAAATGCCTTAAAATACATATGTGTAGTATGTAATAACTAATAATATTGAATTCAATTAGCTATGTAAAAATTTATATGTTGTAACCAAAATAAAATTAAAATAATAAAATAATTTGCAAAGTGCTCAAAAATTGTAACATAAAAAAACAAGCTTATATATTTTGGCAAATTGGCTTGATTCAATATATTGATAAAATGAGATAGGTAGGTACTAAAATATCTAAAATGTAGTAAAGAAAAGGAAACTGAAAATGAAAACCTAAAGTTTCCAACATATTTTTACTTGTACTTTTTGGTTGTGTATTCTAGTCAGTAGAGTATTACTGAACCGCCGAAATACACATAATCATATCGTGAATAAAATATAGTTAAAATTATAATTCAATTTTTCTTTTCATGTTTTCATATTATTGTTATTACACAGGTAGGAATTAATAAAACTATGATGGTCATAATAGAATTATATGATGGTATTAGTAAAAAATTAGAAATAAAACCTTAAAAAAGACATCATAGAATAATGGGGACGGGTGCAGTATACTATTACAGATAATATAATGTATAGCTATACGCAACAATAAACCATTGCTTACTAAAATACAATTCTGAATGTAGTTCTTTGATTATTTAATTTGTATTCAAATTAAGTTTATTCGAAATTTGTTACATTATATCCACACTTAACCACAAAAAAATATAAGTAACTATACAGGCTGTCCCACAAAGATACATCCCATGTAAAATAAACTCTATGGAGTTTATTTTTCTGAACATTTTAATGTATCACACATTTACCACAGTTTCATCCGATGAATAGTTTCTAAATAACAGAGATTTTAAATTAAATCCTTAGATAACATGGGTTTTCACACGGATTATTAGAATTTAAAACGGCTGTTACTTAGAAACTATTCATCGGATGTAAATGTGTGATACATTAAATTTTCCAGAAAATAATAAAATAAAAAATTATTTTTTAATTATTTATTAAAAAAAAAAAATATTGATGTAAATATTTGTAGTCCTCATCCCCGTCAGTAATTAAAAAAAAAAATAAAATAGAATTTGATTTTCATTATTATTCGAGTGGTATATCTTCGAAGGATAGCCTGTATACCAATTCATATTTTTGCATCACTATTATGTTCACTTTTCTTATTTCACAATTGGGAAATTTTCTTTAAAAGTTTTGTTTATGCGGGATAATATAAACAGAATGTCACATTATTAATAAAACATTCCTACATGGTTCAGATAATTGAAATAGAATAAATTAAAGGACGGCAAAGATTTTGTAAGTAACGCTTAAACTAAAAACAAAATGCATACTATAGACGACTATAATAAAAATTAATTATAATAGTAATAAGTGTTGACAATTTTTCATTTAAAATACAAGTATTTGAACTCTAAAAAAATGTTCGTAATATTGTAATGTTATGCTCACACAACATATATAAAATAATTTATATTTATAAACATAGGACTAAACAATTTAGATACAGCCGAGTACTAGGTATTTAGTAAAAAAAAATTGTTTGTATAAAAAAATACAACTGACATTCGAAAAATAAAATTCACATGGCGGTCAGCGCATTTTCGACATTATCGCCGCCGTAGAATAAATAAAATTATTACTAAATAAAAAAAAGGGTTTTATGATCAACGAATCACCATTCATCGGTTCTCACGCGTAAATCTCTTAAATCTAAAAATTGCGGGTTTTTCTTGAAGTCTAAAATAACTCGCCCCTACGAAAAATCTTCTGGTCGATCTCTCTGTCGCCAACCCGGTATACAATAAATACACACTACCAACTTTTTTTTTGTATACTTCTCTCGAATAGCTCCGACTTTTAGCAGCTATAATTCCTAGTGTTCAATTTATTTAACTTATTTATTTTAATTATTCAACCTTTATTTCTATTCTAATTTAAACATTAGCATTTATTATTTGAGTGCACGTAGTTTCTAAGTGTTATGATTAATTTAGATTATTTTGATTGAGTCGCCACTGCCATCCTATAATTCTAGAATCACGTGATGACACGTACGATTGATAACCTTTAGCATTCCAACACTGTGGGCAAGTAAAACAATTATAATCTCTATTTATTGGTATCGTCATTATTCTCGGGATTACGATTCGGTAACCCTCTGAACAGCAGGAGGAAGGTAGTAATTCAAATACCAGATTTAATATAGGTATACAAGTAAAACACTCCGATTATCTTTAATCATATTACTATCCCCCTCCCCTTTTAACCCTTTTTTGTATTACTACAACATAATGGTTTAAAGTACTGTATCAATTAATGACATTATTGTTTGCACTTTTAGGGCTGTCCCATAGAGTAATATAGAGATGCTGTTCCCAATATCGTTGATGCACAAATGTTTTCTATTTTACAGTATCATTACTTATAGAAAAAAAGAATATTGTAAAATATTCGGTACAATGTGTCTGTCCTTTAATATGTTACATAGGATTTCATAGAAATTATGATTTTATAACTGATAAAACATTTCAGTAGAGGTAACCAATGTACCGAATATTTCACAATATTTCTTATTATAAACCAATGCTAAGTAAAATGTATAAGCAAAAGTTCTAGAATATATGCTGCAGTGTAATGGCAAATTTTATTAGTGGTAATTATTATATGATTTACCCTCAGAATTAAATAAACTTATATTTTAGGTAGATACCAGGTCTAGGATAATTTTAATGACTTATAACATCATTCGTCACTATTTATTTTAACCAAAAAACTAGGTAATAACTAAAATACAAATAAATGGAAAATTAAATATAAAAAAAATAATTTTTCCTAGTCTATTCACATACAATTGTATTATTTTTTATTCCGATCCGTACTTCAAGTTTACTAAATAAATATAAAAATAAATTATTTACAATCTAGTTTATAATAGTAAATTTTCTTATTTTATACCTCAAAATAATTTATTATAAAATATATTTCACGAATAAATTTATTTTTCATACATTAATTCCTAAACACTTACCAAATTGACAGTCGTATAATTCATCTTCAGTCAATATTTTATAACCTATAATTGATAGTCTAACCTTAATAATATTAACAACCATACATACCAGTTAGTAATTTTCATACTATTGATAAACAGCTATACAGGGTTCCCACGAAGATATACATATATACATACCTAATACCAGAATATTTTTTGAGATATTAAAGATAATCAAGTTATATTTATTTTATATTACCTATAGGAATAAGGACTACAAATATTTATATTTGAATTACAGTTTTATGTTTTAATAAAAAAAATAACTTTATTTTATTATTTTCGAAAATTTTAAGATAGTCATAATATAGAGTTTATTCTTCTGAAAGTGTTGACGTTTCAATTTTTTATTTTCATTGAGCTCGTGATTTTTACAAATCTTTTAAAGTTCAAACTTTAAGTTATAACTATTCAGTTGGTTGTAACTCCATTCGCTAATTGCATATTATTATTATGCTAATTAATAAAACAAATATTATTAAAGAAGATATAATGCCTATTTAATTATTTTATCATAATGTAACATATATGATGTTAAAAAAACTTCACTATAAACTGAACTTCACTCAGAATCATTTTTTTGTTAGCAATGGTTTATCGTTGCTTACAGCTATACATTAAATTACCTATAACAGTGATTGCACCTGACTCCGTTATTCTAGGATAGCTTTTTTTCTCTGAACTTTAAACAATTATTAAAAATCGTGAGTTTAATGAAAATTAAACGTTAATATTTTTGAATATACATATTTTTTAACAATAATAGAATAAAAATGTATTTTTTTGTTTTTTAACAAAATATAAATACATAATTGAAATATAAATATTTGTAGATCTCATCCTTGTAATAATATAAAAAACGGAATTTGATTATCTTTATTATCTCCAGAAATATTAAAATGGGTATATCTTCTTAGGACACCTTGTATACTATAAAATTAATTGAGTTTAAAATAATGTTGATTTAAAAATATTATTTCATTATATTTTGTATTCACTCTTATTACCAATTGGGGCTTCATAATTTAAATAACTTAAATAGAATTCGTCAACATGTTTAAGCTCTGCAAGTAAAACATATTTGGACAAATTACTATATTATACTTTTGAAAATCGAATTAATTGAAAAAATAAAAAGTACATGTATTTTAAAGTGTATAAAGGGCAAGGAATTTCACTCACTATATCTTTCTGCTGCTGTTGAAAATGATACTAACATAATAATGTTCAAAATAATAATATTATAATTCATTTTGCACCAGTATAAAATATTAAATTTTAATAATGGATATAATGATTTTATAATAATAAATGAAAATAAAATAATACTTCTATACTTTAAATTCAAGATCATACTGCGATCTTTTGAAAATTCAGCTTTACTCGTAAATATGTCAATATAAATACCAAATACATCTGTATAACTAAACCACTTTTTATGTAATATAATAAATAACATATGTTCTTTTAGGTAGGTAAATAAAAAATTTAAAATACACAACAGCGAGTACATTGCGAATGCTTTATACATCGTCACTTACGCTCTCGAATAAAAACGGGGTACTGTTTATGAATAGGCTACTCTAGAGCGTGAAATTGGCCTAACTATATGATGATAATTACATCAAAATCGTACCAATATTTTGCATCTAATTTGCAACTTTAGGCAACCGGTACAAAAAAAAATGTGCAACCATATATTTTCACCTTAATAGCTAAACCAAATTTTTTTTAGCATTTTTGAAAAACTAAACATATTTATCCTCATAACACTAAATAAAAACTAAAAAAAATAGACATTTTCAAATAGGTATTTATAGATAATTCGAAAACCATCAGATATAGTACATTTTTTAAACTAATAAACTAGTCGATATATACAAATATCGTCCAGTGAAAATAATTTGTCACCTAATTGATTGTATTTTTAAAGACTGGGAAACACACATAATAATTTCAATAACACGAATTTTAAAATTAATGAATGATGCATACATTTGTACACATTGTTAGGTCACTTACATTAGTACCCGTAACTTGGAATGTTATTAAACAATTTGCACCAACAACTGTTATTCTATTTTTACATATTGTAATCACAAATTCCGAATTTGTACACTAATGAAAACCTTGAAAATCGATATTTACTGTAGTGGTGCTAATGTAACGTAATACCAGAATGGTTCTGTAACTAACCATTACACTGGAGAGCCCTCGGCTTAAAGTAAAAAAACACAAACGTAGCAAATACAACGGATGGAGTTGATAATTTTTACTATTTAATAGTATGTACCTAGTAGTAGATTAATTTAATAAAACGTCTACATTTCTGAATGTACTATATTATGACTATTTGTTGGTATGATTCTAAGCTGAAAAGTTATAACATGAATTAAATTAATCAAACAATTATAAACAATATAAACGAGCCTAAAAATAAAAGAACTGATACTGGGGACGAGTGTACCAATAGTGAATCGGAAGTTCGGAAGGCGGTTAGATGGGGGTATTTTATATCTATGAGCAACGATAAACTATGGCTAATTAAAAAAGATTCGAAACAAAGTTCGGTTATACGTGTTTTTAAAAGCCGTAAATATTACGATTTTTGTAAAAATTTGATTATATAACTGTTATACAAAAGAAAAAAATATTACATATCAATTAATTATTTTTTTTTTTAACCACTACGTTCAACTTATAATAAACCTTGTATAGAATGTTCAAACATTTCTTTTTATTCTAACAATTGTATCTACTATCAATTGAGTAACTACTAAATACAAATTACGTACAAATTCGCAAAATTAAACTATCTATAAATTGCTTAAAAAGTGTTCAAATGAATTAAACATAATTACCACGTTTATATAAGGTAAATAAAAGTTTTCCGTTAAAATTTCAAGTTTTTACGAATATTTTTAACTTAATTACAACAAAGAACAAAATTGATAATAATAAAATAATTATTACTGGTGTAACGTTACATTAGCACCACCGTAGTAAACATCAATTTTCACGGGTTCTGAGTGTTTACAAATTCGTAATTTGCGATTACAAATGTTTACAAATTGTTGGTGCAAATTTTTTAACGAAATTCCAAGTTAGGGATGCTAATGTAACGAACCTCATATTGTTATAATATTATCGATATTAAATATAAAATTTACTTGTTTGTTATTACAGAAAATGAGAAATTAGTTGTATATTATAATAATACTATTGTTATACATTTATAACGTAAAATTCCAATGTATGTAATTGTGTAAATCAGTTGCGTACGCAGAATTAATTTATGAGGGGAGAGGGGGGGTGTTTATCATGTATATTTAGGTAAAATGTTAATACAATTGTATTCTTCTTATATTTAAGGTCATAGCAAAATTAAATATTAAAAAATGTATATTTAATGGTCTAACACTACTTTACAACATATTAATTCGTCTTAATGATTTTGATAATTCATCAAGTACAGTGTGTGTTGAGATTTCAATACCCCGATAAATATTGACCATTTTTAATCTATTTAAGCGAAGTAGATTTTGAGACGACGAAGAGTCGAAAAAATCCTTTCAGGGGGATGGCCATCGTCACTGGTAAAGTAACAAGAATAAGTGGAAGTTTTCATATAATGGAAGGAAATATTTTTTTCACCACATACATGTAAAACATTAAATAAACATTTTTAATATTTTCATTAATTTGCCTTATGTACTTCCATCATAATCTAAGTTCTCCGATACTTTCTTGTTTACTGCAGTTAATGATCCTTTCATAACGATGTAGCAATTTTACAATATTAGTCTCGAATTGTTGAATTGTTAAATTCTAAATTATTTGTTTTTAATGGTAAAAAACATTAAAAATTTGACAGCATTTCTTTATGATCTAACAAACGTCTTTGAATTTGAGTAATGAAGAAATCTAAAAATAGAACGAATAATGAAACAGAAACATATACTTCAGGTGAATGTGTTTCAATATTACTATAATGTACTTACCTGCCAACTTTTCGTGGAATCTCAATATCAACATCCCAATCAGAACATATTTTTTGAATAGCTTTAAAAATATAATTAAATTCTATTTTACTATCATTTCACATTTTAACTAAAATTTCTTTAATGTTTGATGGAAGAGGCATCGCAATTGATAAGTCAAGAACTTCTGTTTGTAATAAATTACTCAAGGGAGAATTATACCAAAAATCTTGGCGATAATACGGAGGGATATCTGGAATTCAACATTCTGGATTGCGGATAATAGTTTTAACGCTGTAAAACAAGTAGTTTTGTTTTCCAAAAAAGAAATGGTTTCAAGAGAAATTGTAACAACATTTTGAAGTTCAAAGAAAACTAAAACTTATCCATGTCGCTAAACCGCTCTTGTGTGGCATACATTTTTATGTCTAGTGGATTTTGTATTTGTTTCTGTATTTGTGACTAAAAGTAAAATAACTTTTTGTCGTTTATTAGGAGTATTATACAAATTGTTCCAAGTATACCCATATAACTCCGAATACTCTGAGAACCACAAGCGTCTAAAATAGCCAAGTTAAGACTATGAGAGGTACAAAGGGCATAAATAGCCATATCATTATTTTTTTTGACATGTACTTGTACGCCATTAAAACGACCACTCATAGCCACAGTCCCGTCATATCCTTGACCAACCATAAAATAACTATCCATACTAAGATTTATTAGATTGTCTAATAAAGTTTGAGCTTTCTCCCATTAAGCTAGTCAAGAACAAATGTTTTTCAAGGACAAATTTCAAAATATCTTCACATAATTTTAAAGTATTACTTTCTACATACCGAACACTTAAAGAAAATTATGCTTTACATGAAATATCAGTTATTTCGTCTACTAATATAGAAAATATTCCGGCAAAATTTATCTTTGAAACAATTTAATTGACCATTATGTATTATTACAACAATCAATAATTTTATTTTGGATTCTGGGATTTATATATGTTGCATTAAGTGATGATGTAGATAAATGTTTTTTAGATTTTGAGTGAAACGAAAAGAAGCTTATGTTTTTACAAAGATGTTTATTTTTTTTTTATCTATGTGCAACTTTTCTACAAGAAGACTTGCTCCAATTTTCAAGTATAGCACATGATTGCCCTATGACTTATATGATAAGATTTTTTTTTAAATTGGCAACCAAATTAAATAATTAGAACAGCTGGAAGATTTACCACTAGCGCTAGCTATTTTTCCCCTACATTCTACTACCTTGAATTAAATATTTTCCTAATATTAATAGTGATTTTCAAATACACAGGTGAAAATTGATATAAGACAAATTGGTGACTACTTAAAATTTTGTTTATTTTAGTTTTCAAGAAAGATCCTTTTTGTATCTATCTTGTACATTTAATTATATTTCCCATTAAATATTTTCTAATTTTCATTTATATTTTTCGCGGCAGTCGCGGCGACGTCAATCTCTATTAACATAACATTTTTATAAAAAATATTTGAGGAAATACATTAATTACGTACATTATAAATTAGCTATTTCACTTTTCAGATTCTGAGTATAACCAAGTGTGTATTTTACTGGTTTTTGTTTTCGTTGTGATTATTAACATCTTTTTTTACCAAAAATCAAATGTTAAGTGGATTAAATGTATGGCTTTATAAAAATGCTCTAAATTTGAATACGAAGTTTATTATAAATTTTAATGAATGATAAAAAAAAAAAGCAGGTAGAATTATATATATATATGTATTTAATTTGTAGTCATAAATGCTGTTTAACTACCAAGCGATTTTTGGATATCCATTAGAAATTTTTAGTTTTTTAATATAATATAAATACACATTTTATTAAATATTTTTACCAGGAAAAATTTAATTCAAACAATGTATAAGTATATAATGCAGATTTTCTAATATTTTATCATAGATAAAATACAGTATTATATTATCTAGATGGTTTTGTTATTTTATTTAGAAATTATTTTAGTCAGCTCACAATTATATAAAGATTTGTTTTTATTTTTTTTTTTATCTTTTATTATTAAATATACAATCCGCAAAAGTTTATTTACAACAAAAATATGAGCTAAAATACAATAACAATAGGTAACATAAAAAAATAAGTAACCCAGCGGCGGTTACATATTATATTATATTTTTATTTTTTTTAATAATAGTTCAGGTTATGACACTAAAATCTCTTGAGTCTTGATCCTTGGAGAATTTCCAAATATTGAGTCTGAATTAAGTGCTGAAATTAAACAAAACGATTACAAATTTAGATTGTGCCTATAGCCTACTTATTTATAAACCTTTCTTGGCTTTAATTAAACTAAATCTGTGTCATAACAAAATAACGTTGTGTATAATATAAATTAAAGTAAAGAAACTACAATTAATTAGCTGTTATCATTTTTTTTTTCAAATTATCAGATTTTAATATAAACGAGTGAACGGCTTATCAATCGTTTGCCGTTAACTCATTAATGCATAAACCGTAGTGAAAGGGTTTTTACAACGGGTGGCTATATAAATACATAAGTGAAGCGTTTACATATTTTTCAATAATTCCGTTTTTCTACATATTTAGACAATTTGTTAATATACGATTGGATTTCTTAATTGTGTAAACTTTTTTTTTCTGTTTGCACCAACAGCAGTGAGGGCTCTGTTTTCACAATATTTCCCCACTGCTGCTAAACTTGTGTAAACTTATCGTAACCTAATAAACAATTTTCTATGTTTACAAAAGTACGTAAACAATTTTTGAATAAATGCGATAATATTGTAGACTAAGTTCACTCTTTTATTCATTACAGATTTGCAAATATTAAATTTGCACCAATTACATCGATTGAAGTCGAGCGTTTCTTTAGTTGATACAAATCTGTTCTACGACCAATCCGTAAAGGATTTCACTTTGCCAATTTTAGTATGAACGTATATAGTGTCTATCAAGATTAAGAAAAATTAGGTTTAATTTCATAATAATTTAAATTCAACTGTTTTAATTTCATTTTTCATTGTCAATTATAAAGTTATTTTTTATTTTTTTATCACGTACATATTTTGATTTTTTTTTAATACATATGAATTTGAGCCCTATTAATTATTATTAATTATAATTAAGTAGGTACATAATAAATTAAAATAAAAGACACCGCGATATAATCGTAGAAAGATATAATATACAATTTGTACTTACTATTCTAAAACAGTTTACTATAATATGGCGCCTTATCCTCCTTAACTAAACAGTTGATAAAAACCATCATATTAATTCAGATATCTTCGTTACTTGTGTGGCTATATATTATCTCCCTAATAATTGATTGCAAAATATTTACTTGTCTGGATATAATTCATTATATTCTTTCGTCCACAAATCCTTCTTTAGCGGTACATATCCTATAATATAAACACCTACTCTGTATTATATAATAAAATAAATAAGTATCTAACAATTATAATATTATTTAATCATTAATATTAAATATCATAGAAAATACCAATAAGCATTATAATAAGGAGCATCGCACATTTGCGCCAAAAAAGGTAATTGTTTTGGGTACAGACCAATTTACCTGCGTATATTACGTGAAAATTATTTTTATTTTACTTATTTATAAGTTATTTTATGTTACTTTATTTTTTATCTAATTATATACTAAATACTAAATAAATATAGATTTTTATCAAAACAACGTTTACATGATAGTTAATTTTACATAGTTAGGTTAGCATTATTTTTATAGTTTTCGATTGCTTTTAAAATTTTGTTTAGTTAGATTTTAGTCTTCGAAAAAACATTAAATAGTTACGTATATTAATTATTATTTTTTTGTGTATATTATCGTGTAAACAGATTAAAAATAAGTTTTATATCAGTTTTATTATAATGTACAATAAACTGCGTTATCGGATATTGTTATTCGTCGACCATCGTTCACAGTGGGAGATGGTATTTTGCGCCAATTTTATTACTTGTAATTTGCGCCACGTACATTATAAACAATACATTTAAGTGTGTATGTAATTTGTGTCAAAATATATAAATATAATATGTATTTTGTGTCATATCTAGAAATCAATTTTGGTAATTTGCGCAAGGACAGAAAACCACACGCCACACGCCCACACTTTCAATTTTAATTGTTGGAATTTATTAGCTGATAATAATTTACTGATATCGTATTGATAAAATATAATACTGCTGTGTTCTACTAAAAATAAGTAAAGACGAAATTGATTACTAATCTGAGTTTAATGAAAATTATAAATTTATTGTCAAAATATTGAACAGTAGTATTGTGCACAAATATCATGATATTTACAGTTAGTCCGATATTAATCGTATGTGCATTCATATTTCACATATAAAAGTATAAGTAATGGATAAATATATTAGTAAAATTATAAAATATACCAGAGATAAAGATTTGTTATTATTTGAAAATTTTACATTTCGAAAAGTTTATGAATCTAAAAATTCTTCAATACGATGGCGTCCTACTAACAGAAATTTCACTTCTAAAGTGTATACATTTGTGGAAAATATGGTAGAAATAGTTGAAATTGTAAATGAACATAACGGGCATGATCAACCAAATATAGACAGAAAAATTTATTCAAATGTATGTAAGAGAAAAGCTATGAAAAATCTATATAATAAACTAATTAAGATATTACGAACAGAAATTTTTGAAATTGTATTTAATTTAAAAACCATTACTAACAATAATATGTCACTAGTTCAATGAAATATTTATAACGCCCTTAAAATATGGTACCACAATTACCAAACGAAATAGAAGAATTGCAAAAGATTAAACAATTTAGATTTTTAAAACTGACCGCAATGAACAATTTTTATTTATCAATGATCCACATAACACATAATTATTCTCAGTGAGGCCCAGTAACCGTATAACCGTGTGATACAAACAAATAAATAAATAATAAAATAAAAAACCTTCGAGCCTGCTCTCGGTTGATTTTTACACTATATTTTTGAAAAAAATCACGCTTATTTGTTGTAATAGAAATATAGCATAAACATAGCAGATAGTAAGAGTAGCTATTTGGTTAAACATTTTGTATTGGCTCGCTGTTATCATTGATTATGGATGTCATTAATCGAGTTCTATATTTACAATTTAATTACCTTTATGCATTTGTTATTTATTTAATTTGTATAATATTTAATGTTAACATTTATAATATACATTTATTATTCTTAAACATTTAAAATTTACTGTATCATAATAACTATATATTGTAATATAGTATTATATTATTAAAACTTTAGTTCTTTTAATATTTTTTTTAGTTTAATTTGAATTTTTATTATTAATTATCTACAGCTATGCTGTTACAATAAAAAAAATTATGTTTATTTTGAAGTATGAAAATAAATATTTAATATTTGATATCTCAAATTAGTCAAAATTGGAAGTATAAATATTTTTTATTTTAAAATTAATGTTGGTAAAATAAAATTATTAAAAAATGTGTATCTCCTTCCCCCTGATCCGCCACTAGTTATTGATGAATTCAAAATTTAATTGCGGAAAATCTTAGAATAATATTATAAAACAAGTATACCGAACATGTAAAATTATTTTTTTTTATCAGACGGGAAAAAGCACTTTTTATACATTGTATTAGTTATATATAAACTGTTCATAATTTATATAAATTAATGTCATAACGTTAGTTTCTAATGCAGGAATATATAAATGTATATATTGTATGTTTGAAAATAATCATTTACCATTTAAATGTATTCTCATTAAATACGTTGGATAATTTTCTCCTTTAATCGTTTTTCCTAAAAAAAAAAAAAAATACATTCAATATAAGCCATAAGGTATATGCTTCTGATAGGACTGTATTTCGAGAGTTTTTAATAAACAAATAATTTGAACTTAACATACTTAATAAAGATCAGTAATATACATTGAAAAGAAATAATAATATATTAACACTGCTGTTAAAATTTGCGCATTGTCCATTCACCTGCACCACATCGTACATCACTTACGCATCAACATATCGAACAATAGAAATATATAATATAAGTAGTATAAATAATGAAAAATAAATTTCAAAAAAAATTTAAGTTCAAGACTATAGAAAGTTTATGTTTAAAAACCTAAAAATAATATAAACTAATCAGTCAAAATTAATTAAAAATTATTTGTCTAAAAGTTTGTAAAAATTTGGGTCAAAATCGTCTAAATTAGTTTTGGTAAGTACATATGGTTAATTAATTAAGTGTTAAAATCAATATTTGGTGTGTTGGAAAATTAGAAATCAAATTTTTTTTGGGGGTTCTTCTGTTTATTTTTTCAATTCTATATGCTGATGTACAAATGATGTACGATCTTTTGATGTAAGGTGTATATTTGATAGGTATGCAAATGATACATAACCCAAAAATCGAACAATACTCAACTATCTTACAAAAAAGGCAGAATCAACAATAAAGATGCGCAAATGATCTATGGTCATTAAGAGGGCATCGCAGTAGAAACAAATCTACTGTTAAAAAATGGTGTCTTAATTCCAAAAATACTTGGATCAATCTAACCAGGTAGTTTACAGTAAGGTGGTCATGCAGTACCTAACCGTAACTAATCTAACAATACCATTATAAATCAACAGTTGTCTTAATCACGGACACGCGATATCACGCTAACCGTGATAAAAGAAAAAATTGCACTAGTTATATTTAACACGGTGTGAATGGAAACAAAATCAGGGAAGTTATTACATCGATATCCCCACAATCAAGTTTTCATGTTATCAATATGAAACCTTCACTAAATTGAATAAACATCAGTAACAAATTCGATGAATTCAAAACGTTACGTTTATTTTTACCTCCATGCGCTTAAAATTGATAATAAACATATGCTCTTTTCTATCAAGAAAAAAAAAACCAAATTACTAAATCGTCGTAAATAATGTAAATATTTTCTGTCTTTCTTTTTAAACATTTTATTAGCATAAAATTGTTGTCAGTTTTCGGAATTTGTAAGTATAATGATTTTAAATTCATTATTGATCGTTTAATCTTGTATTTTATACATTTTGTTGTATTGCGTGTGAAAATATCAAACACTCGAGAGCAGCTATTTATAGAGGAACTTTAGATAATTAATTTGAAAATCTTGCCAAATCTCTAAATGGCATTCCTTTTAATCATGTAATAAAATATTATGAAACTAACTTAAGAGATGATCATGGATGACTTAAAGTTATTTCAAAGCGTGATTCAAAATATCATGAACGGGTCATGAATAGCTGTAAAGCTTCTACATCAGTAATGTTTGCTGCTGCAGGTAATAGAGAACTTCTACCTCCATATGTTGTATATATATATATATATATATATGCATAAAATAAATGTTGTGACATTTACCATTTAACTTTATTAAGAGATTTATTAGTTATATATTTCATTTTTTTTAAAAAAAAAACTTTATCCAGACTGGAAATTATAGTGATAAGTTGGGAAGGTAGGATTCAAAAGGTTATTGCATTTACAACTGTAAATAACGATAAACCATTGTTTGACGAACGATGATTTCGAGCGCAGTTCGGTAATACAAAATTTGAAGTGCCATAATTTTTTTTGCAATTTTCGTTTAAATTTAATTTCAAAATGCTTAATGCAATAACTTAATCATAATTTGCTCCGATTAAGTTATGATCTGTTTAAGTGTAACTCTTTTTCTGAAAGTTCAATTTATCTTTATTATATTTTAGATTTCTGACGCCATTTTTTTAAATCAAAGGACTTAAGCAAGTTTATTAGGAAAAAAACGTATCCACAGACTAAAACAATAAAAAAAACAAAATATTAAACATCATTGTAAAACCAATAGCTCCCTCAACACGCTTGGAATCTAAAATGGTATTAAAAGGTGTGATTATAATTTATTTTATTTTAATAACGTGATAAAAATGTTGTTATATTCTAATATAAACATTTTTTATTACAATTTGTACAATTTTTTTAAAATATCAAATTGTATTTCTATTCAACATTCAAGTTAGTAAAATATAAAAATGTATAAACAAAATCATAAATATTTCTATTGATACCATTCTCCAGGGAAATATAAACAAAGCATTTAAAAAACATATATAAATAAGCTGTTTTAAAAAAAATTATTTTGAATACACACATTTAAAATACTCAAAGCGACCCAAATTATAATGTATTAATTAACAATGTAACCTAAATAGAGTAGTTCTTATGATACTTCAAAGTTCAAAAGTGTTTATATTCACCCCATTTTACTAGTACTTAGTTATAAATTTATAATCGTGATTTTAGTAGGTAGGTAACTAAATATTAATATTTATCTATTTTACGAAATAATATTAGTTAAATGAGCCTACCTTCTCGTAGTTCATTGAATTTTTCCGGGGATATAAGACCTGAAAATAAATATTATAATCTACAAGTAACTATATATTATACAATATTAAAAAATAATACCTAATACTTAATTATAATAAATCATTTATTTTAAAAACTGATGAAATATTTTCTTAATAAAATAGTAAAATAATAAATTATAACCTTAGGTAAATTTATTAATATATAATTTAGTGCTTTCAGTGCTCCATCTACCAAAGGTAAAATACATTGTTACCTAATAAAATAGTTAGGCCTTATAGATACATATTTCATTTGGTACATTCAGAAAACTTTAGAAATGGTACCTAATTTTAAGTAGTTACAGAGCAGTTAGAATCAATGAGACTGAGAAGAAAAAAAAATATAACAACAATGCGATTAGGTATTGTATATATCAGTGTTACAATCTTTTACGAATCGTAACCCCTATTTTTTTTTCATATAAGACGGCATAGCCCCCGAGTTGATGGAGTATACTAATAACTTCATAACTTACCAAGAGGAGCCGATGATATGTGTGAAAAACTTTCTCCTTAATTTGTATTTATTCGTAAAAAAAAAAAAAAAATTTAATACAATAATAATTATAGATATTCATTACTAAACAATAATATTACTTCATAGGTATTTATGAATGTATGTAGGTAGTAATTTAGGCCTCATTACTTGTAAACCTATATATAACTACATATAAGCAGTACACCTAATATCTATGGCGCAATTAAGCTTTATAAATAATTTGGAATAATTAGGTAGGTATCTATATTTTTAAAGAAAAGTTTATTATTTTAATAATTTTATTTATTTATTTAACGAACCTTCTTCACGATATTTAAGTATATTTTTCAAGTACAGTCTATTTCATAAAATTATTCCACCGCTCGGTGCGTTGTTATTTGGAACGGAGTTTAGATCCTAAATTCTATTCCGATTAAGAGTACACCGGTTCGCGCATACGCGACTGAGCGCCGATCATACACTGTAGCCGTACAATACCGTATGCCGAGCGCGTTGTCGTCATTGCCGCCGCCATGTATACAGCGAGTCATAATATCTACAATACCTATAGTCAAACAAATCATGGTAATATACGCGTATATTATACCAACTATTAAACTAACGAGCAACACTGCAAAATTACACAACTTAAAACAGATATATGTAGCTTTTAGGTTGAAAATAGAATTTAAACAACATGTTTAGAGAAGAATATTTTAGCAGATTTATTTACAAAAAATTATGTCATATTTACTTTTTTTTTTTAAATCACCAATATATTACAAAAATCCAACATTTTTGAAATCAATTAAAAGATACTTGTTGAGTTTTTGTGGTCAGCATGTCATCAACAATGAAATCAATTTTCCAAAATTTGCCTTCTTCTTTTTTAGTGTGGGTTATGAAATTTGTCCACATTTCCGAATTCACACTCTTGGTGTCTTCATTCAATAATACTTTGACGTCGTCTAATTTGCACGTATCGTTCTTTTGTTTGACGTGATTTTTTACTAAAGACCACACCAACTCAAGGGGGGTTAGTTCACAATGGTATGGAGGTAACCTGAGGATTGTGCGTCCATTTTCTTTTGCAAGCTCGCCAATTTTATATTAAGTAAAGTGATTTTATTTGATTCACTATAGCCAAAATGTGTGATATAACCATGGCCATTACTTGGCCTTTACCTTCTAGGGTAGACTTTAAAGTCTCTGTTAACAGAATGGTAAGAAGCATTGTCCATAACAATAATACAATTTTATTTCAAACGTGGTAAAATACTTTCCATTCATTCATAAAATGTATCTCCGTTCATTTCATCGTGATAATCAATGCAATTTTTTTCGATTCAAAACATATTAAACCACCTAACAGGAAGCCGTCTTCAGACCCAATGTAGAGAACCCTCCCTTTACCTGATGGATTTTTGGAACCCGTCGTTAAACCTCGTAGGAATGTGTCACGGTGAAGTTTGGTTGACCCATGTTTTGTTTGTGCACTCGTACGCATTGACCTTTATCTCATCTAAGTAATTAGCGTGCCGTCTCTCTTTGCGATATTTTTTCAAATCTTCCAAATATTTTTTTCGCCACAACGCTTTAGTGTACTCGAAATCCATCAATTTTAGAATTCTAAATAAATTTGTTCTTGAAATTAGTGGAATAGTATCATCATTACTAAAAACAATATATATTTTGTCGACTGTAGAGATCTGTTTTTTAAATCAAAATTAATGTACATGTCTACGTATCGCATTCCGGTGAAAATCGTCAAAAGTATTTGAGAACGAGAGCCTTATCCGTTTTTTACATGGCAAAGTTACTCTTTTATTATTACTATATTCGACAATAGTTTTCGGAACTATTTTCTAACCTATTCCCAGTTCTTTGAATATAATTTGCCTGAATTTTCGTATCGTATCTTCTGGCATTTGAACCAATTTTACCTTGTATAACTTTATTATTATCCATCGCTAAATGGAAGATAAGATCGAAAACAAATTTAAATTAATTAATAAAATGTAAAAAAAAAAATAGAATTTTGAATTATTTGTTTACTTTTTCACAAGAATTTTTCTTTGTAGTGTTACAACTGCAGCAGCATTTCGTCAGATATTTTGACAAAAAAAATAGGCATACTATTTTCAAAAAAATAATTTAAAAAAAAACCAGAACGTTTTTTTATTACTTTTACCACAGCGGTTAAAATTGAGCAATTTGTTGATGTCAGTATTAGACAAGGCAAACGTTCTTAAAAAAAAATTAATAGTGATGAAGTTTTAGCAAAAATTTGGGCTTTAGAATTTATAAAGCTCTCATTAGATTAACATTTTTTTTTAAAAAAAACCCTCTTTTGACCATACTCTCTTCTTATTTTTTTATTAATTAGTTAATTAGTTAATTAAGTTAAATAGTTAGTTTGCACAACATTGTGTTCGCGCTAATGTTTATATAATGTAAAGGCAATCATGTTTGTATAGCGAGATTTTGTACAATGTTAGTTTGCATGAAATGTTTGTAGGTGTATGGTCCTTTTTATGCTAATAACTCTGTCATTATTTATTATTCAATCGGGTTTTATGTAAGGGGACACGCGAGTAAAGGAAAATCAAATTTTTATTTTCATCCCTAAATCACTAAAAAAAAAAAATCAAATACAGAAAATTTGCATGAAAACAATTATCTAGAAATTAAAACAGCTTTTACTAAGAAACCATTGATCAGATATGTCTGTATGTTATTATTGTTACATTCAATTTTTTAAAATAATATTTTTTACAAAATTACTATTTTGAAAAATTTTAAAAGTGATAAAATAAAAAGTTAGCTTGATAGTCTGAAAACATAATTATTTTCATTTTTTCTAATAAAATAATGGTTCAATTATTTTGTGGTAGAGTTTTATTATTTATTTTTGTTTATACTACTGTTTAGTGTAATTTAATGTTTTTTTTACACTACATAATATTAGCCTCTTTCACGGTATATTTTCGCAATTTTTTAGTATAATAGTACTATACAATCATTAACTTATAATTATAAATATACTATAACCCAGAAAAAAATTGTATCTGCATCACTATTGATAGATATATACGTATATCTACCTATATTATTTAAAGCTAAACTAGGTAGGTATACATATGTCACTAAGAATTTACTTACCGAGAGCGTCTGTTAATACATAAACAAATTTTTAATTTTATTTCACTCATTAGGTACCAGATTCATAGGCGTAAACTAGAGGGGCAAAGAGGGGCAACTGCCCCTCTACCAAAATTAAACGGGGTAATGCCTCCTCTTGAGGTGTCTACGGTTTCCCAACAAGAAAGTGCGTCGTGATCCGACAAAATCGAAAATGATAATTAGATTATAGTATTATCATTTATTAACCAACCAGGTAGACACTTTTTCATAACTCCTACCTGACCGAGTGTCAATATTGTTGATAATACGGACGTAAATCACGTGTCTCTCTCTATTTTTAGAACAATTAAAATGGATGAAGAATCTCCTTCAAATTTACTTAAACATACTTTGTTAACATTAGACCTAGAAATTGAAAATATTATAGGTCAATGCTACAACGGCGACGCCTCGATAAGTAGTTTATATTAAGGAGTTGCTACAAGGATTAAAGATGAAAATAAACTAGCTCTATAAGTACATTGATATACTGATGTGCTAAATTAGTTGATATCAGGGGGAAAGTAGTACTAACTCGCAATATATTTGGTACTATAAATAAGATTTATACATTCATAGGATCTTCTTCAAAAAGATATTCGGTATTTAAAAATATACAAAAGGAATTAAAATTATCCACCAGTACTTTAAAATCACTTAGTGATACTAGGCGGAATTGTCGAATAGAAGTTATTTGGTCTGTGATAAACAATTGTAATTCTATTGTTTGAACCTTAGAAAAAATAAATGAAACAGACTCTACTCATGGACCTGATGCCAATTCAATATTAGTGAATATTTAAAACTTTTAGTTTTCTTTTTGTTTAAATTAATAAAGTTAGTTTATGAATTAACCGACAGCTTATTATAACATTTTCAAAAAAAAAAAAAAATGTTAACTGCTTAACTATTTCAATATTAACAAATGCTTCTATAATGAAATAACAATTTCTTTGAAGTGATGATTGTTTTGGGTTGAAACAGAACAGCTAGCTTCCTGTTATCCCGAAAATCAGAAATATATCTACAAGATTAGGTGGAGGTGAAATTTTAATTGCGAGAAAAGTTACAACATATTACAAAACTGTTATTTATTTTTACTATATTGGGTTTAATTATAAATGACATACCTACAAATAAAATTTGAAGAAAACCACTTGAAAATACTTAATGCTCTTTGAAATTTTTTAAGTATAAGAAATAACAGGGACGAAGATATTTTGTACGTTTACAACATCTTTAATATTGAATAGAATGATTTATAGGCAGAATTAAAACTATCTGGAAAAATGTGTTTAACAAATTCTTGAAAATTTTGGAGCCCATTTCAATTTTCATATGGAAATAGATTTACTAGGGTCGTTTGACAATATGTACGAGAGGTGGCTATTAAATAACGAGACTTCTCGCCTAGAGGGCGCCCTAAATGGGTAGTGAAAAAACCGAGTAATGCGTTGGGTATCTAGATATCTTATCTATGCACGTACCAAAACACGTTTTCGTCACTATTATAGTATTTGTGCAGTAGTGGTTTGAAACGAACGTGTTTTTTTCTCGTGCCGAAAACCATGTGTGACGAAAAACATGAGCAACGGATAAACGTAAAATTTTCTCGTTAAATTGAAAAAAACTCCAACTGAGTGCTATAAGTTGTTAAAAGAGGTCTATAGTGAGGATTTCCTATCTCGGGCGCGTGTTTTTGAGTGGCATAAATTATTTTCTGAAGGTCGAGAGTGCACCGGAATCCAATTCAGTCGTAATCCAAATTCAAAACCATGCTGATTGTTTTCTTCGATATCAACGGCATCGTGATGACTGAATGGGTTCCAGAGGGTCAAACTGTGAACCAACATTACTATTTGACAGTTTTGGCAACATTGCGCGAATGAGTTCGTAAGAAACGGTCGATATTGTGGAAAAACAAGTAGTGGATCTTGCACCTGCCCATAACGCGCTGTCTGTGAAGCGTTATTTGGCCGCTTAAGGCACTCCAGTACTCGAACACGCGTCTTACTCACCCGACTTGGCACCCTATGACTTTTACTTGTTTCCGAAGATAAAGTCTGCCTTAAAAGTAATCCGGTTTGAGTAGATGGAAGAGGTGAAACAAAAATCGGCGGAACTCCTGAATGGTCTTACGAAAACAGACTTCCAGCACTGCCTCGAGCAATGTAAGAAACGAATGAAACGGTGTGTGGCGAGGGGAGGGGAGTATATTGAAGGGGAGCATTTGAATGTAGAATAATTTGTATAATAAAACACTTTTTCGTAACCAGTCTCGTTATTTAATAACCACACCTCGTATACTATTTATCACATTTTTCTATCAATACCAATGAGTTCTGCTTCGAGTGAATGTTTATTTTTATCTCTTCATCGCCTCAAAACATTTACGAGAAACAGTATTGGTCAAATACTTAGCAATATGGCTATTTTATACACATTAAAACAAGTTATAAAATTAATTTTGAAATAATTGTAAACCAATTTAATATAGGCTTAAAAGAAAGAGGAAGAAAAATACAATTAACATAAATATTTACATTTAATTTAATAATTGACTCGTTATGTAATTTGTAATAACATTATTAATATAATTATTAATCATATGTTTTCTAAATATATTCTAAAGCTTTTGAGTTAACAATGATGAAATAAACTCTGCTTCCCCCCATACGGATTGCCCAAGTTACGTCCATGACCGGATTATTTATAGTTATTATAGGTTATATTATATTATAAATTATAATAAAACAAATAATTTAATGTTACTAAAAGTAATAATATGTTGTATCTATTTAATAAGTAGGTTTATCAAATCATTCTAAATTTGACTACAATGTATTCAAATTAATTTGTTGAGATTAATAAATACCTATTTAATTAACTTAAAGAAAACCACGAAACTTACTTAAATATATTTTTCTTCTAATTGAATAACTTTCGAAAGTATCATTGGAATTTGGCAACCCTAAAAAAAAAAAATTAAAACTTCCAATTTAATCGTGCAGTACTAAAGCATATCTACAAAGCTATACTCAGATTTAAAAATATTTGGGTAAAAATATTCAAATACTTTTTTAAATATTGACTTTTTCAATTGCTTTTATATTAGTAGCATTTGAACGGAATGTTAAACCCTTTGTTTACTATTGAATACTATTTTATTGATGAATTTTTTTTTATTTCTTCGGTTCTAAATTTATCTAAATTATCTGTTTTTTTATGCAAACACTTACTTTTACTAATAATGAATTGTCTGAACTGACTACCAAGGAAAATAGTGAAGGTTTATAATATTTGTGTTATTTTTTTCATCTATCTAAGTGTTTTGGAAAATATATTTATATTTGTAAATTAACATTGGGCAATTAAAAATGTTGCTCAACCCTATGAAAAACTGAAATGACGCTCCTAGTATGAATATGTTCGACATTAAATATTTATCTATTATCATACCTAAATTTCAATCTTAAATATCAATAAATTATATTTGTTTAATTGTTTATTAAATATTACATATTTGTACAAATTAAATACAAAATAAATAATTTTTCTTTGTCTAATCCTGCTTATAAAAAACAATCAAGAAATACTTTTGTCAAGTTTACCATATTTATTCCATAAATACTCAACTATGTCAGCTGATTTATTAAACCTAAATTTAGAATTATAATGGATGAATTTGCTATTGTAAAGTAAATCGTAAGTCCTAAAAATTAATAATTTATTAATATTTAATTATCTATGTTTCGTTATAAATAATATTTTCAAATTGATTAGAAGTGATATTGATTTTTTGTGTCAACATCAAAAAATTATGGTGTTGATTTCAGTAAGCTTGAACTTATTCCAAAGTGAGACTAACGTGTATTTTGGACATATCTTGTTTACAATTGAAGGATTAATTTAAAAATATGAAGCAATGGCAAGTGATCAAATAGTTCCTAAATATATGCAACCTCTAGTGACTGCCATACTCAATGATATGTGATAATTATTGTTATTTTATAATTGTAATATTTTTACGGATAACACTTTTTAGATGCAACTAAGTACAAAACATTGTAAGAAAACACTTTATTCAGACAAGAGAACTTTTACTTTTATTATACGATATTTTACATAGGCAACCATTATAGTACTAATGTGTCTCAAATATGTATAATTGTTATCACACATATCGATGACGTAACTTTAACATGATTCCAAAGACATTACAATAACCATTAAATACATTAATCTTATTTAGCTAGGTACTGCTACTATATTTTCGTACTTATTTTTTTAGGCATAGAAACAAGGTTTTTCGATTATTTGATAAACAAATGTTTAATGACTGCTACTGTCTACAACCCACTATTTAAAACGGCACGATTTAAAAAAAAAAATACAAAAAAAGAAAGGTAAGGTAATGGAGATGGGTGCAGCCACTAATATAAGTATAAGTTGGGAAGGTAGAATATAGACAGGAATTTGATGTATATTTGTAAGCAAAGATAAACCATTGCTTACGAAAAAATCATTCTGAGCGGAGTTCAGTTGATAGTGTTGTTTTGTCAGCAATACATAAGTCATTTTTTAGTAAAATAATTAAATAGGCTTTATATATTTTCTTTAAGAAAATTTGTTTATGTCGTACCAATTTTCCTAGTTTTCCTACGATTTTCCCGGTTTTCCTATGTTTTCTCCAGATTTTTCATATTTTATGGGAAAACTCTTGAGTAAATAAAAAATACCCTCTCTAAAGTACCTCCTCACACCGATTTCCTCTCTGAAAAGGTGATACACTTAAATATCCGACAAAGTTTTCGGATAGAAAAATTATGCACAAATAAAAAAAAAAAATAAACATCTTTGTAAAACTATAAGGTTCTTCATTCCATTCAGAATTTAAAACAATTGGCCTCTGAATATTTAAAACAAAAAATGCCTGTTAAGAGTAACATAATCATAAAAATGATGATATAGAAGATAGTCAAATTTATGATAATTTATCTAGTTCTATTACTTGGTCACAAAATTCCCGAGAAGAAAACTCAACACTCAGTGGTGAAATCGAAAAATTTTAGGTCAAAACTTCAACAAATATATTAAAATATTTTTACAATTTACCTATTATCAAAAAATTAAGATTAATTGGAAACTTATTATACTATCAGTTATAATATTTCAAAAACATATGTATTTTGTTTTCAGATATTTTTAAAGTAGAACACTGAGATTAATAAACTTTTAGGTATTTGATATTTCAAACTTAATTGTTAAATATCTTAGCTGGTGGTTATTTTTTAATTATTAATAAATACAAATTGGTATTTTTTTAATTGTGATTCTTTAGTAATCTATTTATGACCTAAAATCATACAATATAAATTGGAAATTAAAGATTCTGTAAACTAATATAATAATAACCATAAATTATATGTAAATGTTAATTGTGTTTTAAAATTTGATTTGAAAACAATCATTGTGAGCCAGGAAAGTTCTGTTATATAAGTGATCTCAGTGATAAAATATTATGTTAAAATAGGTATATAGTGGAACTATTTTTAGAAAATTAAATATATTTATAAAGGTACGAGTAGTTATATTAAATCATAATTATCAGTATTTCAGAAAAACTGTTAAAATAAGTTTCTTACCACTGTATTCTGTATAAAATAAATTATAAAACCAAATAAATGTATTAAATATAAAAAAAAAAAAATGTATTAACATATTATTATTTATTACCTGCCTAAGTTTGATAAATATACATAATACATGGTATTTTATTTATAGGTTAAAAAATGTAACACACATAATATGTCTTTATTCACTAACTACACCTATAGTCTTAAATATTTAAATTATCTACAGCACCTGCTTAACAAATTATTAAAACAAATTTATTCTTTTAGAACAAATTATAAAATTTTGTTCTTGTTTTTTTATTTTTTATACTCCATTTTATAACTAAAATAAAATAAAATAAAAATCTTAACCTAATATTATACCAACAATACCTAGAGCTGCACACAAATTATGTCCCAAAAATAAAAAATCCGACAAACTACTAGGTATACGAATTGTGTCCGTTCTGTGTCCGTGGACACAGAGCATTTTTTAAACTAGTAGACTAAGTGACACAAATGTTGTCCAGTGAAAATATGTTGTCACCTAGTTGATCTTGATTGGCCTAGCCGTTAGATAAAGTTGCTGGCTCTAAAATAGGTTCTTTTGAGAAGGCACAACTTACAAGTTACAACTTGTATAATTCTTATAGTAGTTGATCGTGTTGGCGTGCTTTTAAATCGTAAATGATAAATAAAATCTAAAATGAAATCGATAATTTCAAGTTAAAAAAATTAATCTATATTTTGTATGGATACAAATTTCGTTGCCAAAAAAAAAAATTAAATTGCTGTAAAAAAAACAAATTAAATCTCTAAACTAAATGGTAAAAATCTATTCTAGAATAATGGGGACGGGTGTAGTCACTGTTATAGGTAATTAATGTATGCAACGGTAAACCATTTCTAACGAAAAACCAATGTTAAGTGGAGTTCGGCTGACAGTGTTGCTATGTCAATAATGTATAATATTTCATATTATAGTAAAATAATTACATAATATGTTTTTATATTTTCTTTGATTATACATGTTTAATATTGTATTAATTTTTTTGTTTTTCCTATTTATTTAGAATACTAATAGAGAAGTTAAATATCGACCTCTTTAAAGTACCTTTTCTTCCAGCCCAATTTCCTTTCAGAAAAAGAGCTTTCATTTTAATACTGAGAAAAGTTGCTGGAATAAAAGTTGTCGTCCATAGAAAAAAAATTGTAAAACTAAAACATTCCTCGCTTCGCTAAAGAACTAAATTGACAATATAAACCGTGCAAATGGTCATAATCATATTAAAGATTTTGCTAAATTATTCAATAGACAAAAACTGAGGAATAATTTAAAGCGGAATGGTTCAAACTTTTATATAAGACCGACAAAAATCAATATTTTTAACCTACCACTAGTAATAAGTTGCTAATGACAATTCTATGTCTGTATAAAATGGAAAGGAAAATAATATTTGTATATGGGAATACAATTCGTGTAGTGGTTAAATATTGTCGAGACGATATTTATGTAATCGTTGAATACCGTCCAGACGCATTTCATGTGAAAAAGGTATGTAATTCGATACCAAAGTATTTATATAATTATATAACCTATGGGCTATGATTGTATGACAAATAGGTATCTATTTTTTTATTATTTTTGTTTATAAATGCAAATTTTGATACACAAGTAATATTATAATTTCATTAAATTAAAATAATATACTTAATAACATATAGTTATATTATGCAAGTTGATGACTTACGAAATAATACAATATTGAATACGGTTTCATACATAATTATTTTGTCTAAAACAACAATGTATTAGGTAGGCTTTATAACGCATTATAATTAGTGACATCCATAGGTAATTTAAAAATATTCTGTATAGTTACCTTGACATTCCTCTATAGGTGTAGTCACACGGTCTGTATCTGAAAATTAAAATTAATTCATTATTATATTTAAGTAAGTAAAAAGTAGCGGTTTATTATTGTATTGTTTTTTTGTGAGTTTGGATTAAAAGTGATGGTTCGGTACAGCTTATAAATTATAGTTTTAATATTACTAATAATTCATATTTAGGGATTACTTTATAAAAACGTGATCAAATTTGATAACATTTTTGAGCATTTTAAGTCGAAATACTAATTCAACCTACAGAAAATTGTTTGATATCTACTATTTAATTTGTCAAATAGCTATAAAATATTAAATAAATGTTTACAATTGTTATTAATCTAAAACTAATCAAGAACTTTAAAAAAAAAAAAAAAAAAACTTTCATCATTTAATTAAAAATTACTTACTTGTATATTCTGCACTCATAATAATAATAAAAATAATAATAAAGTAAGTTTATTTATATTTAATTTAATATGTATAACTTGTATAAATATATTTTAAAATAAATAGGTTATAAGTGCTATATTTTTGTATTCGAAGCAAGAAGAGATTCAGGGGAGAGTTACACCGCGTGGTAGCATACCTCTGTCTTTCTTACGAGTGGGGGGGAGGAGGATGAAATATATTTTTACACAATATTAAAATAAAAAATTCCATAAAAAGTAACGTCATAGCTACAACAATTTTATTAATATACACGGTAATTAGGCTCTTCTATATTTTTAAAATATCACATTACTACATCGTAGTTTATGGCATAATACAATATCATGGTTAAATAGTTTTATGAACTACTATCGTAAACACTAATTAGAATAGACAGAACATCAATTCGTATTTCAACAAATGTTCGAAGAATTTTGTCTATTAGATTAAAAACTTGAAAAAACAAATTTGTCTCCACGAATGTGTTTTGGACACATTTCAGAGAATTAAAGAATTACAATAGATAATAAAATTAATTCCTATTTTTTTAGGAATTGATCCATCTGAAATCCATTTCTAAAAAAATAATTATTAATTTCTTTATTCGTTCCTCTTAAAAGAAATCAATTCCAGGGATTCATTAGAATTTCCTTTAGACACGTTCCTGAACAATACTGTTGTCTCTCTCTTATAACCGAGTGATAGCAAATTTTCATTCAAAAGTGACAACTCCGTGCTCTTATTTTTAATATTAGAGTGAATAGATCTATTATAAAACTTAAAGATAAGAGTGTTATCTATGTTGTATCGTTGGTTTTACAATGATGTTTTTTATTTTTTACCTGTGAACAATTTATCTATCAGAAATCTTGTTCCGATTTATAAGTATAGCTCTTTTTCTGAAAGCAAATCTAACTGGGGTGATACTTTAGGGAGCTCATTTTTTGATTTTCCCAAGAGGATTGGGGAAATCAAAAAATGACCTCCTTCGAGTACCAATCCAAACAGATTTACTTTTAGAAAAAATGCGGTCATTGTAAATCGGAGCAAAAGTAATGATAGAAACTTTGTTCACAGGAAAGAAAAAAGGCCGTAATATTTGTCTACAAGTACCTAGATTTCATAATTTTTTTTGTTTTTCGTTATTTAAATTTTTTAGTGAATAAAAACATTTTAAATCGTAATTCGCATACTAAAATTTTGCTTATACATATTTTATAGAGAAATTATTACCAAAGTACATTTTCTTGAATATGTTGATGTCATATATGTATATCTCTTCTGAAATCATAATTAGTATAGATTATTTTATACTATTAAGTATTAGGGATTTTGCATTTTTAGGCAAATTTATTTTTGTTTTTTTAAATTTTAAATCGGATTAGTATTCAGATTATATCAGATTCTATTTTATTTTTTGGTACCTATCTATTTTTAAGTTTCTAACCGTAGTTTAATAATATAGGTACACAATGTACCTATTCATTTAATTGGTTAAAAACTTTAAAAATATACAAATTTCATTTAAATTATGTACATTAATAATATTATTTTAGGTAATTACATCTTTTATTTTAAACGTTTATATATTCATAGATTAACCTTATTATTTAATTAAAAGGTTTATTATCAATTTTTATATTATCTATAAGGTATATTTTTTTTTCTGAATGTACAATAATTGATTTTTTTTTAAATTTTATGTTTTATTAATATGTACATCAATTCTTTATCCATTAAGTTGCGTAATTAAATGTTGTGAACTCCCTGCTACCACCACAAGCTTTGCTTAAAGGTAGTAGGTATTGATTCATTTTTTATTACATTATATACATTTTCTGACTTAAATTAAATTAATGTTACTAGTTAACTGTGTAACGTAATATTTTGTCTCTGATTTCAAATAAATAAATAAATTTATATTTACCTATAAGTAAAAATAAAATATTTAAAATCATGACTTAAGTCCTTTGCATACAAATTATAAATTAGAGATAAAATGCACTATATTGCTTCATTCCAGGTATTTAAAAAAGTTCATATAATGTTATAATATGTAGAAGGACACAAATTATTTAAAGTTATGATACATTGAATACTTATTAAAACATAGTCCTTAATAGTCTTAATATTGTATTAGTATCGGTACCTAAAATTGTTACCAATAGTCGTAAAATGTCAAATTTAATCCATTTTTCTGAAAAAATTAAACCGTGATATTATATTCTTTTAAATATTATTATGTATAATAATAATTATTGTTGAGAATAATAAATCTAATAGAAAAATTCTAAAAGTAGAAGTTACTTGTTTTCCGATTAGTAATTTCCGGGTACGTGTTTTCATCATTTTCTTCTTCTTAACAAAAATAAAACTATTTAAAGTACCTATTTAATATTATTTGTTTCCGTTTTTACAGAATTATGGTAGTATCTCTCACCTTTTTTTGTATCTATTTTTTGATTCTTATGTAACAGTTGTATTGTACGTATACAATTGTAAGTTTATTCAATCAATTTCAACTTTACTTTTTAGTCTAGGTAATTTAAATTGTGTTATTTCCTATACAGTAGCAGACTGACAATAGATCGACCTACGGAGATCCAAAAATGTTGAAACCTAACAAATTGAAATATATTTTTCAGCATTTTAAAAAGGCTCAAACATTTTATACAATAAGGTTCATCATAAGTTGTATTAAGTGATAAAAATAAGTCGAGTTTAATTTATTTATTTTTATAGGTCCAAATGTATGAATTAATTTGTTAAAACATAAAAACATTGTACATGTTTCGGAGTGTTGAAATATAAAATTGTAACACTCTGTAGAATGTAGTCCTAAGTAATTAATAATTATATTCACACTGTAGAATAGATATATAGTTATACATTTTACACGGGAGTGCAAAAATAATGACAGGATACATACTGATCCCGGGTGTGGTACCATAAATTATATTATTATAATAAAGTTAGTATGAATGTATAGATGATTCATTAGACGAGCCAATATACGTGGGCATTATATTTACATATTATTTCAATTTTAATGTTATTTACTGTATTATTATATTTGTGTATTATTTTAACTAAAATCTGTCTGGATAATTTTTAATTTCTTTCAATAAACAGGTTATGGGTCCAGTACCCAGATATACATGCGTTGAGTTTTTAATAAAATATAAATTCCTTAATTGCAAAGAAGAAATCAACAAAAAATTAAATCAGTCATTCAGAAAAATGGTGAGTTGATTCTGGAGCAAGTAACCACATAATTAGATAAAAAGAGTGGTTCAATAACTATGAGTTATCCGAAGCTCATTTACCAGTATCGGTGATAAGTATATTATGGGTTTCAGTAAAAGTAATATAGTGAAACGTATCTTAAAGAACACCTCTATATAATGGAAACCACTCTTAACGGACAAAATAATAAGATCCCAGTAAAAAAATAGGCATTCCAATGTATTTCGAACTGTCTATAACGGACTATTTCTAATGCGGACATGGACAGTAATATACCTCGACAACAGTTGTCTTAGTTCAAAATCAAAGATATTGCGAACGTGTACCGTTTAAATATATACCGTCTATTTTCGTATGGAACGTGTCTTAAATCAAAATACACTATCAAGACTCTTGATAAAGGCATAACAATATTGACGGATAGTTATGGCTGTTTAAAGTTCAAAATAGATAATCGTATAGTTGATGTTGGAGTCCATGAGAAGTGGTTTTCGATGATGATTAAAACAAAGATTTCGTAAACGCCAGAACAAAAAAATGTAGCTATTAAGCTTTTTGTATTACAACAGTGGCATGGAAAGTTAAATCATGAGAATACAAAATCTATTTGAAATTACAAAGTGATTGTCATCTGGAAATTAAGAATTTCAGTATTCAAAGCAAATACAAAATTATTTTGGATAAATACGGTATAAATGAGGCTAGTGTACCATACATACCTCAGTAAAATGGTAAAGTGGAATGAATAATCGTAGAGGTGGCCGTTAGAACCATGATATTCAGTAAAAATGTGTCTACGAAACTGTAGGCAGACACTGCCAACATTGTTTTTATACAATACATCATATGGGTAACTCAGGACAAGATGAGAAGTTTCATGCGAATTAAAATCGAATAAAATAGCACCAAATGTACATAAATATTTGGATGTAAAATTTATGTTTAGATGCCCAAGGAGAAATGTCAAAAATGGGATCAAAAGGCAAGAAAGGAATATTTGTTGAATATATGGAAGAAGCAAAATAATGTCTGCTTTGATGAAAGAGAAGTTTTACTAAGTAAAGAAGATTCATTAAACCTATCAAAAGTTATACAAGTACACAGATGAGGAAGAGGAAGAAACCTACTCTGTAAAAGTAGTTAAAGTTGAGGAAGATAATAAGAATGAAAAAAGAAATCCAGATGATTTTAAACAATGCCTGTGGGAATAGAAGAACAAAAGCCTATGAAACTCAGAGACAGAGAAAAACTAAAAATCGATTAGACATCGAGATGTACTTTATTTAATATGTAATTATCTATTTATATATTAAGAAGCTATAATGGTTAACGATGCAGATGATTGAAAGACAGCAATGGATGATGAAATGTCATTATTAAGGAAAAATCAAATTTGGAAATTAGTAGACTTGCCAAAGAATAAAATACCAATAAATAATGGATAGATATACAAAACGAAATATAAAACTAATGGAGAATTCGATTGATTATGTGTTCCGACGGAGTTTACGCTAGATGATAATAGCGGATAACTGCCATCTCTTTCATAGTGGTTATTGATCATAGACCTATAATGGCAATATAACGGTAACGTATAATGGTAATGAGGATTAGGCAGAAACATAATAGCTAGTAAGCGTTTATACCTATTATGCCTATGTATGTAACCATGATAGTATTCTAACCATTACAATAACTTTTAATAATTTCATGTTTACATTGTTTATGTTTAATTCATTATGGAATGTTCAAATAAAATGATAATCAAGAGCGAACCGTGTAAACGCAGCCTAACGCTATTCATGTGAACTAGTTCCTAGAAATCATAAATATAATTTTAAATATCACTCACCAGAGTCAATTATTTTTAAACTTAAAACATCGTTTTCGAACTGGTCTGAAAAATGCGTGGTTAAAAATTTAATTTGTTTGTTTGAGGAGGTAGTAAATAAAATATTTTTTTTTTACAGCTCCTTTAACTATAAGTAGCTATATATAGCCAAAAGCGGAACTAGGACTTATTATGCCAGAGGAAAATTTTAAAATCATTACACGCAATCATAGACCAAGAGTTAAATATCATTCCTTTCTATTAAGTTATACTTCGTCTCACGGAGAAGGTATACGCTCCATGCATCGGTGAAACACGGAGACTGAATTTCTGAATTCTGAATTTACATTATTAATTGTTAAAATAATTAAATATTAACTTATTTAATGGAATGAAAGTGTTCTAAGTGTATTAAAATAAATTTTTATCTATAAATCTACAGCATACAAATCAAATGGACATAATATTTCGCACGATGGGTGGGCTCCTATTGTAGTTGAAAAGTTGAGACAAGAAATTGAATATATTGTAATGAATTTTACGTAAAAATTAATCATTACTAACGAAAAATAATTCTGAGTGGAATTTTGTTATACATGTTTTGAAAGACCGTAATATTTATGAATTAAAAATAATACATTTCGTTAATTTGTCAGTTTTTTCTACGTTTTTTACCATTTATTATCAAATCTGATAAAAAAAAATTGTTCACAAAAATAAAAAACATTACATACATTCATCACTTCGCTCAGAATCTAAAATGTATGCTAACCATTTAACATTTAACATTTCTTTTTATAATTTAAAACATTAAAACTTCATTATTCTGGTTTTTATTTCAGAAAAAATGAAAGAAGTCAATTAAATTTGTTATTTCTTTTCAGTAGACAATAATGCAAGATCAGAGCGCAAATAAGTTTTTATAAGTTTCAGTTTGATAAAACTCCGTCACACCTAGCTGTTTTACATAACTTTAAAGGCTTTATACTAAACAAATGTGCGGAAAAATATTATTCATAGAATACACAAAAATAAACTGAATAGTTCTAACGGAGTTATATTAGAAGTATTAGGTTAGGTTAGTATTAGGTTAGGCACTTATTATATGATAGGTACATACAATTTATTATTTCGATAATTGATTTTGAAACATTTAAATATTTATCATATTTTGTAGCTAAATCAGCTGCTGATTTAACTAATTCATCTGATTTTTTTCAAATAGTTCAGATTCAAAAGAAAAAGAAAATTTGAGAATAAATTATTTAATGTTTCAAATCTTCAATTCTAGCCTGTAAGTAAAACATCAAAACATTTATCAAATTAATTATGGAGTTATTTTTCACAAATATTCTATTTATTAGCAAATTAATTAAAATCCATTTGTTTAACTGTTTTTTTTTTTTTTTGTTATTTCTGATGGAAATATTTATATTTACACTTGCTCGTTCAACATCTTTACATAATATTTTAATTATGGTTTTTTTTTCAATATGTTATTTTTCAAGATACTTAATTTTTTGATTAATCCTTGAATAATTTAATAATTTAATTTTTGCAAACAATATTTGATACTAAACTATGAATGATATTAACCTATTGATTTGATATTGAACTAAATTTAATTTAACAAAACAAATAACTCTAGACTTTTTTTTTAGCCCGATGACACGTAATATTTATGATTTTTCAAGTAGTTTTCATAATGATTAGGAAAAACAAAAAACAAAGAAAAATTGATGGCTTTATTTATTTTGAATTTCTACAGTTTATATATTCTACTATAAATATTGTTTAAATAGAAAAACAACAAGATTAAATATTTAATCTTGTTGGTGATAAGAAAGTAGTTTTTTTTTATGATTGAATAAAACAGAAGGAACGGGAAAAATTTATGAAAACAATACTTTTATAATTTTTAATTTTGATTTTTTTGTTGTTATTTAGTATAAAATATTCGTAGAGACTTACATAGAAAACCTATGTTTGTATTTTCAAGACTTGGTAAAATTTTAAAAACATTTGAGCCATTTTTGTGCTATTTATAAATATTTTAATTTTTCAAGTTTTTTACGTAATTTTTATTTGGTAGGTACTCTGTAGATACATTTTTAGACTTACAGAAATGCATGAATTTCAACAGATTTAATATAAGTCGTATTTTGTTTTCAAAAATAAAAACTGCTCTAGGATAATGGGGACGGGTGCAACCACTGTTGTTGGTGAGAAGTTGGAAAGGTATAGAGGGGAAATTAATTTGTATGTGTAAGTAACGATAAACCATTGCTTACTAAAAGCGATTCTGAGCAGATTTCAGTTGATAATGATACTCTGTTAACAATTATATAATATATACATATATATTAGGGTGGTTCTTAATTTCACACCCTTGAAATTTAATTGCTGGACCCTCCATTTTTTTTTATTATCATATAAAAGTTATATTGAAGAAATTTGGGCATAACTACTCATCCCTTTCCCGTGCCCCAAGAGGGTTGAATATTAGCCAAAGGATAGTTTAATTGTTTTTTATATTTTCTTCAAAAAATATTAGGTTTATCATAAAAATGTATTGAACCATAATTGTAGAACAAATTATTTTCTATAAAAAATGTATTTACAACATTTTTCGTAAATCTAATATTTCCCTCTTAAAAATTAATTCTTTTGGTTTTTTCCAAAAAATTTAATTTTTTTACAGTGGTTTCAATATATAATATTAATAATATTTATGTAATAATAAACGAAATAGTTTAAGGTGTATTTCTAAGTACTAAGTAGTTTTATCTTCAAATGGTGTATTCAAAACTTGTCTTGTACAATTTTTATATGTTTTTCTGTATTTTTGAATAACCTAAAATTAAATACATAATAAGATAAGTTATATAAAATTACATTTATTACAGATATAATTTTTTNAAATTTGTCTTCCACTCCCGGTGTTAATTCTATTTGTTCTTGGTACTTAAAAAGTTCGTCGGCCCCTTTTTTTTTCTAACATCAAATGAAATCCTTTCATCAAATATAGCAAATACGGCACATTCTTCATTTAGATACCATAAATGATTTAAAAATTTTGACAAACACACATCTGCAATTTTTTTATCATTACTTTTATATTCGTTTAAAGTACGTATTAAATTTATATCGTTAAATGGTGCCTCACTAACATTTGTAACTGTAAACCAATATTTAATATACATTTTTACAATAAATGCACTAATTCGCACTATAGCATTTTCTTCGGTTTTCGTTATTTTTAATTCAGTTCGTAGTAAAAATATTTTCAGACAGTAAATACATTTTGCCATCCACCTTGCCTGATGACATGCGCCCGGTTGACGAATTGTCGTGCCACCAGGTGGAGTTTCTCCAAGTATAATAATGACTAGTTCAATTAATTCTTTGTAATCATCTCTAGGATGGTCTTCAGTAATTTTTTTTAAACAAAATGAAACAATTTCTTAACGTATTGGGGAAATTATTTTTTCAAAATTTTTATTTGTATTCCAAACTAATATTTTTGTTTTATCAATTTCTTTCCATGCACTTTGAAAGCGTTTAAAGATAGGTATAATTGGTCCAGGTGATACGTATAATTTCGCCTCGTTAAATGCAGCCAAAACATGATGCCTACAAGCAAAATAAATAATGTCTCTGTTCAATTTCTACTCCAAAAGTGTAGATGCCCCATTTAGTCTGCCGGTATTTGATGCAGTCGTATCAAATACAAAACCTTGTACTTTATCAAGTAAAGACCATTTTTCTAAAGAATCATATACGGAGAAGAAGTTGTTCTCCATTTGGCGTTGAGACAATTACTGGAAGACGATAAACTTTTTCTTGTTAAGCCAGGAAGTAATTTTGAATCCCAATGTACAATAACAAAATCTACATTTAAACAAACAAAATCGAATGAACTTTTTCTGCGATTTCTTTTCGAATACTTTCTCGGCTATTTCTAATAGATGTTCTATTAATAATATAACTAGCCGGATTTAAAGAAAGACTTTCAATACATGCTGTTAATAAATGTACTGCGTCTCTATCACTGACCTTACACTTATCTAAAGCTGTAGAAAGCCTAGATGTCATGTTTGATTTGGTTGCTCTTTGAACTTCAGATGCACCGGGTATATCTTCATATTCTGAATTAATACTACATTCTATGTCCTCCTCTTCCTCGGAACTAGTGAATGCCGGTGTTTCAATTATAATATAATAGTAAAATAGTTTATAATATGATCAATGAATAAATAGCTACAATAGGTAGTTGAATGTTTTTCAATATTAAAATTGTAATAATTACCTTGTTCAATATTTGAAAGTTCAGCTTCATATTTTTGTCGTTTTCTTACCTCTGTATTTTTTCTAATAGTTTGTCTTTTTTCTTTTTTCATAAGTTGTATGTCAACTCCTAGCAAACAACCTGAACGACCTGGCATTCTTTGTGAACGTAAAAATTCTTTATCAATTTCAATGTTCATTATGTTAAATGCATTTGCTTGTGCTATGTCAAATAAGTTGTCTAATTATTTTTCAAACTCTTTAATTTGAGATGTATATGTTTCGCTTTTCCGTTCTTTATGTTTTTCGAGATTTCGCCATAATTCATACGACTTTTCATACGAACATTTTTTTATAGTACTTAATTTATTCTACAATTTAAGTTCAATACATTTTTATGATAAATCTTATGGTTTTCGAATAAAATACAAAAAAACCGTTTAACTACCTTCTGTCTTATATTTAAGTCCCTTGGGGCACAGGAAAGGGATGAGTAATTATGCTCAATTTTTTTACANTTTTTTATAGTACTTAATTTATTCTACAATTTAAGTTCAATACATTTTTATGATAAATCTTATGGTTTTCGAATAAAATACAAAAAACTACCCTCTGTCCTATATTTAAGTCTCGTGGGGCACAGGAAAGGGATGAGTAATTATGCTCAATTTTTTTACATATAACTTTTATATGATTATAAAAAAAATGGGAGGGTCCAGCAATAAAAACAATAATATTTTTTTTTATCTTCTAAAACTAAGGACCACCCTAATATATATAAATATCATATTATGGCGAAATAATTAAATAAACTTTATATATTTTCTTTAATAATAACTGTAATATTGTATTGATTTTCCCGTTTTTCCTATGTTTTCCCCATGTTTTTTCCGGTTTTTCTTATTTACTGGGAAAACTCCTTAAAATACCATCCCAAGAAAATTTTTTTTCAGAAAAGGGTCTACACTGTGTTCATTGGAGTAATCTTTCTGCTAGAAAAAGTGTTCACATAAAATAAAATAAACATCTTTGTAAAACCAAAACATTTTTCTACACTCAGTGTCTAAAAATTGAGTGTAATATTCAATCTTTTTTTTTTAAGAATTTTAGTATCAAATTCTTAAATATTACGATCTTTCAAAACATATTTAACTGAACTTTGCCCCAAATCGTTTTTTTTAGAAATGGTTTATATAAATTGAACAACTTTACGTATCACATCTTCTCTACTACCCACTGTTCACTTGGCCGATCCGATTCCAGTATCAGCCTTTTTTTTTCAATTTTTGAATGGAGAATTTTAGTACAATGGTCAATAATTATTAATGTCTATTGGAAAGAGTAACTAAAAAAATTACGCCAACTATAATTGGATTCCCGAGGATCAATTCTCTTCTATCTCTAGTTCCGCTAGTTTATATACTACAGGAATGGCCAAACTTTTTTTGGTAAAGATCTACTAAGAATATGTTTTTCGTTTGTCGATCGTCTCCCATAAAAAATGGTATTATTTCTAATTATCTATTAGGTATTAATAATAAACATGTTCAAAGAATAAAGTAAAAATGTATTGTTAACTAATATTTTTCATCACACTTTTATTAAGATTCATAATATAATGTTATAAATTAAATATACCTACTAACAAAAAAATAACAATCTATTAAAATCCTCATATATTGCGATTTATTTACCTATTTTAAACAAATTAATTCTAACAAAGAAAGATTGACATTGATATCGATCGACGGTTTGGCCACACCTGATACAATAGTTCACTATTTAAATTATTATTCTGCAGACTTTTAAATACATTTTTTACAAAACAATTTTTAAATAATATCATATTATACTCATACCCGCACACGTAAATAGTATGTTTTTGAGTTTTTCATGTGGTTCACTAGCTATTTAAATAATAATATATAAGTAGATAGTAAGTAATTATACCCTGTCCAATATAAGAGTATACCCGTTTGCGCATACGTGACTGAGCGTTAAACGTTGCCGGTCGTAACCGATCGTACGCTGCGCGTTGTCGTTGCCACCGCCGCCGTGCACACAGAGAGTTATAATATCTATTATACATATCGCCAAATAAATCGTAATATACACGTATATTTAGTTAAATTAACGAGCAGCATAGGTACACTATTTTCAAAATAAATATTCGAATAGTAAAAATGCACAGCGCGTAAAGTTATGTGTACGCGGTACAACTATTAAAACAAAATGTAATATTTGGTTCGCAACGTATACCGTATACCATCTGTTTCACCAAAACAGATATTCTTAATTTGGACAGAGTATAGATAAACACATTTTTTAACAAACAATTTTAATTTAATTTAACTTTTCATAAATTATTTAGTATACACGGTAATACGCTATAGACAAATGTATTTTTTAAATTATATATTTTTGAACATTAAGTTTTTGAGTCAATTTCAGAAATATATCATCTTATAATATGTTTTCTGGATAATTTTAGTATAGGTAACTCAAATTTCAAACTTTATTTTTTTTCTAGATACCTATACTTTTAGGACATTTACATATTATGAATATAATTATTTATTTAGTTTATCATAATATATATATAATAAAGTTATTCAAAAAAAAAATGATATATAGATAATTTTCAGAAAACACTAACTATAGCTAGTTAGTAGGTTTACTGCTTTTATATTTAAATTTCAATGGCGTATTTACGGGAGAGTGGGGGGGGGTGCTGGGGATTACAATCGTTATATCGTTTTTATATAACTTATTTCATGAGTAAATTATTTATTGATAGGAAATGAATACACAAGATTTATGTGTGTCTTTATCTTCTATTTCAACTGATGTAACATCAATTTACTCTATGACTTCAAATACTCTTGTTACACCAGATATTAACAATATAAATATAAAAGACATAGCTTGTTTTAGCTAAATGAAATTCTAACTAATTTTTGAAACCCTGATTTAAATTTTGTATTCCCTATTAACAAAATTTAAAATAAAAATAAAAAATGTCAGACAAGTAGATTTCAATTTAATTGGCTATCACGTTGGCCTTGGTTAGCTTACTCGGCAAAGGAAGATTGTGCTTTTTGTAAAGTATGTGTTGCTTTTACTAAATCTGCTGCTAGTATTAATAACCAAAGTCTTGGGACTTTAGTAAAATGAAAATTTAATAATTGGAAGCATGTATTTGAAACATTTAATAAGCATGCATTATTACAATACCATTTAAAGTGTATTATGGATGCAGACAACTTTATATACAATTTATTTGTTTGAGATCGATTATTTAGAAAACAAGTATGTACATGACGGTAGGTATTCCGACTTACGGTTACACCGTTATACGTTACAGTACACAGACAGGTAACGTATGATACTGTATACTATATACTGTACTCATCTATGATCATTCCGATAGCAATGGCAAGTCGATTTGCTACTCATTGTAGGCTACAGGTTGACGTCGAGAGATGGTGATTGCTTGATGGTATTAACCACGATTCCCCGTTTTCTTTTTGATAGGTTGGACTGCCTTCGGTCAAGAGTACTTCTTCTTTTCCTTGAATGCTCGGTAGTATTGCTCACTGTTGCTCCCAACTTCCTTCTTGATAAATTGGCTGGACTGACTCCGTTCGTAATCTTGGAACCGCAATTTTTCCGTGATCACTCAACAGTATTAGTAGCATCATTTGATGCTAATCAGAGATTACCATAGCCACAATATATTAGATACTTTTCTACTGATCTACCACCCAGTCGCTGGTGTGATTATCAGTCACTCCGGTTTAGCTTATACAGTTATATATAACTATTATTTATAGTAGTAGTCATAGTAGGTAAGTCCGAGCCAAGATTTATTTTGGCTTGTTCAGAAAACGTGTTTAGTTTTGCGGACTGATCATCTGCTTCGTTGGTGGTTGGGTGTCGAGTATGTTCAATTTTCGACTTCTATGAAAAGTAGTCCGGGTGGTCTCCGGAGTTCCAATGTCGACCCATGCTCGGCGCCGATCAGAGGCCCTGGTGCCGGCTGTGGACTCACGTCGTGTCCAGTGCATGTGGTTGGAATCAAATAGGCTTATGAGTTTCGGTGAGTAGTGGTTAAATAGTCAGGGGCCACTCACTCGACGGCGATTGAACCCGTAAGTAAGGCAGTAGGTGAACTGGGTGGCGGTCGCTGGGGCCGCAATTTAATGCATTGTCATGTATCCAGGGCTTGTCCTGAAACCCTCCGGGTCTCTTGATTAGCTACCTTTAGCTAATATAAGGTAAGGTACCCGGTCGTACCGTGTTCTGGTATGGATTAAAAATCAGATCCATTGCCATATATTTGCATACTCAAATATGACAATTTACCTTAAAGAGAATCATCGAATATCACATTAAATTTCTCAATTATTTTAAATTCTTTCTAAATTTCTACCAATTATATCTCCTCTGTTTTTAACAACAATCAATCTATCATCACTTAATAGTGTAAGTATCATACTTCTATCATAATAATTTATAATTATTATAAACACAAGGATCATCATCAGTATTTTTGAAACTAAGTATTTTTTTAAATGTGTTATTTTATCATTCCAGTTTTAGGAGCTTTTTCAGGTTGTAGACGTTTTTATTTAACTTACATACGTGACTTTCTTCTTACAAATGTCTATGTAGGAATGCAGTTTCGACATCAAACGTGAGACTAAGGACGATTCAAATTGACTCATACCGAGCAACTGGACTAAAAGCATCATAATAATCTATTCTTTCTTTGGGTTTAAAACCTATGGCGATAATTCTGCACTTGTAGCCACCATCTTGATTCTGATGTAATATCTAACAATAAGTAAATATAGGCTTTACATTTTCTGGAACTTTTCGTAAATTTTATTTATTCATTTTAACAAATGTTTCAAACATATCAGCTTGACTTTTGTCGATTTTTAATCCATCAATGCTTTAGAAACAGATATATCTTTAATTTCTTCGAAAGTTGTATACAACTTTCAGTGTACACATTGTCATTTACGGGTCTGAATATTGTTCTTAGCAATTTATTCATGAAGGTTTTTAATTTTTGTTTGAATCAGGGTCAAGAACTATATTTCGTATCCTTAAGTAATGATCGGTCTTACTATTGCTGTGAAAAGTGGTAGTTTTATACCTTTAGAAAAGAGCTGCGATTATTTAGTTATTATTATTACTGATGTAAATTTTAAAAATGTTACTTATTAAATTACAATCCACTTACTTAATTTATTGTTTATTAAATTCTCAACATTTTGTTCCGTGTATTTATCTAAAACAAATATTACAAACAATTTATAGTTTAATTCTATAAATACTTCCCAATTTTAAATTCTATGGATCTATAGCTATAAGTATACAAAAATAACAATCAGTGGAATTATAAGGTTTGCATAAAACGAATTAATAAAGTTGGTAAATATGTAAAGCGAACACATTGACAATTTTTTCCTCGTAATTTATTATATATATATACAAGTGATTCACTAAGCGTGATCACTTTTTTTTTTCTTACATTTGATATATATTCAAATTCTGATTTTTGGAATTTTAAAGTATAGTTAAAGCCGATATTTTTGAATACTTAGATTTTTCACAACATTTAAGAAGTATCCTATGGTAATACCATCTTTGGTTTTTTAAACGAGAACCTTTAACAAAAATGTCTTAAATAGATGAAGTATTAGTTAAAATACATTTTGGCGTTAAATTTTTAATTTTCGTCAAGCGATTGACGAAATATTTTACTTTTAAGTTTAGGTGGTGGCAGAGCAGTGGAGTTCTAATAAAACGCCCTACGTGGTACCTCCACACAAATGATACCCAATTATTCTTACTTACCTAAACTTAAAAGTGAAATATATCGTCAAAAGGTTGTTTGTTGACGTTTATCCCGAACATCCTTTTCCCGAACATCGTTTTTCACGAATGGTGTATTTCCTTTCCTGAATAATAATAATTTTATTTTTACTTTATTATAGTTAGTTAGATATAATTAAAGTTTTAAATTGATGTATAACTATAAAATAAAAAGGTGGAAGAAAATCTAATAAAAATATGAAAATTATTACGTAGAAGTCTTAGTTGAAAAAAAAATGAAACCAAAAAAAAAAATACAGCAGTAGTTCAATCTATTTATGTAAAATATCATGTCCTGACTGATTCATTATTGCCTAGCTCAAATCAATGGACAGATCGGGCTGAAATTTAGCACACAGATGGCTATTATGACTTGGGCATCCGCTAAGATAGGATTTTAAAAAATTCTGCCCCTAAGAATGTAAAATTGAAGTTTTTAGGTTATTTGGAACGAATATCTAATTGCTTATTTATTTATTTTTGTTTATTCAAGGGTTGCCACAGAAAAGAAAACTATTATAATTATTGTAATTACTATAATTTACACTATTCAAATCCTACTATAGAACATATTTAGAAGGTGAACTACTCACTTTCTACCTATTTGTTTCCATTTAATTCTAGCACGACTAAAATCAAAAATGAATCTGGGTAAAATAATAATAATACAAATTGGCACGGATAACGCTGGGCGTGGGACAGCTAATTTAAAATATAGAAACAAACTGAATTTTATTTGTTTTTTTACCATATTCGGAAATATATTATTCTGAAAATATACCAGTCAGGGAAGTATACTAATTTGAAAAGAATCCAGTCGGGAAAAATAACATTCGGGTTCAAGGGCTCATGAAAATATCATTTGGGATATATTCCATTCGGGAAGAATGAAATTCCGGCAAAAGGGTGTTTGGGAAATTTGATTCAGGGCAAATACCAGGAATCGGTTGATGGAAATCAAAAATTTCAACCCCAAAATGTATTTAAAGTAATACTCTATTTATTTATCTAATTTTTAATATAGGTTCTGATTCTGAAAACAAAAGTTTGTATCACCACAGGATACTTCTTAAATGTTATGAAAAATTAAAGTATAAGAACATACTGGCTTTAACTGCACTTATAAATTCTAAAAATTTAAATTTAATTACATGCAAAATTTAATAAAAAAAAAAAATGAGTTGAGCACGCTTAGTGAATCACTTTGTACATCTTATAAAAAAGATGAATATACTTCGCACGATAGGTGAGCCATTATTTACTGTGATAAGTTAGGAAGTTAGAGGGGAAATTTTATCTATGCCCAACGATTAACCATTTTTAATAAAAAGAATTCTGAGCGGAGTTCGATTAATAGGCTTGTTATATCAACAAAATACGTATATAAATATATCATATTATGGTAAAATTATTACATATGCGTTATATGTTTTCTTTAATTATATGTTTTTGATATTGTCCCTATTTTCGCATAATCCTATGTTTATTCCCAGTTTTTCAAATTTATTATGAAAACTCCTGGTACAATTAAAAATGACATCCCTTAATTACCACCTCAGTCAGATTTCCTTTCGGATATAGTTTTGTAATTTAAAATTGGAGTGAAATTAGGAGAAAAATTGGCTACAGAAAAATAAATAAAAAATAAACTTCATTATAAAACCAATATATTCTCGCTCACCTCAGAATCTAAAAAAAATGAAAGTTAAACGGGTATCCGTACACTAGTTGCAGTGTGTGAAGTCAAAGATATTTGAAAAATAATTTACATTTTATTGTGGGGAATGTATACCTAATCAAATTTGGATAATATATGAACAATAAATAATTTTAAATAATTTTTTTTTGTAAATAGGAATCCATGCTAAATATTTTTTTTTTTTTTTAATTTTAGTATTAACAACGGTTTTTTTCAAAATATTTACAGTTTAAAAGATACAAAGATACAGCTTATTATTTATTTTATATTCATCACAATATGTGTCTAAAACAGGTCCATTACATACTCAGATCATTATTTTGTATTTCATTTGTAACTGAAAATAATACATATTTAAATGACACATAAATTATAATGGTTTTTTTTAATTCAAAGAGAATTTATTCATTTTTTAAATACGAAATATATAATAGTATTATAATGTATACAATTTATAAAATTAATTTTAACGTCATGGAATCTATCACTTACTTGATTTATCTTTTAATAATAACTGCTTTAAATCTGATTTGACAGGTCCTACAAATAAATATTTAAATACATAAAATAAGACATTTATAAAAACATAATATAATAATAAACATCTAATCTAAATAAAAAAATGTGTCTACAAATAATTCTTATAAAAATTCTACAAATCTTAACTACTTTTGATACCTTGGTTATTAAATATAAAGACAAATCTAAATTAATTCCATTTAATATTTTATTAGACTTTGTTAGATTCTCATCGAAGCTCAATATGCAATAAGGAAAAACCAATAAAAAAACGAAAAACACGTTTTTTTTTAAATTCATGGCGCTACGATTTCATCATTTAAAATGTTTAAAATTATATTTTTCTATCAGAAATATCCAAATTTCAAGAATAGCATATTTTCATATTTCTTATTTTTTAAGATCAAATGTTGATGCAAATTGTAAACATTTAAGTATTTCCAAATATGTCTTACCAAACTTTGTTTCAAATCGTATTTTGGAAGAAATGGTTTATCGTTGCGTTTAAATATAAATTAAATAACTTTATAAATACAAAGTATTTCTGAAATGAATGAGGACACTAGTAAAGTACTCACTGGGTAGACCCAATTAAAATTCTTTTGAAATCTTTTTTCTATCTTTAAAACTGAGCTTTGTCAAATTATTTGGAAAACAATATATTGAATCTAAAAATGAATTCGCGAATGAGATTTCTTATAAAATTGTCACGTGAATCGAGGTGTGGTATAGTTTTAGCGCTTGTCGTGCATCTTTCACACCCGAGTCACCAGATTAAAATAATGTACTTCATCGATTTGTGTCAGAACTTGTAGTCATTGAATTTGTAGAACGTGTATCAGAATTTATAGTTATTTATTATACCTGATTAATTAACACAGTTTTTTCACTTTTTCAACTAATATAAATAATGAAATAAGTAATAATAACAATATTTTGGTGTATTTAATTTATTGTCATAAATCTACGTTACTTATGTGTTTAGGTATTTAATAAAATCTGTGTGTTAACACGATTTAGGACAGTGGTTCTCAACCATTATGGTATGATGGCAACCTAATAAATTAGATCCATTAATATGAAGACACACTTAAAACAATAAAATTAACGAAGTAAAAATGGCACACGCAACGCTCGCAATACGTTTATTTTGAGTGAGGAAATGCTGATTTACATACCTATGAGTTTTACCATCCCGTAATAATAATATTATATATTTATATTTTAAAAACATACAGTATAAACTATAAAATGCAAACAGCAATAAATAAACAACTTTTTTAACGAAACACATCATAGAATTACGTGACACAATGTGTTGCGACATACCGGTTAAGAACCGCTGATTTAAGATAATATGGTT